AATCCTACCCCATCCCACATCTCCCTAACATCTCTACTCCATCAAGTAGAACACCGAACTCCTGGAGGATACACAAACTCCCCCCTCCGACATCTGCTCTTCCGACAGATATTCTTTCTCCGCTGCCAGGGAACTCATAGCACTTCTTACCTCTTCTACTTTTGTAACCCTGAACATCAGGTGATAGATAACATGCTCTCCCTTCCCGTTCTTGAAGATTCCTACTTCTACTATTCCAACCTCCCTCCTTCCTCCTCTCTCAAGTGTTGCAGTTGCCATCTTCTGAATCCTGTTCTCATCTCCACCCAAATCTATGAAAAATCTCGATTCATCTGGACTTCGGAGCAGTTCTACAACTTCTACTATGTCATGTACTTCCTTCTGCTCACGAATCTCTTTTATGTTTCCTCCCTTCCACTTCTCCTCTTTCCCATTGTCTAGTTCTTTCTTGATCTTGTCTGCATCCTTACTCCATCGTGTAATTCTCTTGTGCAACTTGTAGTTCGGCCTTTCTGATTGCTTTCCCTTACTCTTTCCAGAGTCCGAGGGAATAGAAACTCCTCCGACCGCCCCCACCAGCTCTTCCTCCTCTTCCTTCTCTCCCTCTTCTTCCTTCTTCTCCTCTGCTGCCAGTCTCTTCTTCCTGCCCCCCCCCCCGACTTTTCTTCTTCTTTCGTCCTCCTGAGTCTTCTGATTCTCCTAGCAGTTCCCTCTCAATCTTAAGTCTTCTTTCTTCCTCAGCCTTCTGTCTCCTCCGAACTGCATCAGAGACCTTCTCAACATATTCTAAATCTATTTCTTCACCATCTTTCCCTATCATTATCTGCTTGATTATCTCTTCAACAACATCTTTACTTCTTTCCTTGCATGTGGTTAATAGTAACCCAACCGAAATAATTCTGTATTCCAAGTATAGATATTCACAAGCTTCTTCTTCACTAATACTGTTCTCTTTCAATACCTTCTTTACCCATCCTTCAACCATGCATCCCATCAACTCTACTTCTTCTGGGGTCTCGTACAACTTGGAACATGCCTCGCATACAATCCTTTCTGCATTAATTATCTTTTTCCACCAAGACCTATTGCAAAGTCTCTCTCCATATTTCTTAATACCATAGCATACGACTATTTTTTTTCTTTTTTTTTCTTCATCTTCTTCCTCCTCTGCCTCTTCTACCATCTTCTCTACCTCACTAATAATGGCTTCTCCAAACTTTGTCATCTCTCTGTTCTCTACCTCCTCGCATTGGAAAACTCTCTTGTATGCCATCATAAGCAACTCACTGAATGTCTTATTTCTCTTCTCATATATTTTCCATAAATCCAAAGATATTTTCTGAAGGTATGGAACTATCTTCTCAGAAAACATCCTCTTAAATCGATCATCATCGGTATATAACAGATCTTTAGCTGCAAACATCCATACTCCCATTGCCAGATTCCCACTCTCAATAAATTCTCTAACATCTATCATAGCTTGAAGATCCCTCCTCAGGTCACTGAATTTTGTTGTTGGCTGTACAATGAGCATCCCGGTTCCTCGGAACAACAATGGAAAAGGCATTGATTCACTTTCTGTCCCTTTCAGTTTAACAACAGAGGTTATCATGCTTCCAGCCACAGAGGACTCTACCATTGAGCAAGCGATTATGTCGAAAAATTTAAATACCAATATCTTTTTCCATACCATGTCTATCACTCCACTTCTCGAAAAGTATTTTACTTTCTCCTTTTCTATTTTACTCTAAAATTCTCTCCATGATCCAATCATATTTCGCCCCATTAACAATTCTTTTTAACGCCCTACTCCAGAAATTAGACCTATTTTTTGTCTCTCCTTCCGATCTTCTTCTTTTATTTGCTATTTGATAATTAGCCAATCAACACAGAAGACCTTAGGCTTCCCAGAAAGGAGATTATGTGTCTTCATTTCACCCCTTTCCATTTCAGGGCCCGCCCTGAGATCATCTTCTGTTCCTATTTCAACAGCTCTATATTGTCTATCTTTAATGGAAACCCTTTGGCTTTATATATCTGTTTTCTCAAACTTCTTTTTATTTCTAAGAACGCCCACATGTGTCCAAGCTAGATATTGTAAATCCATGAATTTATTCCACCAAATAGTAATCTCTATCCAGCTAATCTTCATGTTTTTTACCAAGACAAATGATTCCTGTCCTATTGAACCTTTTTTGCCTTTTGCTCTATTAATCACACATTATAACTCTTTTTGAAGACTATTAGTTTTCTCCTTAGTTGTTTTTGGTGGATATGGCCTAATTGCGATATTTTTACACTTTACAGCTGGCCATCAATTCTATGCAACATTCTGATGGGATCAAATCTTCTAACTCTGAGGAATAAACTCTTTTTCTACCATTGAAGGGAAGAAAAGAAAGATTTCAATATTTTATTCAGGAAGTATTATTCACAAGCTCTGACTTGTTTATCTGAAGTATTTCGTATTCTTCATGGTTTATGATCCCACAAACACGTAACTGGTGCAGCCGTGAGTTCCCATATCTGGAATAGTCGAAGTTCTTGGAACAACCTGTACGGCTATTGCCTAATGCCCAAAGATACCATAGAAAGTGGCTGTACGCCATTGCTCCCTCCACCAGTTCCAACATTTTTTCCAAATGCTCGTTACTGTCCATATATTCTCCTATAAATTCCAGTCTTTCTTGGGTATTTGGAAAGTTCTCTTCCTGAAATACATAGTTTTCGTAGTCATAAGCTGCCTCGCAAAACAGGTTGGCTATGTCGATTACAGGAGAACCCATTGCTACAAATTCGAAGTCGATAAAAACTACACCTGTTTTTACCATCAGTATATTTCCTGGTTGGAGGTCATTATGGCATGTGACTGATTCAAAGTCTCCAGTGGATACTCTGAATACTCTATTCTGCACTTCAATTAGAAGTCTTACTATATGGTCCTTATCTTTTTTATAGGACTTTTGATTTAAAGATTTTATCTTCTCTATTACATCTCTAGGGTTTGCATTATTTTCTTCGCCAGGTAGTATTTCTTTGATGCACTTATACATCATATTGTTTACCAGTTCCTTGTAACTCCGTATTCCGCTAGCTTTTATATTGTGAAATCTTCGGAGTTCTGTTGCAATCTCTTTTAAATCCCTCTTGATGATTGAATGTTCCGAATCTAAATATCTTTCTATCCGAAACTTGTTAGTTGACACTATCACCCTTTCGCTTGCTACCATGTTATTAATCATTTCGTCCTGAGCATCGAAGTCTTTTAATTCCTTATAAATGTAACGGTTCTTTCCCACGCTGAACATGTACACAACATTACTATATGCCATACTAAGACGAGGCATGGGACCGTTTGGAAGAGACCCTATATGCTTTCTTATATTTTCCACAACATGTTTTGGAATCTCGGAACTACTATGTTCTATAGACGCGGAAAAGCTAGGATTAGGGTTTGATGATGTTACTCCATTCATCCCTCCAATGGCCTTCATCACAATCTTACTCTGTGAGCAAAATCCAAACAAAATATATATTCCTGAAAATAATAATAGGATAATATTCATTAAAGGCCAATGATAATTAAGTTACAAACTATCCGACCTTATTGTGGCTATAAATTAATTCTGTCCTTCTCGAAGAGATTAAAGAGAATCAAACGATTTTGGTATAAAGTTCTAGTGCTCAATTTATATTCGGTCTCTTAGCCTATAAAAGATTCAAATATCTGGGATAGTGGTATACTTTACGGTCTGATTAGGCCATATGGTAAGTGAATTGTGAAGTTAAAGAAGCTGGAAAACTAAATTCTGGAGAGATGGTATTATCTGCACGATGATGATTTAAATGAAGATGGAGTCAATAATTTGAATTTTGGCATCCCAGGAGAAGAAAAAGTATCTCGATTAGGATGTAGTGAAATAATGATTTAATATCAATTTTATACTATTAAAAATTTGTTATATAGTTTATCAAGACCCTACGATCACAATCATTGTTCCCCGCTTTGAATCTATTGTGAATATCCAAATGTTACATTAGGAAAGATAAGCCACAAAAGCCCGGCATCACTATGCGGGAAAAGAAAGAGTACCACACATATAGGTGCTCTCTTGTCTCTTTTGATCGCCATATTTGATGTTTCAAACGTCTTTCAAAAGCCAATGTTCATGTAAAATTTATTTTTTGATGGTTTGTCTTTTAGTTTCTTATTTAAGCTAGATATTTTCATACCAAGGCTTTATCAATCACCAAATGTTATTGCATACCTGTACTCTTCAGCATGTATGGATTACTTTCCTTTTCTTTTTAGAGTCTTACGCAATTTACACAGTTGAATAGCATTCGCTCATGTATCACCAATCATTGCACACCATCTGTTCCAAATATTACCTAATCGTATGCTGCAAAGATCTTAAAGAATTGACTCTCCAATGTGTACAATCTGATACGTTAGGTGTTCCTGAGACGTAATCTCCCTTGTTTCACAAGAGGTTTTTGTCCATAACAAATTGGAAGTTGGAATGAAAAGAGTTATTGAAGAGCTTACTGCAAGTTTGATCTATCTCTTTAGTTCGATAATAACAACGCTTTCCAATAAGTATATACTATCGAACCTTGGGTTTAAAATGCAATATCTCTTGGTAGCAATTCAGTCTTTTACCATAGTTGCTGGGTTACTTGTTCTGAGAATCACAGGCCTTGTTAAATTTCCACTAACCAACTTCAGAAAATGGATGGTTCCGTCTCTCTTGCTTTCTGTGATGATATTTTCGGGATCAAAGTCTCTGTACTATCTTCCGATATCCCTATACACTTTATTCAAGAACAGTAGCATAGTGGTGGTTGCCCTTCTTGAGCAGCGCCTATTCAAGAAGAAAATAAGCGCTTTGTCTTATATGTCGTTTGTGTTAATGATCATTAGTTCCTATACGGGAAATTCTTCAGATGTTGTTCTTAACATTGGTTATTACTGGATACTGATCAACATCCTGTCTACAACGGCCTATGTATTGTCGCTAAAGGTTGCTGTCGACATGAACAGTAAGGGAAAAGCAGAATCCGTATACTATTCGAATCTTATTTCATTGCCAATTCTTGTCCTTTTGTCTGCACTCTTTGATGAAAGAAGCATGGGAATTTTTGGGTTTCAAGAGCTTGTGTGGATCCTGATTTCGTCATTCTGTGCCTTTCTTACATCTTTCAGTACTGCTTGGACTCTTAATGTCCTTTCCTCCACTGCTCTAAGCATGATTGGTGCCTTGAACAAGAGCCTAGGGTCTTTTGCAGGGATACTTGCATTAGGAGAAAGTATTAACCATCAGAAAATCTTTTCTCTTCTTTTAGGATCGCTGGCATCTGCTATATACTCGTATGACATCTCATTTAGAAAGAGAGATTAATTCAAATATAAACGTTTGTAATTCCCAATGGTCTCGTTTGTTTGGTATTTTAAATCTGTCCTTTAGGTTCCCCAAATGAATAGATATGAAACAGCCGACCATGACTATATGCATGCCAAGGACTACTTCAACAACTATAAATTTGGGTACATTGAAAGAACGACAAAGACTCTTCTTCTTCAAAGTCTTAGGCCGGAAGATAGACAAGATGAAGATCTGCTTAGCATAATGAATCAAAGCAAATCCCAGTTGAAAGATGTTAAGTCTATTGGTAAAGAAGCTTCCAAATCCATTTCTGAGCTGTCAGAGCTTATCTACGAGACCAAAAATAAACTCTTGAAGTATGAGGAGATGCTTGGCCATGAAATGGAAAGAGAGAGAGATCTTGCCGAGGAATACTCTAGACTTGAAAGCCTTGACGAAAACTTAAAAACATATGATGAACTCAAGGCATTGTTTGATAAAGGATGCGAAGAAGTTGAAGAAAATTCTAAAAAAATAAGTGCTCTCAAGGAAGAAATTGCAATATCAAGTACTAGCGAGGCGGAAGAGGAACTGAAAAAGATGAAGGACCGAAGAGATAAACTCTGTGGAAAGCAGAAAAGACTTTCTCTAATAACTATGGAAAGCTATCTGGAAGATTCATACAATTGGTACAAGAAATCACTTGAGCTGATCAAAAATGTCTTTGGTATAAGTCTTGTTACCATTGAGCAAGAGGGCAACGAGATGTACATGAGACTCAAGGTTTTTGCATGTGAGATAGGGATATTTGTAAGAGATGGTCGAATGATTGATTTCAAGTTATACAACAACAATGATGAGACCCTTGCATCGTTTTTTGAGGAAGCAGGTAGGCTTGCCGTATCTGTTAACGACCCCCGTATATTGCTTTTGTTGGTTGCAAATAGGTGTAAAGTAACGGAGGTTTGAATCATCTTCTCTTATTCTTGAGTTGACGCTTAATACGATCCTTTTGAGTAAACAAACAATGATTATCGGCTGTATGGCAGGCCTGGTGGCGGCTGCACAAGCATGCCTTAAGGATAGCGATTGCTTAACCAGATCAAGACCGGATGTCCATTCAATGTTCTGTGTTGATAACATCTGCCAGAAGGTTCTACCTCCGGGAAAGCATTGTACCAGGCCTACAGAGTGCTCCTCGTATTCATTTTTTGGGCCTTTGGCTTGCACAGGGAAATGTAAGGTTGAGAATGAGTGCGAGTATGGAAAGGATGATAATTTCGATTCTATGTACTGTTGTAGAAGCATTCCTCAAGGAAAAGAATGCAATCCGAACCGGCCTGGATCTCTTAGTGGATGCGACATAACTCAATCATGCTTAATGGGGAAAAAGGGTTTCTATGAATGTGTTCCTGACAAATCAAACTCCTGGTTACTTGGCGTATTTCTATCTATAAGTGGAAATATCGGGATAAATATTGGAATAAACCTTCAGAAGAAATCATATAAACAATCACATATAAGACTATTCAATATGAACCTACAAACATTTTATGCAGGATGCTTTACGTACGGCCTGGGAAAGATTCTTGGATATTGCTCGTATCTCTTTGGAAATCAATCACTAATGGCTGTGCTGAGTGCAACAGGTCTTGTCTCAAACAGCATACTTGCTCCAATGATCAACGAGGAGATCTTCACCTGGAAAGATTTCTCTGCAATATTCTTTGTGTTTGCAGGGACAACACTTATAGTCATGAATACAGCTACTAGCCACAAGGTTTATACCCTTTGCGAGCTTTTGAAGATGTATACTCGCGTGGAAACATTGGTATGGCTTGGATTTATCATTCTTGTAATAATAGTTCTCTTTATATTCGTTAAGTACGTAGAAGTTAACAGCAATTGGGAACTTCCTGACGAGAATATGATATTTCTAAGGAGAGAGGGTGTTTGGTTTGACGAGGAGGGGACAGTTATTAAGTATACAATGGTTCTGGCCTATGTATGCTTGTCCTCGTTCATAGCATCTTTTACAACCCTATCTATAAAAAGCCTCGGTGAGATGATTGACAAGACAGTTGCTGGGGACAACCAATTTATATTCCTCACAACATATTGTTTCATCATAATTCTTGCAACATGCACATTCTTTCAAATATACTGGCTCAACAGGGCTCTAAGGCATTATGATGCTCTGCTAGTAATTCCTATGTTTCACGTCACATGGACTCTTTTAAGTATATTTACTGCTGGGATCTACTTCCGGGAATTTGAACAATACACCCGCTATCAACTTAGTGTATTTGTCTGTGGGGTGATACTTATCTTCTTCGGATCCTTTTTCCTGGGAAGTAGAATAACAAACAAGACCTATATCAAAACCAAAGACATTGGAATGGAATCGGAAAAGATATTAAAGAACCAATAAAACCCGGAATTGCTTTCATGAGTCCCCGTCTGAAACTCTCGTTTCGAGTATTTATGGTTCGTTGATGAAAACAGGAGTTCTTAGGCACGTGGAATGAGGGATGAAAACATATATGTTGTTGATAAAATCGTTGGATGTAGAAAGAAAGGGGGAAAAAAGCAATATCTTGTGAAATGGGAAGGATACTCCGACTCGGAAAACACTTGGGAAGATGAAAAGAACATTTTTTGTAAAGACCTGATAAAGAAATACGAAGAATCCCAAGAAAAGTTGAAAAGACCTAGCCGAAAGGTAGCCAACAGAAAAACTTCTCCGAAGAAACTTAACAAAAGCACTTCTGAAAAGACTAAAGTTATCATTAACGACTGGGATGAATTGGTTAATAAAGTTATTTCGGTGGAGAAAAAGGGAGCATCCCTTATGGTCTGGTTGCAGTTCAAAGATGGAAAAAAGGGTAGTTTTCCAGCATCACAAATACATATAAAATGCCCATTACATCTACTTGAATACTATGAAAATAATCTAGTTTTCTGTGAAGATGGGGGAGATAATACCAAGTAAAGTTCTTTATTTTATATGTATATTTAGAGATACCAGTTTTCAAGAGAGTCAGTAAAGCCTAGATTTCTTTCGTATTAGTGTTGACTCGATTGAAGTAAGACTGAGGGATATTCTTTTCTGTATTTAAAGCTTCAGACAATGGAATAGGTCAACAATATAGTGCACCTGGTTCCAAAGGAGTTGCTAATGGAATAAACATCACCCTTCTCGATAATGCAAATACTCCCTCTTTTCAGAATCACTTTGTCATGTCCCATCTCTATGCATACAGTTCCTTTTATCATAAATATCGAAAAGTTGCAAACCGCCTTTTCAGGTTTTATAAAGGCCAGATTGTTTAGAAACAAAATAGCTGTTTCAAGCATTGTCGATGCTACAAGAGGCTCAAAAGCGCTTCTTCCTCTGTACAGCGCGGATATGTTTGTTACCGCCACCTTTTTTCCCTCGGAGTTGTAGATAGTTTCTCCTTTGTACTCATATATTTCCTTGGGCTCAATTATGCTTTTTCTCGCTGTAGATTTCTCTACTCCCTTCCCAAGGCTTTGAAGTCTTTTTCTGTATCTGTCCTTCATCTCCTTTGCAGGACTTATCCCTTGGTCCTTCCCCATTTCATTCGGCGAGCATCGATCGTCGTCATACTCATTCAATTCTTCTCCTCTAGAACTTATTTCTGTGTAGAATTCTCCAGAAAACTCTTTTCCATCCTCAGGGCTCTTTGGCTGCCCTTCAGGCTTATCTTCAATCCTTTCAAAAGAGCTCGAAAGCCTCTTATTTTCAAGAATACTGTTTGTTTCCAATGACTCTCTAGAAGAAGAAAGAAAAACGTCTCGATTCTTAGCCGATAGGCTTTCTCTTATAGTCTTTATGTCAAAAAGAGTGTCGCTCTGGGCATTTGGCTCTTCATTTTCATCTTCCCCTCCCGTATCACTTTTATACACTGATGTCTCGTCTACTTCAATTGTAGTATCATCCTTAAGAACTGATTCCGCTGTTCTCCAATAGTCGTCAATGTTCTCAAGATTATCATCATCCTTGACTACATCCAGTTTTGTTCCAGGATCCAAAATTCTTTTCTTGTAAGACTTCATCTTCTTACTTAGTCTACTTGTCGATTCGTAGGTCTTTCGCATCACCTGGGGCTAGGCATTTTCTGCGATTTGACCCTGAAGATCGTCCTAACTGTTGTATTTTCCTTATTTCAATGGTGTCTATGGAGTACACCCTGATGTTCATTGACATTGCTGTGAACATCACCGACAAACTACTTGCAAGGGATGAAAGTTCGGTTGAAGAGGTTATTAGGAGATGTAAAGATAGCAAGGTCCTACCAATATTTATTGGTCTGGACCATCAAACAAGCCAAACCTCGATAAATCTGGCAAGAAAGTACAAGACGATATCGACAGTTGGTATTCACCCTACCTCATCCTCAAAGTATAAGAACATTGACGAAATCATCCCATTGATAGAAGAGGATGCTGTGGTTGCAATAGGAGAGTGTGGCCTGGATTACGACCGTCTTGAGTTTGCAGATAAGATATCTCAGAAGAGGATTTTTAGGTCTCAACTGGATTTGGAAGGAGATTGCTATTTTCTCCATTCAAGATCCTGCCACAGGGATTTTATGGAAATTGTTTCTGATTACAGGCTAAGAGGCGTTGTTCATAGTTTTACCGGAAGTATAGAAGAAGCTGAGGAGTTGATAAAAAAGGGATTTTTTATAGGGATTAATGGATGCTCCGCAAAAACATCTGAGGGGATAGACGTTATAAAAAACCTTCCGCTTGATTCCCTCCTCATAGAAACTGACTCCCCATACTGTAAGATCAGAAAAAGCTACGCTGGGTTTGAGTATGTTACAACCGATTTCAGTTCCCTAAAGGTCCTGAAAAAGAAGAATGAGCCATGTTGTGTCGTTCAAGTAGCTGAAATAATAAGTAATGCAACAGAAAAAGATTTTAACCTAGTGGTGGAAACGGTATTTAGTAACACAATCAAACTTTATGGAGATGTGGTGAGGAAGTCTGCCGAAGAATGGGGTTTTTTAACACATTAGGCAAAGGGCCACCTTTAGCCATACTTAAAATTATTTTTAGATTAAAAATTACCCCACCCCGAAGATGTCTTTCTGTAAGAACTGGGCTTCACCATTTCTGAACAGCTTGTGGTCAGAAACATCCGAAACCTGGCAAGAGAACCAAGAAGATTGGAGAATTGTCGGGACAAACCCATTCAAGAGGAGATCGGAAAATGCATGCAAAATAGAACGAATAATTACGGATCTTCCTTCAAAACAGGTGGCCGAAGGTATAGAAAACTCATTTAAATTCATGTCAATAACACCCGAAACACACTATTATATTATACAGTTTGAAAGCAAAAGACTTGATGTTGCATTTGTGGATGCTAATATTAATGTCAAAAAAAATTCTTATGTGATACTGGAAGCTGATAGGGGAGAAGACTGTGGAGTTGTGGTTGGAGTGACCACAAAGGATAAACTTGAAAAACTGTTTAAAAGATATGATGACATCTCTAATGAAGTCCAACCTAAAAGAATATACAGACTGGCTACGCTTCTGGATCTTGAGGCGTTGGAAAGAAAAAGAAGCATGCAAGCAAGGGCCTTAGAGTTCTGTAAAGAAAGGGCTATCCTAGGCGGGTTAGACATGGAGGTTGTCGGATGTGAATACCAATGGGATCTCAATAAGATTACTTTCTACTTTGCAAGTGATGAGAGAGTAGACTTCCGAGAATTGGTGAAGGAGCTTTATCGAGTATATAAGACGAGAATATGGATGTGTGCCATCGAAAAGTCCAAAAATAAGTATTTGAAGGAGCTTATTGAATTCTAGAATTGAATTCTCTAGCCCAAGATTTTTGTAATTAAAACCCGATAAAATATTTCTGTATAATTTCTTATCTCAAGGTCTAGCTCTGCTTCTGCGAGATTAGAAATGGAAAAGTTATTATCTTATTTAATTTTTGGACTGATCCGGTGGCAAAATTATCACTTCATTAATCCTCAAGATACTTATTGCAGCCTCGGTTGCAGCCTTTAACGACTTCATTTTGTTCATACTGGGTTCGATAATGCCAAACTCAAAGTTGTTTTGAATCTTCCCACTCGTTACATCAATCCCCAGAAACCTTGTTTCCGAAGAACTCTCTATCTCCTTGGCTTGAGAGGACAGTAGACCTGCGACTATCTCATTCGAGTCTAGACCCGCATTAGTGGCTAAAATTTTTGGAATTGACAGAAGTGACTCGGCATAGCGGTGGATAGCAACATGTTCCTTGGAATTGACGGTAAATGCAAACTTTTCCAGCATTAAGGACAGTGCACACTCAACCGATCCTCCTCCTGGAACAACACTACCAGACTCAAGGGTCCGTCTCAAAACACAAATGGCATCATGAATCGACCTTTGCATTTCATCAAGAAGCTGACTATTGGCTCCTCTTAGGATTATCGATGCCATCTTCTTCTTAAGTCCATTAATAAACACACATTCTTCTTCACCAATCGATACAACTTCAAATTTATCTGCTGATCCTGGACTTGTGATATTGTCCCCTCCGCTCAAATCAGAAGTAGAAGACACCAAACTCGTTCCTATTGCCTTAGCAATAACTATTAAATCTTCCTTCTTGCACCTTCTAATCCCAACCACACCTGCCTCAAGTAAGATCTTAGTGCACATGTCGTCAATGCCTCTCGTCGTGAGTATTACATTGGCTCCAGAATCGATAATTGCCTTAACTTGCTTTCGTGTGATTTCTAGCTCCTTCTTTCTGATTTCCTCCAGTTTATTGGGATTGTCGACAACTATGTTTACCGTCAGGGGATTCTTATATTTCTGAAGTCCAAAGTCTATGCAAAGGATCTTAGGCTTCTTGATCTCCCTTTTCATAAAATTAGAAGCTAAAGAGCAGTTCAAAGCATATCCCTGGTGCAAAAATGATTCCTTCATAGAACCCCCTGGGTGCTTCAGAATATTGATGTCTTCTATGGGATACATGTTCTTTTTGTCTTCGGTGGATGACTCGATACACTTCAATGCATCTATAACAATCTCACAGAATAGTTCACTTTCTGAGCTGATAACCTTGCTAGAGATGCTTGTCTTTACAACATTTCTTAATGCCTTTGACCCCAAATTCAAGGTACTCTTGGATATACTTTTCTTAATAAACTGCACACATTCATTAAATGCCATCTTGTATCCAGAAACAACCACCGAGGGATGAACCCCAGATGCTATAAGCTTGGCTCCTTTTTCAATTAGACTTGCAGCTATTAAAACAACAGATGTGGTTCCATCCCCCACTTCATGATCCTGATGTGTTGCCAGATCCACAAGAATCTTGGCTGCCGGGTCGTCCACAACCATACTCTGGAGGATGGTTGCCCCATCGTTTGTAATGCTGACCTCCCCAGCTGAATCAACACACATCTTGTCTAACCCTAGAGGTCCAAAGCTTGTCTTTATTGCATTATATACCTTCATCATTGCATTTGCATTTTTTTCTACCGCAGAAGCTCCACTATAACTCTCGCCACCTGACAGGATATCCGCTGTGGAAATCTCCTTGTTCATGTAGGGTAAATTTTTTGGGAAATTATACAACTCGAATACAGTCTGAGGTATGTACCCTATGCAGATATCGTAACCCCAATCACAGAATTCGTTTCCTATCGTATCTTTGAAAGAGTAATATTTCCAAGTAAAAAATTTACCCTGATGTGGTCCAAAATCGAAGAGAACCAGACAGTGGAGATGACAGTAAACCTAAGGAAAATATGCACCGCCATTCCATGGTCGAAAAAGGCGCCCAAAGCTGTTAAAGCACTGAAAAGAGAGATACAGAAGCACTTTAGGGAAAAGATTGGGGTGGTTATAACTAGCGATCTCAACAACTTCATACATTCACGCGGAAGCAAGAAGATTCCAAATAAGGTTAGAGTTAGAGTCACTAAAGAGACAAGCTTGAAGAATGCGGAGGAGAATGTGCTAAAAACAGATTTAGTCGTGGTAGGATCTTTCAAGAACCTTAAGGAGGTTATTGTCGATTAATAAATCGCTCCTAATGCCTTAGTCTTCAAAATGTTTAGTGCTTTTTTGAAGAAAATTGAACTTATGCACGGTCCAAGAGAATGTTCTTTCCCTTTAAAATGAAAATCCAGGGGAAATCACAGTTTAAATGAATCAAAAATCACTTATTCTAAATTCGAACCCCTTAAAACAAAGTGCAATGATTAGACTAAAACCACATAATAGTCTGGTCCATGGCGTGGTCGAAATCTTTAGGAAGTATGTACTGAACAGGACCTATCTATGCCTCATGGTCCTTCCAATAGTCTTACTGGCAACTACTGCAAACATCTTGTACGATTATATACCATCAGTCATAATCCCTAGAATAGCGGAACACATAAAGGCAAATGACCTTGGGCTTCACATGGACTTAGCTTATAAGTTTTTCTTCTATGGGTTGCTAGCAACGGTCTTTGAATATTTCCCTATATTCCTGATGGCTTTGGTAATACAAGACATATACAGAGATTGCTACAGAGATATTTTCATGGAATACATATCATTGGAATACAATGCATTCCATGATATTTCTCCAGGGGATATGGAAGGTAGGATATATAGAAAATGCAAAGCTGTAGGGGAAGCTGTCGATGTAGTTATTCCTACCCTCATGAATTCAACCATATTTGTCTTAGTTGCCATGATCGATATATATAGAAGCTTTGGAGTTGTTGTATCCTTGATATTCCTGTTGATACCGATAGCTTATATTTCCATCACTGTCTTCCTAACATCGAGAAGAAACCGTATCAGAGGAAAATATAACGCTGCAAAAGACAAATCAACAAGGAAACTTAGCGATATTTTGAACAACTATGAGGTTGTAAAGTCCTTTGGGCTTGAGGAGAGGGAGTCCAAGAAATTCTGTATTTCGTTAAGAGATCGGGTTTCAATAGGGACTGTCTATAGCTGTTCTGAAAATGTTATCACTTTACTACAAAAACTTTCCTCGTTAATTCCACACATCGGGATTCTCTATCTTTCTTTAAATACCAATATCCTGACTTTTGAAAAGGCCATTAAGTTGAACAGTCTTCATTTTATCCTAAAAGAAAGATTAACTGAGTTTGCCAAGGAGTTTACAGAGCTTTACGAGTACTATTATGATTATTCTACCTCCACCTATGAAAAAGAAGAGGATTCTTTGGATCAAGTTGATGTCAGGGGATTCGACAAAGACATAGTCATCAGAGATGTAGGAATCCAAAGAGGAGAGAAGGTTATTCTGAAAGGAATAAACTTTACATTGCACAAAGGAGAAAAACTGGCTATTGCGGGCCCAAACGGTGCGGGTAAGTCAACCTTCATTAATGCACTTCTGAGGTTTCTGGATTATTCCGGGGATATATTCATTGACGGGGTGGAAATGCGGAGATATACGAGAAGATCCACAAGACATATAATGGCGTATGTGCCCCAGGACAATTGTATTCTTGACGACACAATTCTTAAGAACCTTCAGTATGGAAACAAAGACATCTCTTTTGAAAAAATCAAGGAAATTTGCAAAAAATACGGAACTCATGGAGTATTTAGCAGTCTTGAGGGAGGATATCTAAAGGAGGCAGGGCAGCAAGGAGGAGAACTAAGTGTGGGGCAGAAGCAATATTTGAGTCTAATGAGAGCTATAATCAAAGACTCCCCTATTTTCATTCTGGATGAGGCCACCTCAGACGTTGATCATCAAACAGAAACCGAGCTGATTGATTATGTTATGTCTGTTCTTGCAGACAGAACAATAATAATGATAGTTCACAACCATTCCCTATTGAAAAAATTTGACAATATCTTATTCCTAAAGAATAAGACAATGAAAGGATATGGAAATATAAGGGAGTTACTCAAGTCATCGGAGGATTTTGTTGACTTTTATCTTGGTGAAAAGTCTGTCTTAGATACAGGAATCCAACCTTAAGATAGGTTTCATAATAGAATCCAGCTTTGAATAAATCGTTTTAGTGAAGTAGTGACTTTCTGTGAAGATCCTAGATGTTGATGGGATTTATTGCTTAAACTTCAAGCCGTAGAGACTCGACTTCGTAATTGTATACAGACAACCAGTATTTGTGTACCATAATGAATGTGCAGAGGATAAAGAAGTGGTAGAAAAAAAGATTATCGAAGTATCTGTCTGTCATTAGGCCTATCACCCTTGATCCCAAAAATGAGAATGTATTTGCAATTAGAAAGCATGCAGTTGATATGATTAGAGTCCCATATGCCCACACTTCTCCGTCTGTCTTTCTAAGTCTTTTAACCTGGAATATCATATACAGGAAGAAAAAAAGTGGATTCAGAACAAAAAATGGAACGGATGTCAGTTCCTTGCTCGACGTGCTTAGACCTGTGAATATAACTGTCCCTATTCCTACAGAGTAGATGCCTGTCGAGATCTTCAGTAGTGTTGTAGCCCCAAGTCCAAAAATTCTTGTAAACATGTCTACAGTTATGCTTCCAACAAAAAGAGAGAAGAATGCCGAAGTGTACAATGATAGTTGAATGGAAGTGAGAAAAAGATGTGTGTGTTTTGAAATAAATTCTTTGGAGCCAACAAGCACTGCCTCCAACGCTGCTGATCCTAAATATAGATAAAAAAATACAAGCATTTCTTTGCGTCCCACAGAAGAGCATAGAGCTTTTACGTGCCTAATCATTCTAGTAGCAGATAGCAAGGCTATAATAAGGAGAATTACAGTTGTCGGGGAAGACACCTTGGTTTTGAAGAAAAGAAATCCTCTGCTTGTGCTTTTGCATATCTCGCTGCTCAGATGCTCGCACATTGGAAAACTGGCTTCTGAACATACTCTATCTATCGGATGCATTTTCTATTTGAATAAACAAAGGAAATTTTAAGAGACGAATGCCCTGTTTTTTATGTTCTTGAATTCAAGCCCCAAATATGTCTACAACAAAACAAGAAATCCAGAGCCAGATGGAGCATGCCGATAATCTCTTCGTGGAGATGAACAAGAAAATGGAGGCCCTTAAGGGGAAACTTCTAAGCCTATCGAAAATGGTAGATGGTATCAACAAGAAGATAGAAGATATCTCCGCAGAGTCAACAGGCTAAAAGTAAATCATTCCCTAATAAAATTAACTTGCATGTGAATCTATTTTATTTTAGAGCGGTTCCTGTGGCTTGCTTAACTCCTTTATTTCTTCTGGCTCCTTAATGCTCCTTTTCGCAAAGTCCTGAGAGTAAAGATGCTCCGCGTTGTCCAGAGACGACTTTAGTTCTGCAAAGTCCTTAATGTTTATTTTTGGCTGGATGCTTCTGAATCTGTCGTGGGCAATTCTGGATTCCAATGAAATGATCTGGCTAGTTGGATTCTTCCACATGGAAACACATTTAAACAGTTTGACTTTTGACTTATTTCTAAAGGGCTTTTCTTTTATGTCTTTTGGTGCTTCTTTTTGGTCTTTTTTAATTCCTCTTTTGCATGTTATCTTCAATGGATCGGGGCTTACTGCTATTACTCTTCCATATTTTCCATCTCCTATCTCCTTCACTCCCATCGCCCAAACAATGGGATTATAGAAATGATCTATATTTGAGCTTCCCAATCTATAAGCAGACAATTCATATCCGGGAATACCCGAAGAATTACAGAGAAGTAAGCACTCAGCAATCCTCTATATTTGATGACCTTAAAAAATAATCCCCAAAACATCGGAAATGAAAACAAAACTGTTTGCAGCACCAACGGAGCGTCAACTACTTGAAGAAATGAACGAGTCTCTTACGAAGTCGCCTGTATTAACCAGAAGCGCTGTCAAGGCCCTCAACTCCTTATTTTATATGCTAAGCACAAAGAAATTGTCGGAGGAAACCATCAGAAATGTGTATATAACACTTTTGAAAGGATTTCAATCCAAAGATCTTTATCTAAAGCTCTGTATATACTCTGCGATAGAAGAAATGTCTAAACTCACTAACGAAGGTCTGGTTGGGATAAACATACTGATGAACGACTTAAATGGAAAGATTCCAGACGATGTTAAAGCAATGGCTTTAAGAACATTGTTTTCCATTGTACCTGATGAGATGGTATACGACTTTGGAAAGTATGTGAATCAGGCATTTATCTCTACCTCGCAGGCCAGAAAAGATATGTCTATTGTTGTAGCATATAAGCTTCTTTGCAGTAATTTTACACAAGTGAAAAAGTGGCTGGAAGGAGTTGAACTTTCTGGAAATCCCTTAATGGACTATCACATCACAGGTTTTCTGGCACAGTCTAGGAGGCTCCACTTGAGCTCGGTGGAACATTCTAGAGGCCCTGCAGGAATCATTGGGGTTCGGATGGTTGTCGATTCAATGAAGGAGAACAGCGAAGCTCTTCCAATTCTTAGAAGATTCCTTAACTCAAAATACTGCGACGAGATGATATTCATGGAAGCAGCCAGGGCAGTCTCCGGCCTTAGTGAAGAGTATGGGTCTCAGTTTGTTGATCAAGCAGTCCAGTCCTTACGAATATTCCTCAAGTCCACAAATATAGTTCTACAGTTTAGTGCAATAAGAATTGTTTCTCAGCTTGCACAGAAGTATCCCCAGAAGGTTTCTGTTGCTAATAAAGAAATCGAAGATCTTGTGTCATCTGAGAACAAATCCATCTCCATGTTTGCAATTACTTCACTCCTCAAGACAGGAACGGAGGAAACAATAGACAGACTTGTAAGTCTAATTCCAAGTATGGTCCATGATATGGGAGATGGATTTAAGAAAATTGCCATTGATACGTTGGAGTCTTTAAGTAATCTTTTTGAGTCAAGGAAGTTTCTATACGTCGATTTTCTTGGAAACTCACTTCTGCAAAGAGGAGAACTTGAATTCAAGAAGTATATAATTGAGGTTATTTCAAGAGCTGTAAAGAACGACGGCATGAGAGAAAGGATTCTTGAGATTCTTTGCACATACATTGAGGATTCCCAGTACTACCAAATAACCTTAGATGTCCTTGGAATACTTGGACAAGAAATTCCTAAGTCTAGGGCGCCTAGTAAATATGTGGTTCATGTATTGAACAGACTTATCCTGGAAAACAACCATGTAAGAGCAGGAGCCTTGCAGTGTCTATACAACATCTCTTCTGTTGTTTCTCCATCGACTGTAGAAAATGCAATGAAGAGATGTCTTGGCGATCAGGATGAATCGATAAGAGAAACAGCAGCCTTTTTATTAAGAAACATGAAGCTGGAAAGGTCGTGTAAGCCTTTTAGTCTGGATGAGCTTGGAGATCTCAAGGGTCGTGTGCTTCAACATATTGGAAAGTCGGATGAGGATGCTAAAGCAGAAAGAGATACACTGATAAAGAATTGTAGAGAGTTGATTCTTACTGAGCCTAATGCAGATGTACAGATCAAGGTTATCAAGAAGGTTTATGAGGACAAAATAATTCTCGAATTTTCATTGGAAAATAGTCTTGAAGGAATACAAATCTGCGATGGTGTGTTAAATCTTGCAAGCTCGGATGGTGAAGAAAGAAACATAAGTATCAAGATAGAGCAGATAGAGCCTTTGGGGTCCCTCTTGATTGCAAGAGAATGGAACGTAAAAGAGGGCTGCGTCATCAATGGAGCATTTGACTTCACTATTTGTATGGAAGGGGACATGTCAGACACAGAAACCGATTCTATTTCCCTCGAGCCCTTCCAAATAACCACTTTGGACTTTGTAAAACCGGCCAGAGTAAAGAAAAGCCCGAATAGGAGAAATGAAATCTCCTTTAACCTACAAGGAGATATCTACACAGCAGGAAAAAAAATCTTGGATCTTCTTAACATGAAGATAATCAGCCAAGAATCTGAAAGTAGCACAATGTCTATGGTATTGAATGGAGAATATTACGAAACCCCGGTTATCATACACGTAAAGTTGGTTTTCAACGTGGCTTGTAAATGCGCTATTGAAGTCTATTGTGATAATGAGCAAGTGGCCCAGAAGATTGTTAGACTGTTCGATTGATGAAAAACTTTTAGTATACGGCTGGGTATTAAATATCCCAACCTAAATGGACAAACACTGAAGTCTTCTATTAGTTACTGGTAGAAGTTGCTTATGGGTAATAAAACTTTAATGGTCTATAGTTCTCTCCTGGGGAGATGACCATGTAGGATCTCGTCTTCTAGCACTGATCCATCGGGGACATAAATTTCCTTTTTCTCGTCCACTAATACGATGATTGTTCCTTTAAGAACTACATTCTTTCCAAATGTGATATTCCCACTAACCGTCAAGTGATCCAGCTCAAGAATGTCAGGGATCCCTTTAAAGCATTTTTCATAACTCTCTATCTTCGAAAAGTTCTCTCCCTCTAGCTTAACCACAGGGCATGCTCTTGGGACTCTCGATGGATGAAGTTGTAGAGTACCATTCTTCTCGACAAACAAATTGCTCTCAACAAGAAATAGGTCGGAGCAAGTCTTCACAGGAAGAAATCTAGACCGGGGAACCACTATTCCGCAGGAATTTGGAAAGTACTTGATTGCAGATCCTATGGCTGTTTCTAGTTGGATAACCGTTTCCTTACCTAAAGTCTTTTTATTCTCGATGATATCTAGATCAAAAAATCCTTCTTCTAACTTCTTCTTCATGTCCTTCAAGTTGATCCAAATATTGTTCGTGTTGAATATTGTAAACTTCCTGAAGTTGGTAAACTCAGACTTCTTGTTCGATGGAACTTGAGCTATCTCAAGGAGTCTCAGTGCTCCTTTATACTCTATAAGAGTTCCCCCCTTGACATCGGCACGTGTTTTATCAGTAACCTCCATAAGAAATCCTAAGTTATTAGTGGCGAAGTATTCCAGTAGCTTTAGATCGACTGTGGAAGCTAGGTTGTCAATGTTAGACACAAAAAGATATTCATATCCTTCATTTAGCAGTTCTTCAAGCATTCCACTGTTTTTCAATGAGTAGAATAAATCTCCATGTCCGGGCGGGTACATTCCTTTATCTCCGTATGAAGACGATACAGGAAGTAGTGTTTCCGATGAAATCCTAGGGAATTTACTTTGTGAGAACTTCCTGATTCCATCATATCGGAATACAATCTTTTCTGTCATGCACTCAGTATTGAACGAATTCATCAGTATCAACGGAACTTCAATGTCATACTTGGTGTTCAAATATCTCATCTGCTTCACAACTAGATCTATGAAATTCTTTCCATCCTTAATTGTTATGGCACTTTTTGGCCCATTGCATCCCATTGTTGTTCCCAACCCTCCGTTAAGCTTCAGCACTGCCAGCTTCTTCACCAACTCCTTTGATTTTTCACTTGGATCGGGTATATCGCTATACTGAATAATCTTGTCCTTTGGAGATTTAATGTCTTCCCATACTATCTTTTCGCTTCTAGTTCTGAGATATCTCTCAAATAGACGATAGAATTCATTTAAATCGATAGGATTGGAATGTCTTTTCTTCATTTTCTCCAATATCTCTTTCATTTCCTTCAGAAGCTTGCAAGTACACTTGTCGTCAAACTCATCTAGAGACTTATGGAAGTCTTTAGCTTCATCACCAGAAAGCGTTGTTTCCTTCCCATTTTCTTCTTGCATATGTCTTTTCTCCTCCATTTCCTTTTTATATAGTCGTTTCATTTCGATTTGTCAATATCAATCTTTCTGTTGGCTAGAATATTAGGAATTAACAAGATGTCAGAGTTAGTGCAATGGTTGGATATGTAGGGAAGTTTGACAGGAATCTTCCATTTTACAAACCAAGAATAAGGGGAATTTTATGGAACCAATCAAAGGCTGCTCTTCAGAGGAACTGATGAGAAGTATTTTATTAGTATAATTAGAAAGGTTCCTCATTCCTTCGTTTTTTGTTGCCATCTTGATCCTTACTCTTATTTTTGTTTGAGAAGTTGGGTGTTAGTACTGAGTAAGATGGACTCGTTGGAGAATATGATGGACTCGTCGGAGAATAGGAAGGGCTTGTAGGGGAGTAAGATGGACTCGTCGGAGAATAGGAAGGGCTTGTAGGGGAGTAAGATGGACTCGTTGGAGAATAGGAAGGGCTAGTGGGAGATAGCCTTCCACTTAGGTCTCTAGGATATGCCATTTCGAGATGTGTTGGGCTCCAGTTCCCGCTACTAATTGAGAAGGAATCTGATGAAGGAGTACTAATCACCGGAGTTACAGGCTCATTAGGCTTGAACACTGGATTAGATAATGGAATGGCTTTATCCAGTTTCTTCACGTCCAGCATAATCTCGACATTTCCAGTCCCCATGGGTGCTAGCTGCCCCATCATGATGTTCTCCGTTATCCCTCTACATAGGTTCTTCTCCGAAACTAGTGCTGCATCCAAAAGGATTTCCACCGTTTCTTCAAACGAGCTTCTTTTCAACGCACCAGCCCCAACCTTATTGACACCGTGACGAGTTATTCCGCAGAGATACCCCCTCATAGTCATCACATCAGCTAGAAGACTCATGTGTCGATAGTTGACATAAGACCCATTTCCATCTATTACTATGGCCAACTCTCTTAAGATAGATTCTCTCGCTGCCTCTATTCCTAAGGTTTCTGCAATCTCGATGAGATCATTAGAGGTTGTAAGCTGGCTGTTAACTGAAGGGTTTCCTAGAATTTGGGGGAGACAGATCCCGTCAGTCTGTAGATACCATTCTTTCCGATTCTTGTCCTCACTAATATAAACCTTCTTAATGTTTTTATATCCTCCCAACTGAAACTTCAGCAGAGAGTTCAATACTACCATGTAGAAGTTTAAAGATTCGTCTTCTGATTTTGCAATCCGGATTCTTATCACCATATCAACTGCGTTCTCATCACTGCAGATCACATGGGCTCCATTCCCCAACTCCTTGCTGATAAATGTTGCAACATATTCTAGGTTTATTCCTCTTCCAACAAGCTTAGCTCGATCTACAACAAGCCTTATCAAGAAGGGTGTCAGGGAAGAGAAGTCCACGTCATCGTCTGGAAACTCAAAGTACGCTTCTACAAAGTCCTTGTCATCTGCAATCTCTGTACTTGTTATTTCTGGGTCATAATATATTTCGGAAGAGAGGCACAGGTCCTTCACCGTAAGGCACTCTATCTCATTCTGGATTGTCTTTGCCAATTCAATTGTTTTACAGTGCTCCTTATCAAGATATATCTTCATGGATGGTGTTTTCAAGTTCTTTGTTACATTAAAAATCTCTTTGAGTCTAGGGACTCCCATAGTCACAGTGGAAGAAACCCCGGCAAGGTGGAATGTATTCAGTGTCATTTGTGTTGCAGGCTCTCCAACTGACTGTGCTGCTAATGTCCCCACCATTTCGTTTGGCGTTATCTTAGCCTTTAGAATCTTTGCGCGTATCATTTCCACTACCCAATTGAATGCCTCCGTATTTAGCTTGTGCTCAAGAAGGATTCTTTTTACACTCAAATTGGTTCTTATGAGTACATTCAGAATTTTGTTGGAAGTCATAAGGTTCTTATGTGCCTCAAGTATGTAATAAGGAGAAACATCTCCGGCCGAAAGATGGAATTCTCTCTTTGCCGATGCTAGCAGACGAGTCAGGTTGCAAGGGCTCATCACAGCATTTTGGTAAATGTCTTTGACTCGATAGTCATGCTCTATGTCTATTTCTCCTATAGAAGATATTGGAGGCCCCTCAAATATCTCCTCGACTAACCACTCATACTCTTGATCCAGGAGCTTCTGTAGATCAACGTCAGAGCAAAGAATTCCGTAAACCTCCTCCGAAACTTGTCCTTGCTTAATTCCCAACTCTCCATTTCCAAACATATCAATATAATACCTTTTTGTAAAATTTTTTACATCGACCTTCTGTGACTCCAAGAAAGTGGCATCAAATCCGTCTTCTCCATATTTTACTTGGTATACCAGTCCATTCCCGCTCCTGACACTTTCATCTTGCCTTACAATGGCATCTTCAAGCGCTTTCACAAGTCTTCTTTGGATATATCCTGTCTCGGCAGTCTTGATGGCTGTATCTATCAAACCCTCTCTTCCTCCCATTGCATGGAAAAAAAACTCCTCGGGATCAAGACCTGTCAAATAACTGTTCTCAACAAATCCTCGACTTTTTCCTGTATAGTCGTCTTTGACAAAATGTGGAAGTGTCCTCTGGGAAAACCCAAAAGGAATCCGTTTTCCTTCAACATTCTGCTGTCCTACACAGGCTGTAACTTGTGATATGTTTATAAAAGACCCCTTCGATCCAGCAAGGACCATGGTCTTCATATTGTTATTTCCGCTGAGGCTTCTTTGTGCACTTGTTCCACTTACATCTCTTGCTCTGTTCAGTACAAGGTTTAAATGGCTTTCAAAGCTTTCCTTCATCGTCATTCCAGGAAGTCTTTCAAGCCGATTTTGACGTGCATTTTCAATGATTATAGAAACCTCCTCCTTAGCCTTTCGGATGGCTTCATCAACCATCTTTACCGTTTTGGCATCTGCAATGGTGTCTCCTATTCCTATTGAAAACGTATGGATTCCGGTCATGAAAATATTGATCATCTTCTGAACTCCATTGAAGAACTGGGCTGCTCTTTTTGGCCCAAAGTCGTTGAATATTATGTGGATAAGTCCTCCTTGAGTTGCTCCTGCTGCCTTTTTATCAATAACTCCAGAGTGAATATACCCATTCTGTATAATAACTTTGGTGTCATTGATGTTTTCATTGTCATCTTCATTGTGTTCCGAAGAAAATCCGGTATAGTTTAGGTTTGGAAGTACAAAGCTTAGAATCTGCTTTCCCGTCCAAAGCTTCATAGGTTTGGCTATTGCTGGATTCTTCAGCACCTTCATAATATCGTAGTCCTTTGTTCTATTCACCCCCATGTAAGTGGTTTCTCCAGGAGCAGTGTCACTAAACTCTATATTCACTGCATACAATAGCAGCATAACTTCTCTTTCGTTCAGAAAGGTATCCCGAAGAGTAAACAGTCTCAGACCCGTAAGTGTGTCCTGCACAATGCCCATAACAGGCTTATTGGATTGAGGAGAAATAATTTGCTTAGATACAAGAGCCAGCTCCTCTAGTTCTGCCTTGGATGTATAGCTCTGAGGCATATGAAGATTCATTTCATCTCCGTCAAAATCTGCATTATAAGGAGATGTGACACTGAGATTCAGCCTGAAGGTTTTGTCCCCCATCACCCTAGCATAATGTGCCATCATCGACATCTTATGGAGCGAAGGCTGTCTATTGAAGAGAACAACATCCCCAGATTGCATATGTCTTTCCACAATATACCCCTCTTCTAGCCTTATGTCACTTCTATTGAAGTTCAGATCGATCTTCTGTCCATCAGACCTAAGAACATAGTTAGCTCCTGGATGCTCGTTGGGCCCTGCTCGAACAAGCTTCTCCAGCTTATCTATGTTGAATGATGTAACTCTTTCTGGAAAAGTATGGATCTTTGCCACTTCAAGAGGAACTCCAACCTCCTCCAGAGATATGTTTGGATCAGGTGTTATCACCGTCCTTGCACTAAAGTCTACTCTTTTCCCCATAAGATTCCCTCGAATCCTTCCCTCTTTGCCCTTCAGTCTAGCTGATAGCGACTTCAGTGGCCTTCCACTCTTCTGTAGTGCTTGAGGCTGTCCTCCAAGCTCATTATCTATCAATGTGGCAACATGGAACTGAAGTAGCTGTTCATAATCCCGAACAATGTGGCCTGGTGCTCCCTCCTGCTCATATTTCTTTAAATATCCATTGGATTTTATGATGTCTGCAAGCTTGTGCGTAAGATCGTCCTCCCCTCTCAATGAGCCCTCCATCACAATCGAAGGCCTTACTGCCGGTGGAGGAACTAGCAATACAGTAAGTATCATCCACTCGGGCCTGCTATACTTTAGGTCAAACCCCATATAAACACAGTCCTCATCGCTTATCTTCTTGAATATGCTATACACCCTTTCCCCATTCAGCATCACTTTTCCTTCGTTGCTTTCTTCTCCCTTCATGAAAGCAACAAGAGTTAAGCCCTCCTTTTTAATAACAGGTTGTCTGTTCCCACAGCCGCTCTTTCCATTGTCAAGAATCTCTCCCTCGCATACCAACTTGCTTTTGCTCATGCTCCATACATTGTTCAACGTCGACCTTACTCCTCTTTTTGATACTTTGATCTTGGAACAGTAGAAACAAACACACTCCAAAACCTTCTTAATCTTGGAAATATAACCAACATGGAACATGGGCTTGGTAAGTTCGATATGTCCAAAGTGACCTGGACACGAGAAGTTATCTCCTCCACAGCTTTGGCAAAGATACATCCTATCTGTTGTTCCCATCCTCAGATCTATCAATCCTCCAGTCTTTGGAACTCCCCCTTCCATGACCTCGGGATGCACAATTAAAGCAACACTTCCATTCCTTATTTCCTCTGGGGAAAACAGCCCAAACTGTATTGACTTGATCTGTTTTTTTACTTTCTCCTCAAACATCAATGGGGTTTAGTCCGATGGCCTTTAAGACAGAAATTTTTGTTGTATTCCACCCCCAGAACCATTGCAGCCAGACCTACCCCTTCTACATTATCATCTTATTTGATTAATGGTTTGCCACCACACATTGTACAGAACGGCACAATATTTTTAGTCCAAATGCCTTCCAAGAAGATAGAAAGCAGGAGACACAAACAACATAAACTTTTTGTCTCCTTTAATAGACCATTTCTCCCTTACACCTGAGTCTACTCGTCAGACGATATCCATTCAAATTCCTTCTCTATTCTCATCAGCTCTTCATCTGTAATATTATACTCCACTCCAATAAACTCTGCAAGCTCTTTTGTGTTTTTGTATTTCATTTTATCCGAAATAATCTTGCAGCATAGCTCAAGAAGATATGGATACTCAAGGTAGTTTGCTCCATTACACACATCCAGCAGCTTCTTATTGTCATACTCCATGAAAAAATTCAAGTCTGACGGCTTGAATCTTATCTCCAATGGATTATAGTCTTCGGATAGTTGGGAAGTATCTATCTCCATGTACTTTTGGATTATCTCGAACGTAGACGACGAGACTTTAAGAGAAATGGGATATTTGCACACTGTTGATGTGCATACGTTTTTTATCAGAACGCTCTTGTATGCTTGTTTTGTATCTACTCTAAATATACGTCCATCACTCGTCTCCACTTCAATCATTCTGGGCGAGGTTTTGGGGCTAAAAACAACAACAGAGAGAGATGCACAAGACACAGGAAAGGAACATCTGTACCGTGCCAAACTTGGTCTCTTCGTGGACTCTTAATTCTGTTTCCACCTGTAAGGGCTTATGGACAAAAGAACCAGGATAGGCATAATAGGAGACGAGGAAACACTTACAGGGTTCTTGATAGCAGGAGTGGAAAATGTTCATGACAATCCAAACCTTATCCAAGTAACTCCAAGTACAACCGAAGACGATTTAAAGAGAACCTTCTACACATTGACAAGCAGAGAGGATCTGGCTATAATTCTTGTTTGTGACTTTGCAGCCGAAAAAATAAAAGAGGAGATAAATGGATATAAGGAAGTAATCCCTGCAGTCTTGGTTATTGCATCGAAAAACAAGTATGCCTAGTTTCTGTATGGACGCAATATAATAAAACTTTCTGAAAACTAATTGTTTTCTTTAAAGCAAACACAAATAAAGGAGACGATTTATTTCAACGATAAGACTTTTGGTATCTTGCACGAGCTCCGGGTCCTCCAAACTTCTTTGGCTCTCTCTTTCTAGAATCGGCAACAAGGCTAAATCTGTCGAAATCCAACAGTCTCTTTTGGATTTCTTGCTTCTTCCATTCATCGAAGTAGGTTCCATAGAACGCAAGTATTGCTTTGGAAAAGGCCATCCTTACAGCATACACACGGGAAACTTCACCGCCAATCTTGCATGTTATGTCAAACGAAAGATCCTTGATGTTGGAATGCTCAACAATGCATATGATTTCCTTCAGCTTTGCAATCATTAAGGTGTTTGTGATGAGTTTGAAGGGAACCTTGTTAATTCTTATGGAAAACTCCCCAGAATACGTGCATACACATGTAGCAACTGCCCGCTTCTTCTTACCCTGGGTGGTGACTGACTTTACAGATCTACTCATTGAAAGGGCTAAAGCATTTAAAAATTTTTAACCCCAATGAAAGGCAACCGCATACTGCCAAACAACCATTTCCGCAAGACTTCTCTCAAGATAAAGGTCCACCACGATCCCGAGACGAAGCTCAGGATTATGAAGGAGAAAAAGATTCGAAAGGCCAAGTCATTGTTTCCAATGCCTCTGGAAAAGCTCCGACCCATAGTTAGGTGCCCAACTATTAGATATAATAGAAATGAAAGGCTTGGAAGGGGCTTCACAGCAGCCGAGTGCAATAAGGCAGGGCTTGACTACAGGCATGCAAGACGTCTTGGAATAGCTGTTGACCTTCGAAGGAGGGATACCAATCAAGAGACTTTGGACAAGAATGCTGAGCGTATCAAGACCTATTTGAGCAAGATTACCATATACGAAAGCATTCAAGAGGCAAGAGAAAAAGGTGCCAAGCCGTATGCAAAGGAGATCATGCCTCTTCCCAAGACCAAGCCTGTTGTTGAGTCTATTTCAAGGGAAGAAATTGCTTCTTATGAATAAATTCGATTTTTATTTAGATGGGTCTCTTTTATAAAGATTCTCGTTTCTGAGGCTTTTTACGGAAAAAGAACCATCAAAGTTTCCATTTTTGAGGTGTTGTGGCCGAGTGGTCTAAGGCGACGGATTTGAAATCCGTTGAGGTTTCCTCTCGCTGGTTCGAATCCAGCCAGCATCGCTTTTTGAGCATTCCGTGTTTGTATGTTCGTCAAATATATAAATTGAAACTCTTTTCCGTATACACAAAAAAGAATATTTTCAGGTGATAAGGAGGCCATCATATTAGGGACATAGGGGAAGATGGAAGACCAGAAAATAAACTTAGTGCTGGAATCTTTGTCTCAGATAGAAGAAATGATGGCGGAAAAGCTCGGCGTGGGAGATGTTGAAGAAATAAGAAGGAGAGGAGGAATTGTGATGAAGGCATACAACTACAGCGAATTCAAGGAAATACGAGCCTTGAATGGAGTTGAAGGCTTGCACAAGTTGGGAAAGCAGTATATACTTAACAAACAAATTCAAGGGAAAAGCGGCTCGTCTCTGTTTTTTACAGGAAATCTTCGGTTCATTATAAAGACCATAAGAAGGTGCGAATTCCTCTGCATCCGAGGAATGATGGAGGAGTACAGGAAGTATATTCTTGAGAATCCTAAATCTCTCTTGTGCAAGATACTTGGATGCTATAGTTTATACAGCGAAGGCAAAGAGGAGTATTTTATAGTCATGGAAAGTATGCTAGGAGGACTTGGGATACAAGAGGTGTACGATCTTAAGGGTGCATCGGTAAAAAGAAAAGGGTATTCTATGTCTAGCCTGAAGGAAGTGGATTGGATTAGAAACAAAAAGGGAATCCATCTTGGAAACCGGAAGGAAGCTATTATATCCCAGATAAAAAGCGACGTAAGGTTTCTGAGAAAACATAGAATCATGGATTATAGCTTTCTTGTATCTTTTAACTCTCGGGGTAAAGAAGATTTTACTTCGCTTCCCAGAAACAGTTATCACAGCCACACTTCCGAGGATAAAGACATACGCTTTGGAATAGTAGATATTCTCACTCAATGGACCTTCACAAAAAGAATGGAGAGGTTGTTCCATATATTCTGCTGTAAGCCAAACAGTTCTTGTCTGAATCCAGATGCATATATGGATAGGTTTTTAATGATGATTGAGTCGAATATTTTCAAGTGACAAGTCTTTAGAAAGAACAAATCAACATCTTCAAAACATGAGTGATTGAGTAGAACTCTCAAGTCCTTGACTTCGACATTTGGGAGATAAAATCCTATTTGTCTTTGTTTGAGTATAAACAGCAAATTGAAACCAGAATCAATCCCAAATGGGAAACTCAAAAGATAGCCTGAGGAGAAAGATAGAAGAAACCGAAACCCTACCTGAAAAAATGAACAAAGAAGATGGCCATGAGAATGAAGAAACAGAGATAATGAGGAATAAATATCTCGAGGAGACTTGGGACCCAAGCGGGTTCAAGAAAGATTTAGAAACATATGGAGAAAAGGATATTATGAGGTTTATCAAGTTCAATACTGGAGGGATGAGAGGGCTGATGAGGAGTGGATTCAATGGAATTAATGAGGTTACATGTAACCTTATCGGAACTGAGCTATGCAAGAGATTTTCTAGTATTGTGATAGGATGCGATGGAAGATATAACTCATTGAATTACGCCATTCTACTAAGAGAGATATTCAGAATTAATGGAAAAGAAGCCAGCCTGTATCCGGAAGTGGTGACCCCATTTCTTGCCTTTCTTATACCCAAGCTTGGGGCCAGCTGTGGAGTAATGGTCACGGCATCTCACAATCCAAAGGAATACAATGGCTTCAAGGTGTATACATCTAAGGGAAGCCAGATAGGACCACCACTAGATAGGGAAATAGAAGACTCTATGAAGATGCTTGATTTGACAGAACTCGATAAAGAGGGAGAGCTTTCAAATATATTCAGTCGAATGAAGGAGGAGAACAATGCCTTAAAGGAAGGAAAGACGCTCCTTTCGGGAAGAGTTGCAGATCTAGTGGATACTAATACTTGGGAGAGGAGTAAGCTTATAGATGCCTACAACAGATGGATGTTTGAAAATTGGGGCGATGAAATAGTCCAACGGATCCGAAACACCAAACCTTTAGTTCCTATAGTTTTCACAGGACTTTGTGGGGTTTCTGGGGAGTTTGTAAAAAAAGCTCTAAAGTTCTATGGGTTAGACGGCTTGGTGCATTTTATCGAAGAGGAATGCATTCCAAACCCCAATTTTCCAAGGCTTCCTTTCCCAAATCCCGAGGTTACAGAAACTCTTGAGCAGTCTAAGGCATCTGATCTAGCAGATATTGTATTTTCATGCGACCCGGACGGAGACAGATTTGGGCTTTCCGAAAGGATCGATGGAGAATGGGTCGACTACAACGGAAACGAGATAGCAGCAATGTTCATGTACTTCTTCGTTGAGAATTTTGAACCATCGAGCCTTGCCTTTGTAAATACTCATCTGTGCAACGACCTTATGGAAAAGGTCTGCTTGGACCACGGGATCAAATACCTGCGTACAGAGACGGGATTCAAAAATGTTAGCCGAGCTGTTGATTCTGTTGAAGAAAAGAAGGTGTTTGCCTATGAAGATTCTCTTGGATTTCTGTTTGGAAATGGAAAGGAAAAAGATGGGATCAAATGTGTAGTTCTTATGGCGCATATGGTTCAGAAAGAGCTTCCAAGCCAGATCCTGAAGAAGATGGAAAGGTATGGAAGCTTCAGTTCGGTAAACATTCATGTGAGGTGTGCTGATCCTGGAAGGGTCTTAAAACGAGTTCTTAAGAAGCTTCCAAATGTAAAAACAGAAGGAAAGAGAAGCATGGTGGAATTTAGTGACTACAAGGTAACATTGAGAATAAGCGGAACTGAGTCTATGCTGAAAATTTATACAAGCTCTAGACAACTGGATAAGAAAGGTCTTAGCAAAGCCGCAGAAGATTTTACTAAGAAGTATGTCAGGGACGAAGTACTCTAAGTCTACCAACTTCTACTTTGGAGCAAGAACAACTCGAAGAGATCATGTATCTTCTGTATTAAATTGTTTTACTTGAGCCGTGGCTTTTTTGGCAATGCTTGAACCAGCCAAATCTTGTAGACCTTCCACTTGCTTTATGGCCTAACACTATCCATTTACTGCAAATCGTACAGAATCCTTCTGTTCTGTTTCCAACATGTCTTACCTGAGGCTCGGGATACCTCGACCCTTTTGAGCTTATTCCATGCTTATAGTTCATATGATACCAATAACTACTTGTTTTTAATTTGAGCCACAAGTTGCACATCCCACAATATCCCTCCCTCAATTTTCCGGCTCCCCTAACTTTCTTGGGCTTGTATATATCGCCATCCTCTGGTTGTCTTTTGATCTCCCTAGGCCATGGAGACAGAGCTCCGATGGCATCAACTGTGATTTCCCGGAGCAGGTCATTACCATTTAATTCTGTAGGAGAGTAGATGTCGTCCAACTCATAGAACTCCCGAGGATCCAGAAGTACCTCGGACACATAAGGGGTGTCCAGCAGTAAAAACTCATCCAGATAAAGTACACTCCTACTCGAACTCATTGTATTTTATGCTTGTTGGAAAATAAAAGTTACATCTTTAGATTTAGATTCACCTAAGAAAATGAATGGATATTGATCCTGGGTTTCTGGGAAAAAAAAGCTCTCCCACCGGGATTCGAACCCGGGTCACCCGCGTGACAGGCGGATATGATATACCACTACACTATGGAAGATGCTAAGCAAATCCAGGAAGCCCAAGTCTCTTCGGAAACCCAGAAACATTTCAGACAAAATCTAGATCACAATCCCATAGAAGTAGTCAGAGACCATATCCCTTTACCTTTAGATGTATCCCCTGACTCTCTTGAGAATATCAAGAAACAAAATAGTAGAGCTGGAGCTGAAGAACAACGATCATTTGAGAGGGCTCCTTTACAAATGCGATATGGCAATGAATCTCCATCTCAAAAGTGTTACCATCCAGAAGGAAGACGGGAGTTCTATCTTCATTAATGAGTGCTATCTAAAAGGAACATCCATTAAGCTTGTGAAGCTGGAATCGAAGATTCTCTTGGAACAAAGAGAAGAGAGTGTGTCTAGTAATAAAATATGACTAATTTTTATCTGGTGAAGATCTCCACTGCCAAAACATTCCTATGAACGAGGTTATTATCCATACGCTTAACGGGGCAGGTAAAGATGAAACCTCTAGATACTTAGTATCTTCCAGGTCCAGAATCAAGTCATAGAACCCTAGGGCATAGTTTTCAGTGATAAGTTCGATTGATACCAACAATATAAGAGATCCGGTAACGGCAAACAAGAGAATAAGCAGGTACTTTACCATTCTTCTTGTTACATAATATAGAATTACAAAAGATCCCAGAAATAGGGTATAGAAGATTTCCGGATCTGTCTCCTTGTATTTCTCAAAGCCTATATGAAAAAACATCCTGTATATAACATAAAGCCCGGCAACAAACAGTAGGCCACTAGCTATTTCTAGAAACCACACAAGAGCAGATGCCAGAAAGAGGGAGACAACCCATAAGGAAACGGGATCGGTGCTACTCCCTCCAAGTAGATCTTTAGAACCTTGCAATATATCTGGAGGAATGTGGTATGTCTGCACTGTCTTTGGTGAGATAGAATTAATACCTTCCTTTATATCGCAGAAGTTGTAGTAAACTATTGCAGCTATGTATGGTGCCAGGGATATTCTTGGAAAGCGGATGCCGTAGAAGGTCACGAAAAACGACCCTGCAAGTATGGCCCATGCCCCTATGGAGCTTGGGAAGAACATGTCCTCATAATAGCCCACAAAGTCGTTGATAAGTTCAAATAAGAAGTAGCACGATACCTTTCTTATAAGGAGAAAGGAAAAGATAATCTTCATCAATTTTCTGTAACCTAACAACGAAATTATTCCCATCAGTAAAAACTTTCTGTGTTTCAGATGGTGGGGTCTAAACAAATAGTCTTGAGTAGGAAACAATTTAATATGAGACTTTGTCATTCTTTTTTGTCTTTAACAGGTGCCCGGAACTTCAGTGGATTTCGGCGGTAAAATCTCCAGGACGGAACCACAACAATAATCGAGATGATTAGGGTTGCAATACTTATATACATCGTGTATGCAAGGTCATTGAGCACAACTCCAACTATAAGCCCCAAAGTGTATCCAACTCCAAATATAAGATACATAAGGTCGGATGCCAGTTTTTGGCCTACGTAGTCCGCTGGCGGGTCTATCTTCGACAGAAAGGATTTATACATTTCAGGGTTTGCAAAAAATTTCTATAAAGCCCTATCTGCTCCCAGAATCGAGTCTCCGGTAATGTTCTTGTCTCTCCTGTAGATATAGACAAATGGAACTGCCGTACAAAATGCAAGATGTCCGATAGATAACAGCGAACATCCTCCTGCTATTATCTTTTTGATTCCGTTAGGGATTTGTCCAACAGATTTTTCGATGTGGTAGTAGATAACTATTGGAATCTTCTTTATTACCGGAAATTCCTCATATTCCCTTGTGGCCTTGCTCTGAAGTTTGGTATCCTGTTCCATCACAAGGGTCTTGGAAGATCCCCATTTTAGTTTTGTGATAGAAGGTATCTCTATACCTCCTCTTCATCACTTGTTACCACCTTCATATTATTTTCTGTACCGTAATGGAGCGCCAAAGCACCACTCACAAGAAAGAAGAACGTCATTACTATCAGCATGAGTATACAGGCCTGTATCCCAGTTCCATCAAGCCCTCGAAGCTTAATCTGCTCCTCTCCAGTAGTACGTGCATAAGAGCTCTCAAAAACAACTCCATTTAGTTGGTTTTGGAACGATGCTTTGACTGCATAGTACATAGGCGAAAGCCAAACCATCCATCTAAGATATTCAGGTATTGTATTTGGATTGTTGAAAGATCCGCTATAGATCAGAAAAACAAGCAGACCCATCGGTCCAAATACCTGAGAGTTACTTTGCGAAGACGTCATTGCGCCAATGGCCAAGGAGTATGCTATGCTGAACAAGATCAGAGAATTTGTAATGGCCAGAAATGTTAGAAAAGTTTTTAGATCGGAATTGAGTCCCATCATCCAGTATATTATCACTACATAAGGCTCCTCTATTATAAAGTTCATGAGAATTTCCGAACAGTACTTAGCCATAAATGCCGTGACTCCTGAATACATTCCAGACCTCCTCTCTCTGAGTATCACTTTTCTCTCATATGGAAATATGCTGAATATAGGATTACATATTCCAAAAACAGTATTCGTTAGAATAAATGTTATGCCTCCTAGTCTAGTATATATGCTTTCTACAGAATACCCTATGTTGAGGAAGGCAAATCCAAATACAACCATGAAAAATATCTTCTGGAAAGCCTTCACTTTCAGATAGTTGATATTCCTGATGTAGTTCTTCAAGTTCCTGTTCAAAAGAAGCAGAAAACCAAGGGACAACTTGTTCTCACTACTTTTCCCCCTAACCTCCTCATGAAGCTTCGCCTCCAGATTCTTCTTTTTCTTTCTCCACTCGTTAGTTATATGGGAGATCGTTCTCAGGCTTTTCTCTTCCTTATCTTTTGTTCTCGTGTCCAGACTTATTGTCTTCAGAAAAAAGTCCATTGGATTTGTAAGCTCGGGAAGCCGATATCCACATTCCTCAAAAAACGCAATACAGCTTTTGATATCTCCATCATAGACAATGTTACCCATCGTCATCAGAATAAACTTGTCGAAAAAATTCATCATCTCATAGGATGGCTGGTGGATGGTTACTAAAATAGTTTTTCCCATCTTAGACAAGTCCCTGAGCAGACTAAGGATATTCAAGGCATTAAATGAGTCCAGCCCACTAGTGGGTTCGTCACAAAACAATATAGGGGGATTCCCCAGTAACTCAACACCTATTGAAACCCTCTTTCTCTCCCCTCCAGACAAGTTTGCTATATACTTGTTCTTGGAATTGCTCAATCCAAGAAGTGCTATTATTTCTTCTATTCTGTTCTTTACCTTTTGCTCCTCTCCCTCACTTTTTATCTTTATCTTCGACGAAAATAGAAGTGTCTCATAAACCGTCTGATACTCGTATGCGTGGAATTCCTGTTCAACATATCCAATAAAATTCCCCCAACTATTCTTGGACCTCTGGCACGAATTCAGGAAAATCTCTCCACTAAGATCCATATCAGAAGAGATCCTTCCAGCCAGTGAGTTCATTAGAGATGACTTTCCTGCCCCACTAGTCCCCATCAAAGCCGTCATCGTTGAAGGCTCAATCACCCCACTAACCCCCTTCAGAATGGTATTCCTTGCTCCACCTAGTCCCTTTGAAGCCAGCCTTAAGTTTTTCCAAAGAAGTTCTGCTTTCTCTGATTCTACTTGCATGGGCTCAAATAAATTACAGAATTACAATCCATGGAACGTACCCCAGATGCCTGAGGGTATAAAGTCCCTGTTTGAGGGCCAGGAAGTATTTGTGGTGGTAGACGACACAAAAGTAAGAGTTCGGAAGGAAGAAATATCTACCGAAGGCAATTGCAAAAGGGAGGGAATCATTAGAGACATCCCCTTGATTGAAATACGTTCTCTACATGTGAAAAACGATGAGGGATTCTTCTTGAAGTTAAGGTTGCTTGAGGAGACTATCATATTCAAGTTTGATAGCCACCATTCTAGAGATATTATCAAGTCAATGATCCTTTCGTTTATGAAGACTGATCAGGACGTGATAAGGAAAATCTTGGAGTCGGATCCTGCTGTAAAGACAATGTTTAACAATCTAAAACAATGTATTTCCTCTTCCAAGTTCTGGACAATCAACAAGGACAGGATGAGACAGATGATGCCTATAGTTCGGCAGCAGCCGTCAAGAGAAATAGAGGTTGACGAAAAGACTTTTATCTCTTCGCTAGACCCTGTGCTTCTAAATATATTTGGACAAATGAATTGCTCCGTAAACCAATTTTATAATCTTCTTAGGCAATCATACTTTTGTAACACCAAGAATGAAAAGAACAGCCTTGACCGGATGATTAACTCGGCAGTAAGAGATTATGAGGTCCGGCAGGATTTTGCTTCAAGAATCAACACCCATTCTGTTCTGGCTCTAAAACCTATAGAAGATGTGGAAATTCGTCCAAGCACAAAAGAGGGAAGGAAGGTGGAGTTTCTCCCCATATATCCATTTGAGGAGGAGAAGCCAGAAAAGCCAAGGAGAGAGTTCCGGTTTGATAGACACCCGCTAAAGTGTGAATTGGATCTTGAGATTGTACCTATGACAGAGAAGAAGATGTTTGAAAAGAAAGATCTTGTCTGGATCAGAGACTTGTCGAAAGTTGTGTACAAATCAATGAAGGAGGAAGATGGAGCATTTCTGGACGAAGTATCCGAAATCACCAAAAGATTTCTGGATAATATGGAAAGGAAGTATGGGAAAGGATGTGATGTTTACCTCAAAAGAATTCTTCCAACTTATTTTATTGAGGGGAAGAACAAATGACATGGCATCTTCTCAAGCATTATTAGGATTTTCCCCAGTCCTTGGTATTTGAAATGGACCAGGAGGACAAGATAGTATTTTCAAGTAAGGAGGTCAAGGAGTTTCTGGGAATCAAATTCATCACTGAATCGTGTGTGCTTCTGAGACTCTCCTACCAGGTGAGATACAAAGCATTGGTGCTGTTTTATAACTTTTGCGAGGAAATAGATCTTGTAGACCTATGCACGGCTTCCATTCTTTTAGCCTCAAAATTAGAAGAGGAGGTTTGCACTCTGAAGAAGGTGATATATGTCTTCAATTATCTTTACACAAAATATGAATCAAAGGCTGCTCCACTAACAAACAGACAATCCATAAGGCTCAAAGAAGGATGTGTAATTGCCGAGACACGGATTTTGAAGTCATTAGGGTTTGATGTGTCTTTTGAAGATGTGTATTGTGACTTTGTTGAATTCCTCCAGACAATGGATCTTCCGATAGATTTCATAGACAAGGCCATCCAGGTTTTTAACACAATGATACAATGGCCTGAGGTGAAGCTCCTAGACTCCAAATCCCTGGCCAAAGCTACAATAGAATCGTTATTTGGGCAAAACAAGGAATTCAAAGACTTTGTCTCAAGATATAATATGTTCCAAAAGAAAAAGTTCGATTTACAGACATACAAAGAAATCCCTACCATAAGAAACATAGACGAAGGACTGGTTGCAGACTTTGCTAAGAGACAGAAGCGAAGATAAACACCAGTAAGGGAATAAAATAAGGTGAAGGCGGCTGTTTAATTCTTTCTTCTTTTTCCAGGCTCTTGGTCATATTCCTCCTCGCTGTCATCTTCCTCATCTTCATCGTCCGAGCTGTCGTAATCGCTTTCATCTTCCGATGGATCCTCGCTCGATATATCACTTACATCTTCATCATCGGTAGAAAGATCTTCTGTCTCCGAAGAGTTCGACTCCTCCGAAGTCTCGAGTTCCTCATCTTCAGAACTCTCTTCACTATCTCCAACCATGAGGCCAGACCATGCTCCATCTTCATAAAACGAAATTGGGTCCTTCATTATGCTTCCAATAACGTTATTCCACCGGATGCTTGCTGAGGTCTCCATAAATAAGATGTTATTTGAGTCAAGGTACTCTTTGAGCTTGTTAACGCTTTGCACATCTACGCTTAGTATGCTTACAAGGAGACGAGACTTATTCTTCATAACCACATCCAGAGGATATTTGTTCTTCAAGATAAAAAGCACATCTACAGTCTTCACTGTCAAAACAACCCTTTCGAAATTCACCACTTCCACATCCTCGAGAGTCAGTACAAAATATGGCGCTTCGTCAAGACTAACAAGGCATTCGTGGGTTTGTTTGATCATGACATTCTCCCGGAATGGAACCCCATGGAATCCGGTCTTTGGAATTTGAACCTTGAAGTCTGTCTCAGACTCAATGATGTTTACAAAGGATCTAAACTGCTGGTTGATTGCTTCCTGTCTATCCTCCTCTTCCTTCTCGATAATGTACTCCATATGTTCGTCTCCCCTTTTCATGGTGTCATAAATCATCCCACTCCCTGCCTCTCGATAAAACTGTACGTTGGTAACCTTTCCTCCAAGAATAATAGGATTCAATAGATGCAAGTGGAGGATAGCATTTGTTTCCACATTCCCCTCGGAAAAAAATATATGCCGGATATTCGAAAATAAAATCACAACATTTTCCTCCTTGAACCTAAATCCGTTGGCATGAAGCTCCAGACTACCAACCTTCCGGCGTCTAGATCCCGTCTTTATGTCTGTTCTCATATAGACATCTGTAAGGCTAAGAGGCCTCTGGCTAATCTTCAGCTCTTCGAAGCTCTCTGCTTCGCCAGCTGTTTTTCTTGTTGAATGAATCTTCTTCAGGTTATTTATCTCCTCGGCCAGCTCCCGCGAGTTGTTTCCACGAAGGCTTATCGATTTGATGGTGCTCTGGGTGCTTTCGCCGCCTTGCTCATGCTCCGTCTCCTCTGCTCCATCTCTTCCCTTGGGCTCTGCTTTGAAGTTGATTCGAAGAATCTTTTCATCCGTGACTGCAATGCTCTTAATGCTTGAAACATGGAATGGCACAGCATAACTTCCAATCGGTACCACTATCGATTCTCGAGAAAAATCCACCACTAGCCTCCCTTGTCTAGGAACAAGGCTTTCTTTACCATATGGAACTATCTTATCTTCCTTTTTTTCCTCGTCCTTTCCAGAATCCGAAAGGTTTCTATAGAACTCAAGCCTCTCCTCAATGAGCTTGTCAAGTAGCTCCTTCTGATGCTCTTTCCTCCTCATGCTCAACTCATACTCCTTTGTCTTATCTCGGAACCGTGATCTTTTATCTAGAAAGTCGGGTGCCGCATCCTGCAACGTTAGATATTCCGGAACCTCTTCAAGGATAAATGTGTTCGACAAAGACATCGTCTCATTATTCAATCTTATTACAAAAACACATCCCTTCCTAAGGATAAACGAATTCTTAAAACTTCTTTCCTTGCTCATCAGTCCTATCGTGTATATAAAGTCCGGATCAAATACAAGTCCGTTTTCTGCAAAGTATTTCTCTCCTTCCGAGTATACAGTCGAAGAATCCGTTCCCTCCCGTACTAGTCCTAGAATATACTCCTGGGCCATATAAGCTTCTTCCATGTTCGTTACAATGGTCCTAGATGCTTCACTGCAATACCCATTGTATCTTACCCCAATTCTGACTCTGTCCCGAGTATATTCCACAGGAAATGAAAACTCGCACAAACTCATGTCTACCCCATCCACATTCGAATTCATCATTTCTTCGAGCCTCGCCTTTTCAAAAGCTCCATCCCATAGCATCTCCATCCCCTTTTTCATCAGTGCAGACACCGCCATTCCCGAAGCCTTGGAGTTCTTAATCTCTTCATCATCTTTTGTCAGGAAGATTTCCCCCAACTTCTCAGTTGCATCAGACACACTGATCTTCTCGAGGATATTCCTGCAAAAGTCTCCCTGGATCTCCTCGGAATCCGCAACATAATATGAATTCCTGAGCATCCCGTAGATCTCATCCATGTTTGAGTTATCTTTGTTCCGCACAACAATGTTCAAGCACGAGATCTGTTTGAGAATCTCAGACTTCTTTTGGCTTGTTATCGCCGTGCATGTGTCATCAACTATTAAAATGGTCTCAGGAAACTCGTATCCAAGTAAATAGATAAAGAGAGCCGAGTTGATTCGAAACTCAAGAACATCTTGGCCCTTTCCCAGAAGAACAACCAAAGGCCCTCCAAGATGCTTTCTTATCTCCTTTGATCTCCTCTTAAATCTTTCTTCTTCAAGCTTGATCATCGACATCTCAAGGATTAAAATTTTTATTCATCATCTAAAACTAAACTCCCTCTAGGACATCACTCAATTAAAAAAGTATACTCTATTACTTTTTGTTCCACACACAAGCCCTCCTTCACTTCCCATGTCGAAGCAGTACACTTCATCATCACAGACTAAGTCGCTTACCACTTTTTTTTTGCTTACTCTAAACATCTTAACAGTCTTATCTTTGGAACATGAAACTATCAGGTCGTTCATCATCTTGACCTTGTAAACCAGATCTACATGCCGAAAGATTAGAAGCTGCTGGCCTGAATCTACGCTCCACAGTCTCACCGACTTATCAAACGATCCAGACGCTGCATAAAGACGGTTTTGAGATATGGAAACAGAGATAACCTCTGCATTATGCTTCATTCTTTTGTGAAGAACAAACCCCTTCCAAACAATAACATCTCCTCCATCACATCCAGACACCATATAATTTCCATTACAGTCAATGGTATTAATTCCTGAAGAATGCCCCCTGAGTTCGTCTGAGAATCTGAGATTTTTGTAAACCTTGATTCTTCCATCTTTACTTCCCGAGGCTATGTAGTCCTCTCCAGAACAGATGCATGTAACAGGCATTGTGTGAGCATAGGAAAGAAGAACTTCTCCGTTCAAATTCCATACCACAACAGAATTGTCTCTTGACCCCGTAACTAGACTCTCCTTGTAAAACTTCAATGCCACCACTCCTTTTCTATGTCCAAGGAAACTTCTAATGTATTCACCTTCTCTGGAATAGAGGTTAACACCTCCATCAAGCCCTCCACTAGCAACATATCTTCCATCGGGAGAAACATCAAGAGACAAAACCCAATGGGTGTGTCTTTTGACTATTTTACTCTGCGTCTTTGTTCTTGCGTCCCAAAACCTAACTGTAGAGTCTCCTCCTCCAGTGACAATCACTCCTCCATACCTCACGCAAAGGACAGGGCCTTCATGCCCACTGAACGACGAGGAGCAATGGAAGGCTGCTTGTGTTGCAGGTTCTTCGTCACTCATTCTAATCTTTATAACCTCTTCTTCCGACGAGATTCCCAGCAACTCCAATGTCTCCTCAAGCGTCTCAAGGACTGGTTGGCCATTAATGTAAAGCGAGAGGGTTGTATTTGCAAGCAATTGCAGCTGTGATCTAAGTATCTTAACGGGTATTTGAAGCCGATCCGATACTTTACGGCCCTCCTGGTCCTCAAACTCAACAAGAACCAAACCCGACATGGGGGAGTGGAAGTTAAACATTTTATTGGCCCGATACATCTCGTTCTTGATCTTGTATACCTTCTGCCAAGAAATGCACAGAGTAGAGCCAATGCAAGTACATCATCATTAGTGAAAAATTTATCCCTAGAGAATGAGGTTGAAAGATGCTGCAAAAGCCCACATAGAGGCTTATGATGCAATATTCGAGGAACACATACTTGACAACCTTGTGGCGAACATTCCGCCCCTAATTAGAGGGAAAACAAAGATAGTGGTTGAAGATATTCATATCTACCCACCATTCCTGAGCGACAAAGACCATATATCTGTAGATAGGAGGTTGTTTCCCTGGGAGTGCCGAGAGAGAGGACTGACATATAAAGGGAAGATTATTATTCGGATTTCATTGTTCCATGACAACAAGCACATCATGACCGAGGACAAGTTAGCAGGATACTTTCCCATTATGGTCCGATCATCTCTATGCCACTTAAGGAATGCTAAGAATATGAACAAGGTTGGAGAGGACGAAGACGAGGTTGGAGGATATTTTATAATCAACGGATTTGATAAATTCATTAGGTTTACCATTACACAAAAGAGAAACCATATATTCGCATTCAAGACGCGGAAAAGAGAAAGTTTCTTTACAGGTTACGGAGTATCTATGAGATGTGTAGGAAAAGACGAAATTGGGCACATGAATAATTTGTATTACTGCACAGATGGAAATGTGGTTCTCAAGATGTACTATAGAAGATCGGAATTTTTTTTCCCACTAGTTCTCATTTTAAGGGCTTTAGTTAATACAACAGATGAAGAGCTGTACGAAGCCTTAGGACAAGGAGAAAGGGCCATCCACCTCCTCAAATGCTTTGCAGAGTACAATGTTTTTTCAAGAAAAGAGTGTTTAGATTACATTGGGTCTCGTTTTTCATCTATGGCCAACTTCGGATCGAAGATTGAGGTAGCTGAGGAGATTTTAAGTAAGTACATTGCTTCTCATCTTTCATCACATCTTGACAAGTTCAACTTCCTAATACTTGCAGCTAAAAAGCTGTTTTCCTTTGTGAACAACGAAATAGCAGAAGAAGACTTTGATTCCTCTGGAAATCACGAGCTCCATACGACAACACAAATCTTATCTTCTCTTCTACGGGACAAGATAGAAGAGTTCATGCGGTCTCTTCCTATTGCATATAAGAAAGCATATTTAAAAAGCGAAGGGGAGAAAAGAAGATTGGAAGAAGACTCCGACTCGGAGGTTGTAGATGGAATCTACGAAGATAAACTGGATATATTAAAGATCAAGGAGATATTCAAGAAAGCAGTCATGAACATTGGGCAGAAAGTAGAGCTTTTCCTATCTTCAGGGAACATATTTTTGTCCTGTTGTTCAGACATTCTTCAAACCACAGGGCTTTCGATCACCCTTGAAAGAACCAATTTCTACAGATACTTCGGTAACTTGCGTAGCATCAACAGAGGGACACATATTCCCTCATTGGTGACAAGAATCCGCAAACTTAGGCCTGAGTCTTGGGGATTTATTTGCCCAGTTCATACTCCTGACGGGGCATGCTGTGGGGTTCTTCTGCACATGGCCAAGGGGGCAGATATAGTCTCCAGGGCAAATGATTTTGACACAGAGATTCTCTTTGAGCTTGGTGTTGTTCCAACTATCCGAGGCGTTAGAATGGAAGTTCCTGTTCTTGTAGATGGAAAAGTGATTGGGTCAACTTCATCCCCACAGTTTCTTGTTCGGATGCTAAGAGAGTATAAGGTCAAGAACAGACTAAAAATAGAGATTGTATACAGCGAAGGGACCAAGGTATTTTCTTCTGTCTGTATTTTCAGCTCGATGGGCAGATTTATCAGAAAAGTCATGAACCAGAGGCTGGGGTCTGAGGAATGGGTTGGAATAATGGAGCAGGTTTCTTTAAACATAGATTTAGAAAGGGGAGAGGGGGATTACCATGAGATAGACAAGTCCAACATATTAGGAATAATAGCAGGTTTGACTCCATATTCCGAACACAATCAAAGTCCTAGAAATATGTACCAGTGCCAAATGGCTAAGCAAGCAATGGGATTTTCGGCATACAATATGAAGACAAGGATAGACCACACCATGTACAATATAAATTATCTCCAATCTCCCTTGGTCAGAACAAAGGGATATGACATGGTCAAGGATTATCCTCTGGGAATCAATTGCATGGTGGCGGTTCTCTCATATACAGCATACGACATGGAGGATGCACTTGTGATCAACAAGAGCAGCATCGAAAGAGGGTTGTTTACAGGATTGATTTATAAAACAGAAAGAATAGTGTTGAACAAAGGTTATTCCTTTTTGTATCTTCCGTCTGTCGGAGAAAAAATACAGAAGGATTCGATTCTATACAAATATGTTGATTTGGAAGATAGAGAGTACCAGACAAGATACTTGGAGACCGAAGATGGGGTAATTGATTCTGTTCGAGTATTTGAAAGTGATGCAGGAGAAAGATGTGCTTTACTGACCATAAGAATGGTCCGAAACCCTACTATTGGAGATAAGTTCAGCTCAAGGCATGGGCAGAAGGGTGTTTGCTCGGTACATTGGCCAAGCATAGACATGCCGTTTACGGAGTCTGGATATGTCCCGGACATCATAATCAATCCCCATGCATTTCCAAGCCGAATGACTATTGGAATGCTGATGGAATCTATTGCAGGGAAGGTTGGATGCCTAAGCGGGAATACCCAGGACGGAACGGCATTTGAAAAGAATCTCTCCCAAGGAGAAGATGAAGAAACGGTTGGAAGAAAGGAATATATATGCTCTGAGCTCCAGAAGTATGGTTTCAACTACTATGGAAATGAACCGATGTATAGCGGAGTATCTGGAAATGAGTTCCGCGTTGATGTATTTGTAGGAGTTGTTTATTACCAAAGGTTGAAGCACATGGTGGGAGACAAGTTCCAGGTACGTACAAAGGGGGCGATTGTTTCTACAACTCGACAACCAGTTGGAGGGAGAAAGAGGCAAGGAGGAATCCGCTTTGGAGAGATGGAACGGGACACTTTGATTTCGCATGGGGCTTCGCATCTCTTACAAGATAGGCTCCTCAAGTGCAGCGACGGAACAACTTTTGAGTACTGCGGGGCTTGCAAGAGTATACTCTTTACAAGCAGTGGGGATTGTATTTGCGGGAGTAGTGATATTCGGATAGTTGAGATGCCATATGTCTTCAAGTACCTGTGTTACGAGTTACTTGCAATGAATATAAGAGTCAAGCTTGATCTATGAATAATTAAATGGGATTTTGAGCTTAATATTCTGTAGTCTTTTCCCCAGTTGATGAGAAGGACAAAAAAGAACAACGCAAGAGATGGAAACTCTCTTCAGGACAGGCCTAAGAAGAAAGAAGGCCAAGCCGGGCTTGAGGACGATATTGAAGCAATATTTTCCTCTGTTGGCTCTTCAGAAGCACACAAGTTGAAGGAAAGAAAAGAAGATTCGGAGTCCGATGAAGAGAAGTATTTTTCTGTTGGAAAGAATGGCAGAAGATACCATGAGGGTCTTCCGATCTATACGCCCGAGGAACTTCATCTTGGAAATGGAGGGGACACGGAGGATTGCCCGATATATTGCGACTGCTGTATGTAAGGCTTTGGGAGATTCTGAAGCTACACTCGGCAAGTCCTCTGGCTTCTACCCGGGAGTACTTTGACAAAAATATTCAATGTAGACACCCAATGTACTTCAGTAGAATTGTCCGAAAGATAAAAAAAGAAAGAAGCCAACTCCGGGTGCTTGTGCTTGGCTTGGATAATGCAGGAAAGACCACTGTCCTACACAAACTCCTTGGAAAAGCGATAGAACATGTGCAACCAACCTTTGGGTATCAGATCTACGATGTTACCTATAAGACGCTTAGCCTGATAATTCTTGATGTAGGTGGGCAGTCAATGTTTGTGGAGTATTGGTCGAGCTACTACGAAGACGTGGACGGAGTTGTGTTTGTGTTTGATTCAAGCGACCGGCGATCTTTTATCGAGCATGTAGGGCATATTAAGTCTACTCTTGTAGACACGCCTATGTTGATATTGGCCAATAAATCGGATCTCAATCCTACATTTGATCCCAGGTCATTTGGAAACGACTTCTGTGAGTTTCTTGAAAAAAACGATGTTAAACTTTCGAAATGCTGTGGATTATCTGGAGATGGACTAGAGGAGGGGTTTGACTGGATGATAGGCAGAGCAATGAAAGGGCTAATGGTGGACGAAGAAGAGGAAAAGAAAATGGAGCAGGAGAAGATATTTGGGTAGATTGTAATGAAGAATGTTTATCCCTCCGATGAAAAGGCGGAAGGGATCGAGCTTGGGAAGTATGCACACTGTGTCTGAGATAAGAAAACATAAGAGAGAAAGAAACAGAAAGCTTCTTCTGGAGATATATGGACTGGAGAAAGATCCAAATTTAACCAAGGATGCAAGGGGAAGGTATGTCTGTGCACTTTGTAAGACTAAGCATCTGACAGAGATGAGTTATGTAAAGCATAGAGAAGGAAAGAAGCACAGAGAAGTACTTTCGAGAAAAGAAGAGACCACTCGCATTATTCCTTCTTTTAGTATACGGAATCTAGTGAGGGAAGGGAAAAAAGGATACGGCATTGCTGTTGACTACAAGCTTGCTGAGGAAATGCCACAGCATCGCTTTGTAAGCAGTCTAGAACAAGGTGTGGAGGAGTATGACGAGTGTTTTGGATACCTCGTATTTGTGTGCCAGCCTTACGAGAACATCGGATTCAAATTCGAAAACAGGGAGATTGACAGAACCTCCATCTATGAAGACATTGATGAGGAGACGGGAGCATACATGTTTCACTTCTTCTTTCAAAAGACTCATGATTGATGAAGGCCTATGGATTTTTACGTTCTACTTTTTAATCCCAAGAGATGTTATTTTGCCCTCTGTGTTCAAGCATGCTGGTTGTTAAAAGACAGCCTGCGGGGAATGAGCTGTCTTGCATCATGTGTGGGTATTTGTATGGCATATCCAAGGAAATGTCCAAGACTATCGCCATGACGCCAAAGAAAAGCGATGGGTTTGTTGACGAGGATGAGAACTTGAAGTTTGTGTCCAAGTGTGGGAAGAAATGCGAGTGTGGTTCTGAAGAGGTTTCTTTTGTAGAGCTTCAGACGCGTAGCGCAGATGAGCCCATGACGATATTCTATAAGTGCATAAGATGTAAGAAGGTTTGGAAAGAATGAAAAACTATAGAGATAGCTCACCAACAGAATAAACCGTATTTATCTAGTGTATTTTCTATTGGCAGGAATTTATCAGAAGTTGGCTTGGGATTCTTTGGCCTATACTATTCTTCCTCTTCTCTATGCATTTCAATTTCTGAAAAGGCAAAGAAGATCTCTCCCTCTTCATTGTTATCTCCGTCCTCTTCATACACAATCCTATCTGAAGGCCAATTCTTGGCTATGGTTATCCACTGGCTTAGAATGTTTGACTTTTCTCCGCTTGTTACAAAGAACATGTATTCTGTGGGAAGTCCATATCTATAAACCGATTCCACGAAAAGCTTCAGGAGTTTGACATGGACCAGTATCTTGAGAACCTCTTTTAGATTGATTTGCAAAAACGTAGTCAGAAGTCTTTCAACAGCCGAAAACCTCTCTTCAGCCTTTCTTCTCTTTGTAATCATCTCCTCGGAGGAAATCATATTGTCGTCGAGATCTTTTATCAGAAATCCCTCAGAGTGCATCATATTTCTTACTTCTTCCTCGCCCTGATGCAGGATGTAAATCTTAAAGAGATTATGGTCTTCATCACTGTTTATCTTCTCCACAGCATCTCCCGATATGTGTGGCGAATCCTCCACAACTCTGTTGAACTCGGAGCTTTTACTCTTCTGAACAACCACATATAAAACTTTGAGGAATTCATACTTCTCTGCCTTTCCAACTATTATGTTAAGATTGATGTCGCATAAACTCCCTCTTGTAAGTTTTTGAAGCTTCTCACATTCCTTCCTTGCATCTCCAAACTCCTCAACCTTCTCTTCATATGCCTTGTAAACTCTTCCATACTCTCCATCCAGTAACAAAATTGCTTTGTCAATCGAGTTGGTTGGAAAGTTCTGATTGTCCCATCTGAGAAAATTCCCCGCATTCTCAATGCTATCGCATTCAACTTCCTTTGCAATCCTACATGTTCTGGAATATCCCATGAATGTTTTGAAAAGACCTTCGCACGACTTTTCTAGCAAATTTAATCTCTCTACCTGATTTACTATCCCTTCCAGGGACACTCCTGTGAAGGATGGAAGAGATATTCTACTGCAATTAACTCCGTAGTCCTCTTGGATTAGATCTTCTGTTGGTTGGGGTACATCCTCCTCCACCGGGAGTCCTACAAGAACAAACATCGGGGTGTTAGATTTTGTGGTTTAAGTGGGACTGCTTACATGTAAGATTTGTGATTTGAAGGATCTGGTAAATGATTGCCATTTTGGATTGCATCATGGCGTTTCATTGACGCCAAATAAATAAAGCTGTGAAACCCTGTGTAAATAAATGTATCTCCACAGATCAGAGTTGGAGGCTGGTATTGAAAAGCTCATGAAGACAATGGAGGACCACGAGGTTTTGGAGAGATGCAGGAAGTCACTGAGAGAGATGGATAAGATTGAAGAAGAAAACATAAAAGACTTCATTAGAGAAACACGAGATATTGTCGATGCTTTTGTGAAGGGATTGAGAATCAAGAAGCAGGTTCCGATTTTTGTTATTGATTTCATATACACATTTCTTGTCAACGATCTTCTCATCTCAAGTGACATCAAGGAGATTATTAGTGTTATTTCTGAGGGGAATTGGTGCGAAGTATCGAAGATGAAGATACTCCAGATGAGCTACTACATTATAAGATATGAAAGCTTCAAGGAGGACCTTGCACTGTCCTTGTTTAAAAGCATAGTGAGAATGATTGATGACAGAAGCAGACAGGTACAGACAACTGCTAAGCCCATAGCGATGCATTTAGTGGATGTTGTTTTCAGCAGGGCATGTCCAGTCTTCAAGGAAGAGGTTCAGAGCGAGGAAGGGGAACCTGAGTCTACGGCTGTTTGCCCTGACGTCCTTGAAGGGAACAGGCCTGGGTCTGAAAGACTGCTTGTGAGAGGTGGTTTCCAATTCTCTAATTCAATCAATGATGGAATTACATTCCTTAAGCATCTTCTGGAGAATGGGAATACCTCGAAGGAAATGAATCACTTTATGGTTGATGCAGTACTTCTAATAACCCGTAAAAGCGATCTTTTTGAATATGAGGAGTTCAGGAAGATATATGATTCTGAAGTGATGGCTATGCTGATGGAGTTGATAAAAAGGAGATGCTCTTCCAGGGGGAATGTCTATAAGGTACTTGCAAGATTAGTTGAGAGACATAACTGTCTGTTCGAAAAGCAGATCCTTGCAGTGTTTGATGAAATGGAGAAATCTTATAGTCTACTTGACGACTTGGAGACTGAGATGTTTTTGGACTTCTTCGGGAGTTTGGACATCTTGTTGTTTGAAGGCTACTCCTCAACTATAAGAAGAATGTTTTTCAACATTCTTGAAAATGCATCGTTTGATGATGAATTTGGAAATGAGTATGTAATCGATACCATTAGAAACTCATTAAATGGCCAACTGAAGGCTCAGGAGAAGACAAGTGGTAAGTTTCATTCCTCAACAAAGGCTTTCTTTGGTAAGTTTTCGGAAATCTTATATGCAAAACTGTCTGATATCGATAACGTACATCCCAAGGTGGAGTGTCTGCTGGAGATTGTCCTTTGGTTCTATTCTGTTTCTGGTAACAAGGAGTTTCTGGACAGGTTTATGGTTCTGGGGTGCAAGCTAGGGTTTACAGATGTTGTATGTAGAAATGCCATTGAGAACAGAAAGCATATACAGGACTCCTGGTGGATTGTTCTTGAGAACGGTAAGGACCATCTTGGAAAGATCATAGAATCTATCTGTATCTTTGATGCCGAGGAGATCTTTTTTCTAATCAAAGGTATAGAGCAACCCGAGCCTTCTTGTACATGGACCTCGAAGGAGAGAGTGGACTTTCTCTTGTCTGTGTTTAATATTATCAAGCCTGTTGTAGTAGAGCCGCTGAACATAAAGATATTTGAGATGATTCTCGGAGGGATACTAAGGGAGAGTGGAAGCGAAGAGGGGTATCCGACCAAGGTATTCTGTTCTATTCTCATGGATTATGTTGGGCATTTAGAGGCACTAACGCCTGATGTCGAAAGCGTTATTTTTGTCCTCCTGCAGAAGATGCTTGGAAAAGATCTGGAAAGGAACGGATTGGAAATTTTGGAAACCTTGTCTTTTGTCCTTCGAACCATGACGCCTGAGAGCTGTTGGGACACAATTCTCCAATGCATCGAGTGTTCATGTATTCCCTGCCTGTATTCCTCCTTGTACCCCATTATTCGATGGATTATAGAGGGATGCGGGCATCTCATAAGTAACGAGCATTTTGGAGTGCTTATAGATTGTCTGTATTCGATGTGCCTGTCGCCGAGCAGCGAAATAAGCTTAAAGGCAATATTTATCTTCCAGGATATTGGGGAGAGCCTAATGAGTAGGAGGGCTTTTGATCGATCTCCCAAGGGGAAGGAAGAGAAGAACAGAGACATGAATCCAGCGTGGGCCAAATACATAAAGGTATTGGGGGAGATGACAAACGATGGAAGACATATGGTGTGTGAAACGGCCATTAAGTATCTGGTTATGTTCCTTGAGGCAGAGTGTGAGGTAATGAACTCCGAAGAGCTTGACTTTGCAGCAAATAATGGCCTTATTCCTGTTTTGGAGAAGGGAAGGGAGTTTGCCAAAGGCCGGGATTCAGAAGCCCATTGTACTTTGATGCTGATAATGGATGAATGTAGCAGAACGATTGGAAAGATGAATTACCATGAGGAGTTGTATGGAAAGTTTCTTGAGCTTGTTGCAGATAGCCTGTGCAACACAGACTCTTCGGAGATACAAAATATGTGTATTGAGAGTCTAAAGATGATGACAAACAGGATTTCAGGGACAAGGGATGAAGGAAAGAGTATATGCCAGGAAGGAAGCGAGCATAGCCCGGAAGATATGGGATTTAAGGCAGGGATTGGAGAAAGAAAGTCTCTCCAGCCCCTTCAAAGGCTAAGGGACCTGGTTTTGAACACATACAAGTTGATCTTTTCCAGTATTCCTGTAAACGAAGGATATTCTACTAGTGTGTGTCTTGACATGATAGACTCGGTCAAAGGATTTGGATTCAAAAGCTCTGAGCGTCGCTCTCTGATTCCTTTGCTTCGAAAGTTTGTCCACAGCGATTGCCAGACGCTTCAAGAGAAGATTCTGAATATGGTTGGGGAATGGCCAGCGGAAGATGGAGGACTTGACATGCAACTTGAAGCTTACAACGACTGGATCGAATTCAAGGATATCCGCCTGTCTAGGATGCTTATTGAAAGAATAGGAAGGATTCTATCCAAGGATTTGGAGGATACGCGGTACTCGGAAGCAGCAATGGATTTGGTTGAATACAGCAAGGAAAAGGCCTTCTGGGAAGACGTTGTTAGAGCGTTTATGAAGGGGTCTGAAAACATAAAAACCAGAGCCTCATTTATATCGTTTATAAATGGATGTAGGGTGATTCTAAAGGAGGCACCGAAAGTGAAAGCCCTCCAATGCTCACCGGAAACAGAGGGATGTAGCGGGCTAGGGGAAGAGGCGTCGGAGAGCATGGCAAAGGCTATAAAGAAAAGAGAGCGAATCATTCTTGAGTTCCTAGCCTTTTACCATGAGGTTCTGAGTAAGTTTGCTCCAAACACCAAAAGGTTGGATAGCCATTCCATGCAGCCTTTTGACCAAACAACAGAATCGGATGTTAGAGAAGGATATAAGGTGATTTTTGAGATGAGCGAGCTCGGATCTGGACTTGGAAAAGAGAGTATTTCCTTCAAATGTTATGAAATACTATTCCATGACATTGAACTTATTTACAGCGATGTTGTTGAGAAGATCAGGAAGGTCCTAACGGAGTATAACGAGATGGAAATGATATACAATGGACTCTATTCCCGAGTAAAGCAGAGGGAAGTCTATACTCTGCTGGAGAAGATATGGAAGAGCGGAAATAAGAAGCTTGTAGATGATGTCAAGGATGTTCTTGTTGAGTCGCTCCGATCCAAGGACTACAGGGTTATCGATCATGTTCGAAAGTGTTTGGAAGTGATTCTTGTATGAGGAATAAACATTAAAGATTACCACAGTCTTTTTCTAGAAAAAAACTGAGAAATCCGGAAAGAAAAAATAATAAAAACGGAAAATCCCTAAGACACAATGTCAGAAGAAAAGCAAAAATCCAATACATCTAGAGCAATTGGAATTGATCTTGGAACTACATTTTCCTGTGTTGCAGGGTACATAGGAGGAAAGGTGGAGATCATTACAAATTCGGATGGAGAAAGAACCACACCGTCTGTAGTGAGTTTTGACGAGAACGATTGCACTGTTGTTGGAACAGCAGCAAAGAACATGGCAGGGCTTGATCCCACGTCAGTTCTGTTTGACTCTAAGCGAATGATTGGAAGAGATTTTGACGATCCGAAGATCCAGAACATGATGAGTGGATGGCCATTCAAGATTGTGAGATACAACGGGCGTGAGAAGAAGGAGATGCCTCACAAGGATCCTTCTTCAACCAATTCCTATGACAACATGGCATACAAGTTCACGAAGAATGGAAAGACCAAGTATTACACACCTCCTGAGATCAGCTCGAAGATTCTGTCTAATCTGAAGAAGGCAGCTGAGGCAAGGCTTGGAGGGCCTGTGGATGCCATGGTGGTGACAGTTCCTGCATACTTTGAGGATCCTCAGAAGGCAGCAACCAAGGCAGCAGCAACCATTGCTGGGTTCAATGAGGACAGAGTTAGACTCCTTGCAGAGCCAACAGCAGCAGCACTGGCATATGCCCACATCCAGACACAGAAGAATGCCAATTTCTCTGCAAAGGAGGATGTCCTTGTGTTTGATCTTGGAGGAGGTACATTCGATGTATCTGTGCTTGACTTTGAGTTCAATGCAACCACAGGAACCTTCGGAATTGTCAAGGCCATTGACGGAGATACATTCCTCGGAGGCCAAGACTTTGACAATCTATTGATCAACTACTGCATTTCCGAGTTCCTTAAAAAGAATCCTTCGATCCAGAAGACTGATCTCAAGGAGAGTGCTCTTCTCAGACTCAGGGCAGAGTGTACCAGAGTCAAGGCAGTTCTTAGTTCGGCAACAAGCAGCACAATCTATGTGCCTTGCTTCCACATGACAGATGACTTGAACGTACAGATTACCCGTGCTAGATTCGAACTTCTTTGCGACCATCTCTTCAAGAAGTGCATGGAAAGGACCAAGGGATGTCTCTTGCGCTCTACAGGAGTTCCCTCTGTTGAGTACTCTTCTGATGGAAACAAGCTCCTTTTGAATCCTTCTCTTGAAAAGACATTGAACGAAGCCAGAAACAACATTAGTAAGGTTCTACTTGTGGGAGGATCATCGAGAATCCCAAAGGTCAAGGCTCTGCTTGCAGAATACTTTGGAGCACACAAGGTCATTGAGCCTGTGAATGCAGACGAGGCCGTTGCATATGGAGCAGCATACCAAGCAGCATCCATATACTCCGATGCTGTGGAAGCAGGATCAAGTCTTCTTCTCATTGATTGTGTTCCGCTGAACCTCTCGATTGAGACTGCCGGAGGAGTTGCAACACCTCTAATCAACTGCGGAGACAATATCCCAATCAAGAAGACAGAGACCTTTACAACCTATGAAGACAACCAAACAGCCGTAACAATCAATGTGCATGAGGGAAACAGGCCGATGTGCAAGGACAACAAGAGAATTGGAACCTTCAACCTGGATGGAATCATCCCAGGACCCCGTGGAACAGCTAAGATTGAAGTTACTTTTGACGTTGATCACAACGGAATTCTTGTGGTTACTGCCGAGGACAAGCAGACCGGAAAGTCCAACAAGATCACCGTAACAAACTCTCAGAACAGACTTAGTCAGGAGGAGATCGAGAGGATGGCCAAGGAGGCACGAGATAACGAACAGCGTGACAACGAGGTCAAGGAGAAGATGGGCAAGAGGATGTCGTTCGACCAAGCCATTTTCACATTCAAGGGTCTTCTTGAAAAGGCCAACATTTCTCAAGAGAAGAAGGACGAGTCTTTGAATTTCATCAAGGAGCATGAAGAATGGCTCTCAAAGGCACAAGGGCCTGATGACTTCGAGGTGGAAGAGCTTGAGAGAAGATCTAATGAGCTCCAGAGCTTCATGAACGATATCATGAAGGAATCTGGGATGAGTGCACCAACAGCCTAAATAATTAAATGGTTTGTCTCTATAATCAACCTACTTTCTTTTGTGGAGGCAGGTTTAAGACGCCTCCCTTGGAACCCCAGGATGGCTATTATTTCTCTAGTAGTCATCAACGTACACACAAGAAAGATAAAAGCAAAGGCATTTAGTCTCAAGCAATTCTCATTCTTCACTCGAGGAAAGGTAAAGGAGACATTGACATTTATTTCACAAGAGCTTGCAGAAAAGTTGGAGACATATGAGTTCCAGGAGTACACACACGAATTCAATGATGAAAAGGCCTATAAGCTGTTTAGTATGGTACATAACGACTATGCTTACATAGCATGTGCAGACGATGACTATCCCGGGGTTGTGGCCTTGAGACTTTTACAGGAGGCAAGGCACGGAAACATCGAGAAGCTCATCGAGGAGTACAAAGACCCTGCATCAAAACACACCCTCTTACAAATACAGAACGAGGTGGAAGAGACAAAGGGGGCTTTGTCCAAGACTCTGATGGCAGTTCTTGAACGGAATGACAAGCTGGAGGATCTGGTTGCCAAGTCCGAGCATCTCTGTTATGAGACGAAACTGCTGTTCAAGAGTGCAAAAAAGAAAAATAAGTGTTGCTGAGGGCCTTATAAAATAAAACTAGACAGTTCGATATTTCTTTGTTTTTTGAAACTAGTTTCACAATCCCATCGAATGGACCATGAGTTCAGGCAGTTCTACGAAACACTTGAGAAGGGGAAGTTCAAGTTCTTTGGAAAGGGAGAAGGATACAGCGTGTTCAACTCCGATATCGAGATGATTCCTCAGTACAACGCCAGAGACGTGATCGAAAGAAAGGAAATGAAGGAGCTAAGGCTTTCTAAAGGAGAAATTGAAGGAATAGTTCGAGCACTGTTAACTGAGATCAAGATTGGGGTACAGGAATACAACGGCCAAGTTCTTGTAAGAGAAGGATTCCCAGGAAACTGGAAGGACTTTACAGACTTGCTGCTTGATGCTAGAAGTATTCCATCAATTGCAGCCGTCAAACTAGGAGAGGTGGTTGAGATCAGCTTCCTTATCACATCGGAGTCAACGATCTACACATCTGTCTTTGAGGATGATGAAATATTCAGCAGCCTGTACTGGATCCTAAGTGAAGTAAATGTGGTTGAGGTTGTATACGATAACAAGAAGCTTGGAGGTTTCTTCAACAGATTAGGGGTTTCAAGCAGCTTGAGAAGATGTGAAGAAAACACTGTAAAACTCCTGTGTAGATATCTCAGGATATCTGAAGAGAATTATAAGTGTGAGGAATATACTAGGCCATTTATATGCAGGATAGATAGAAGCGTCCTGTCTGCATTGAATGTGTGCAGTGATGACGAACATTGTGTAGCTAAGACCTTTTGTTGTTATACAAACCAGGGCTGGAGACTCCTGCACAGAATGTTTTTGCAACCTCTTCGTAACAAGGATGAGATTGAGAGAAGGTTGGAAACCGTTGACTCATTGAGAACACTTAACCTGAACATCTTGAAGAAATTTCCAGATCTTCTAAGGCTATCTAAGCGAATAGAAACAGGGAGAATATCCTTGAGGGAAATCCTCAGACTTATTCAGACCATCGACATCATTCCAGAGCTCTTGTCTTCCTTTTCATCCTCTTTGCCTCTCACCAGAGACTTTTCTAAGCCTCTTAAGAGTATCTTTTCGGCTTTTGGCCCGTTCAAAGAAGAGATTGTACGAGTAGTCGATTTAGAGGCAGCAGAAGAAAACGTGTATAGGATTAGACCTGATGTGTCTGCAAGGCTTCTTGAGCTTTCCGAGGCTCTGGGAGAAATCGAGAAGGAGATGAATGGGGAGTATGAGAGGGTGTCTGAGATTTATCCGAAGATCAAGATAGACAAAAATACTGGAGTCTTCAAGACTACAAAGGGTGAGTACCAAAAAGCTCAAGATCTTCTTAGGAAGGAAGGTTTTGTTGAGCTAAACTTTGTAAAGGGAGGAGTCACACTTACAACCAGAATCCTTTCCTCCTTAAATGGGAGACAGGTAGCGCTTAAAAAAGAAATCGATGACGAGGAGAAAGAGGTTATGGACCGAATCAAGAGAATGCTGAAAAGTTACATATCTCAAATCGAGTCCTTGAACTACCTGACTGCATTGATAGACGTGTTCAATGCATTTTCCATCAAAGCCTCTCTCAAGGGATATTCAAGACCCATGTTCAACAAAGGGATATTTGAAATAAGAAATGGTTTCCATCCGGTTCTTGAAGATCAGGACTATATTTCTAACTCGATAAGGATGGAGGAGAAGAAGATGTGCGTGGTGACTGGCCCGAACATGGGAGGGAAAAGCACCTTCCTTAAAACATGTGGCGTGGTCGCTCTTCTTGCACATATAGGATGTTATGTTCCTGCAGACTATGCCAGTATTCCGATTCTTGACGGGATATATGCCAGAGTCGGGGCTAACGACTGTTCATTCACAGGCTCATCCACATTCATGATGGAGATGGCAGACATAGCAAGGATATGCCGTCTGAGCTCGTCCGAGTCACTAATCATAATAGATGAGCTTGGAAGAGGGACTAGCGCAATCGATGGCTTGAGCATTGCACAGGCTGTCAAAGAACATATTGTTCAGAAGAAAGCCCTGTGTCTTTGTGCTACACATTTTCCCGAACTCTGCGGAGACGACGTGTTGAATAAGAAAGTTAAGAACGAAGGAACACTTCTTATGTATGAGGTTGTTGATGGGGTATGTGACACAAGCTTTGGAATAATGGTTGCAGAGAAAGTAGGGTTTCCTACAAAGGTGATTGAGACGGCTAAGGAGTATATGGAAAAATAGTCTAATAAACTTTTTATTAACTATATCAGACCAGAGAGGATTGTTCATTGCTCCTTACTCCCTTCTTTTCGATCCTGATCCTTACTTTGTGAATCTGGTATATCTTCCTCTTCGCTATCCTCTCCAAATATTATCTTATAGAACTTCCTCCCATCATGCACAAGTGGTTCAAGGCTTCCGGTCACAAACCGTAGTCCATCCTGGAATTTGCTAAAAACCAGAAGTCCAGTCTTGAGACAAAATATATTGATGACATTTGCCCCAATGCAAATAACGTAGTTCCTAATCACTTTAAACTCTATTGGGACACAATTCCACAGGAAGATAACATCTGTACGCTTTAGCTTTCCTATTTCATCAACTATAAACCCTATGGAATCAAAGCACAAGAGGAATTCATGTGGCGAGACCGGGAATATCGATCTTGCAGTTATGCCTTGGAGCCCTTGGAAAAGCACAGGGATGAACGGATCATAGATCTGTAGGAGCTCTTCTGTCCGAAGTGTCTCCATGTCAATAATCTCGAAGTCTTTGGATGCTATCACAATCTTGTCTGAGCAGAAGAAAACATTATATACCTGAAGCCCAACATACAGCCTTCGAGAAAGCTCAATCACAATTGAACGGTTGGACACAATTGCCAGAAAAAGAAATATCGAGAAAGATTTACCGTCCCCGGAGTCTGTAGACGCAATGCATGGGCCCTGTTTTGTTATTCCATAGAAAAAGTCTTCGATATCATCCTTCAGAACATTTTCTTCCAGGCTTGTTGACTCAACGTTGAAATGGGACGCATAAAGAATGGATTCCGATTGATATAGCATTATCTCGTATGTAGAATCATAAATTATCTTCTTGACCTTCCTTTCCAGGATCTTATCGATCCTATTATTGAAGAACCTGCAGACACCATCGCTTGTTGCTATAATGTACATATTCTTTTGAGCAAAGATATATTCTGCATCGTCTCTTCTATTCAAGGGAGGAGGGAGTTGGATGCTGCTCACAAAGAAGTCAGCTGTTGGAAATAGGATTTTCCACAAGGACTGGCCCTTTTTTGGTTTAGTCTGGCTTCCAATCTGGTCTGTCTCTTCGCTCTGTCTTTTTTCTTCCTCAGAGTTCTTCTTCTTGATCTCCAAAAACCTATTCACAATCTCTATTAATTCATTGTCTTCTACCTCCACCTCCTTTTCCTCACTATCTTCAGAAAAAGATTTCTCTTCTTCGGACGGAGTCGAAAAACTCTCCTCCTCCAGGCTACCTGAAGAAGATAGGCTTTCCCCATACCAATCGAAGTCGGTTGCCTTGCATACATACTTCACTGGCTCATCTATATTGAAAGGAAGTTCCTCAATAGTTACATCGCTTCGAAGCTTCGATCTGGCTTGAAGTATCGCCTTTTGAATTATGTTGTAGTATACATCTCTTTCCCCCTTGTCTTGGAAATATAGTCCCTGGGCTTTGTCTCCTCCTATCTCAAACAACAGTAGAGGAGAGAGCTCTTCAAAGGACTCGTCTTGAGGAAAGAAGCCGGTGTCCTTTTTTAATACAACTAGCCTAGCCATGAATATAGGCTCTTCTCTAATGAAGATCTCTGCAAATTTATTTTTTGGGTAGTCGCATATTAGTATGAGGTGATCAAAAATAAACAATTTGCATGTTGGTGAGTCTTCCTTTGTTTCTCCTCTTACCAGTACTTTCCCCTCCTTCAATAGTCTTCGTTTTTTCTGAAACAGTGCTAGACAGTGTTGGTTCCTAACTTCCTTCTTATAACTAAAGTTGATCCCGAGCCTGTAGATGGCAAATTGAGTTCCAAACCTGTTAAATTCTTTATCTGCATTCTTTGCTATTTTCATAAACTTCTCAATCAAATTTTCATATGCACTCTTCAGTTCTCCCTCTGTGTTCTTGGCAACAGCTCTCAAAAGCATGGGATATCTTGCAAGTTTCTGAGACGGCCTATACAGAAAATGCTTCACACCTAGGAACTCTGCATTTTTTTCTTTCAGAAAGTTTTCAACTCCTTTTTCAAATTCTGGAAGGCGGAATATAAGCTTCTCAAGCTCAAAATCGGCTTTGGGAAGCCGCCGTACATACTCCTTGTATAGCTCAAACTCCTCAATATACTTCTCGTATATGGAGACATACTCTAGCTTTTGTATCTTCGGGTTGTTGATGTCAACCTTGTCAATCATATATTCCTCCGTGTTTTTCAACTCATGGTTTCCCGTTATCTCCGAGTAGATACTAAGGTTCATCTTCTTCATATCTTTATAGATGTTTTCGTGCAGCTTCTGGATGTTTTCCAGATTAATAAATATCCTATCACATATTTCATACTTAATCTTTGGGGTGCTAAACAATGGGCAGTTGAGAATCCATATCCTGAAATCTCTTTCCCACATAAGGAGGTCTTGAATATAGTTTTGCTCACTTTTGAATATTTCTCCAATAGCCTCAATGACCTTTCTAAGTTTGGCCATCTAAAATAGAGTTCTTTGTTTTTCTGTATTTATCTCTTCTCAATGTTTCAGAGAGAAACATCAATAGCATTTGTCTCTGATCTCTTATAAAGCCATTCATTGGTCATCCATCTGAAGTATCTCGTAATCTTTCCTCCTCAGATGATCTGCCACATTGAACATGGTTTCCACTCCCATGTCCAACGGCTTCTGAAAAATCTCCATACAGACATCGAAGTCCTCACGAAGAATCATATTTTTCATTAGGAGAATGGCAGAAGCACAGCAATACAGCACAATTTCAAATCTACACACGTCACTAAGAAGCCGGTCCCAAAGCCATACGACGTCTTCAATTTCAAAACACGGCATGAACATCAGTAATATCCACTTCATGTGGAATCCTCCTTCTGTTAGGCCTTTTTTTCTCATCACTTCATACAGCTCTCCGTCCGCATTTTTGACTATTTCCATGACCGTGGACATCCTATGAACTATCCCTCCGCTACACTGATCAAAGTCTCCAATGAAGTTGTCTCCTATCTCGGCCATCAATGAATTGAAACAGAAGAAGGTGTCTTCTTCGCAGTACTTTCTGTCCTCAGAGTCCTCACTGCGGCACAGGACATAGTATATCGCTATCAAGACAAGATTCATTCCCTGGACATATCTCACCGAAGAATTGGTCATTGCGTAGCACTTCAGTATTCTTTCGACAATGTTTCTATGGCTTTCTTGGGAATTTTCAGATACACTGTCCAAAAATTCACAGTATTTTCTTTTTTCTTCAAAGCTCCCATGATCTGTCCTAGGCCTAATGAACGTCCTGCAAACATCATTTTCAATCACCTTGTAGCATTCCTCTTTTCCTTTAAACTCCTCCTTCATTTTCTCTGCATAAAAGCCATAGGAACTTCTCATGTTCCTAAGAAACATCTCGGTTTTGAACTTATTCTTACTGTAATATCCAAGAAAGATCTTCCAGTACTTTGGCCTGAGAAATCCATCGGAAAAGCCGTAATAGCAGTATTTCCTGACTTTGTGAACATCCAACGGAGTCGAGTCTGCTGGATTGACTTGCTTCTCTATAAGACTGTACAGCGTTGTTCTCTCCATTTTCTTGCAAATTCATTTACTCTGCGGTCTTATTTCTCCTCAATGAATTCTGTTGTTCTGTAGAGGCTTCGCCCAATGGATTTCTGTAGTCTTGCATTAGAACGGCTTGGATGATTGGACTTTCGCAATAACTTTCAACCAACCGGAGACTAGATGAGCAGCCAAACACACATGGATGCAAGAAGCTCTTGTAGTGTGGTGGAAATGCTGTTTAAAGTCTTTCTCCTTGGAATTCTTAAATCCACGGTTTTAGGCCAGATGCTCCTATTCCCTCCCTTCCAGCACCCAATACTCGGGCACACAGAAAAGGAGTTCGCTATTAAAACGAAATCCAATGGAAGCATCCATGTACTCAAGGGAAGCTCTAGCTCTCGAGGATGGTGCCAGATACAGAGGAGAGCAGCTTACTAACGGAGGGTCGTTTAAAATAGAAATGAATGTAGATGCCATCGACATCGAGCAGGAATTCATCTGCGGAACATTCGAGATACATAACCTTACAGACAGATACGAGCTTCTCACAACGTACTTTGAAGGAGAAATAGTTGGGAACATTTATCCATTTACAACTGAGGAGTACTCGATGGGGAATCCGGACATAATACATTGGAAGCTCTTTCCCGAATGGAAAGGAGAGTATGTCTATAGGGAAGGGTCTTATGATATAAAGAAGAGCAACTTCATGTATATCAAAATCAAAGAGCTGTTCTTGCTTCCCGATCCCCGGCTTAAAAGCATACCAGGAGCATCGATTGATGGGCACTACTACTGCTGCTACTACAAGAACCTTGATTGCTTTGCCGGACACTATTACTACAAAAACACGTCGAACCTAATATCCCAGCAAGTGCTTTTGGACAGAGTATTTTCAAGGAAGTCTAGAAGTAAGTCATTTAGCAAATGACATGAATATATCATTAAATAATAATTTCAAATAAAAGCTCTGTGTTAAGCCTGACGAATGGGAGATGGATATCTCAAGATTTGACAGGACTTTAAATGTTTTTGTAGGAGACCCTCGATGGACGAGGGCTGGAAAGTAAAAAGGCCTTCTAGCGGAACAAAAGTAGAGTCTAGGTTGTTTTCTGCACAGGGGCATAAGTGGAAGTTAGTTCTATCATACAAGGGCGGAAGGGTGTATTTGGCACTAGAGTATCAAGGGGGATCCTACCACGACGTTTTGACGGCATTTTGTTTCTCCATTGATGGAGAGAAATACGAGTATCAGTATCAATTTTCTATGTTCAATACAGATATGGGAATGTACATTGAGGAGAAGGACAGTTATGTCATCAAGGTTAACATTAGCGTGAGGTCTGGATACTACGATTCGAAGAAAGAGACTGGATATGTAGGACTCAAAAACCTTGGAGCGACCTGTTACATCAACTCTCTGATGCAGACTTTGTTCAACATAGCAAAGTTCAGAAACGATGTATTTGGACTGGAGCCTGTTGGAAGGGTCCTACTTCTTCAGAGGTTGTTCAAGGAAATGCAAACGGGAGAGAATCCTGTGGACACGACGGACTTTGTTGTGAATAATATATGGGTGGATGACGTCAATGCACATCAAGACATCCATGAATTTTCGAAGGTTTTTTTTGATGCTCTGGAGAAGGACAGTAAGAGAAAGGATTTTATTGAAGACTTGATCCAAGGGGAGCTGCTGACATACATAAATGGAAGATGTGGCTGTGTCCGTCGGATAAAGGAGAAGTTCCAGGACATTCAGGTTGAGATTCGAGACTTTTTCAATAACAAGCTGTCGTCAAATCTAGAGGAGTCTCTAAAGAGATATGTGAAAAGTGAAACGCTTGAGGGAAACAACAAGTATAACTGTGAGAACCATGGGCTCGTTGATGCAGAGAAAGGGGTGATGTTTGGCTCTCTTCCACCGGTTATGTTTGTTCTTCTGAAAAGATTCAATGTTGATTTCGAGACGGGAAATGGATATAAGATAAACGATTACTTTGAATTTCCTTCCTCTCTCGATATGTCGCCGTTCATGGATAAAGATGAAGGAAAGGAGTCCGAATCTCCGGAGATATACAATCTGTACTCTGTGATAGTTCACCGAGGAGATCATGATGAGGGGCACTTCTATGCCTATGTGAAGATCAAAGGGAAATGGATCAAGTTCAACGATACAGTTGTGACAGAGGCAGGAGAAGTGGAGGCACTGGAGCACAACTTTGGAGGAAGACACCCATACAAGGACAAAGTAAGAGACCACTCGGGATACTACCTGGTTTATCTTAAAAAAGGAATGGAAGACGAACTATTGAATGCAAAGGTTACAATTCCTTTGCAAACAGAGGAGATGCTCAAGAAGAAGCAGAACAAAGTCTCGATTAAGTGTGTAAAGATAGAAAACATCAGAAATTACAGAGGGGCAGGGTTTTATAATGTTAATTCGTATGACTATCCTTTGTGCAGCTATACCGAGTTTGTTGTGAAGGAGGGAGACAGCATTAAGTTATTGAGAAATAACATTGAGAGACTTCTTAGCACTCGGAAGTTTCTATATCTATTTGAATGTACTGCAATGGATGAGGGCGAAAGGACTGGAGCAGCAGACAGGCCTGGAAAAAGGATTAAGGAAGATGGATACGGCTTGACGGGACCTAGAACGGAAAAGGACTCGGAGGAGGATTCCAGGATTGTCGAGAACTCAAGAACAAGCTATCAAAGAAAGGTAGTTCTTGTGAAGGATGGGATTATCAATGCTGATGCAGACTACTTCATCTATACGTGTTACCCGGAAGTAGACTTTGAAAAAAACAGACTTATTTTCCTCAAGGTCTTCAGTAATACACCTTGGTGTGAAGACACATTGCCGACGTCCCTGAGGCTCTGTGCATGTATACACATGGATGGAACAATTGGGGACAACATAGATGCTATTATTGAGAAGACGAGCCTTGACGACATCTCTGTGTTTAGGGAATTTGATCCGTCATCTGCGTTAGACCTATCTAGCAAGGTCTCAGATCTTCCCCAAGGAGACGTCTTGATTGTAGTGAGGAGAGAGGATGTCCTGGAGTTTCTCGACTTTATCAACGAGTTCTACAGAAGGATGTGTGTGAACGTTTTGTGCGGGCCCCATAACTTCACTGTGTTTGTAAAGAGAGGGCTCACAGGTTTGGAGCTGGAGAGCAAGATTCGCCGATTTGTGGGATCGAAGGAAATCTTTCTGAAGCCAAAGAGAGAAGCAGTCTCCGACAGCTCTGGGTTCAAAACTGCAGCCGAGGACTTTGGTCAATCTGATGGGGAGTCTGATATGTATGAACACCTCCAGTCTAAGAACTCCGTCTCGTGCACAATCACTCCTGGGCATCAAGTGGTATATTTAGCATTTTGCAATAAGGAGATCGACTACAACTCTATTCCCCATCTCCACATCTTTATAACCAAGTCTGGAAGTACTTCCTTGGAATTGATCAAGAGTGTTCTTGTGTCTCATTTCATATGTCTTAATCCCGTGAGAGGACACTCGTTGAAGACCCTAAGGATAGTCGATTCTGTAAGGGACACTCTATATCTCAAAGCATTTACTGCATCTGAAGAGTTTACAGCCAACGGGATGTGTGTGATTCAGCCATTTGTCAGGAGAACAGTCAAGACCGCATACTATAGTGGAATGTATAAGGTAGTGGGATTCCCGTTCTTCCTCCAAACAGATGTAGAAACGGTTGCAGAATTCCGAAAGAAGTACAAGCTTTTTGGCAAGATGGTGATATTTGACGGAAAGAGCTATGGAGACCTAGAGCTTGACTGGCCGATGAGTAAGTTTAATGACGAATGTTTTCTGCTGATTGAGAGAACGTAACCCTACATTAAAGGTGATGTATTTCCTGTGTGTTTGACTAACCCCTGGTCTAGAGTGATAAAAACAGATGGCCCAAAGCCCTTAATGGAGTTTGAGGATTGCGGAGAGCCATATTCCAATAGATTTGATCTGAAATCTGCCTTTCTTGGGGAACTACCTGGGGATGAGCCACTTCTGAAGGAGCTGGGAATAGATTTCAACACAATAAGAAAAGAAAGCCGCTTAGTCTTTGGGGTCTTTCAAAAAAAACAAGTTGACTTCTCGTTTGTTAAGAATGCAGATCTTTCAGGTCCGGTTGTCTTTGTAGGATTATATACTCTTGGGCTCATCCTAAACTATAAGATCCATTTTGGATACATATATTTCATTTCTCTGCTGACGGCCTTGTCGATGTACTTCCTGCTAAATGTCCTGGACACAAAGCACATAGGATTTCTTGAGTGCTGCAGTATCCTTGGATACTCGTTTCCCCCTGTGGTTTTCTTCTCGTTCCTGAACATCCTGTTGGGAGGAATTGGAATAGGGTTCAAGGTGTTCTACGGCCTTGCATTTGCTCTTTGGTCGAGTTACACAGCATCGGTAGTGTTCTGCAGATATCTTTCCCTTACCAACAAGCATGTGGTTGTTGGATATCCTCTGTTGCTAGGATATACAGGGTTTGTAATGGTTGTTCTATTCTGAAATAAATCGTATAGTATTAAGGTCTTTGGGGTCTGGACACTGTGATGCTTATGGACATATTTAATATTTGTAATTGATCTCTGAGATATAAAAGAAAAAACAAGAAAAGCTGGGATGCGAAAAAATGACTTTGACGTGAGGGAGATGAACGCAGCATTGGGTCTCCTTAGGCTAGCTAGAGAGGGAAAGGGCGAAGCAGATGAGCCTGATACAAGGACAAGAAAGACCACTTTCCAGATGATGGTTCTTAAAGAGGTATTCAAGATTGCACCGCATCCGTCGACGCTTACGAAGACAGACCTTGCACTTATGATCAAGCTTCCGCTGAAAGCTGTACAGATATGGTTTCAAAACGAGCGAAGCAGGAAAGAGAGAGGAGGGAGGACGGGGAAGAGAAGCAGGGGAGGAAGATCAGAAAACATAGATCCGGTGAAGTTGTTCAAGGTTATAATGAAGGTTCTGGAAAAGAACAGAGAGGGTTTTGGCTTCTAGTTCTGGAGAGACATTGCATTATATATTGGTGTAACATAGACAGAGCATGTTGGTCTTTGTGTGAGATGTTTCCAATTGAGAACATAAATTAAAACATGAGTTTTTCCGAGGGGATATTAAATATTAGCCAAGGCTTTATGGCTTTTCTATAGGACGGCCCAAGGGAGGAGAGACAAAAAACTGGATATTAATTTTTACCCCTTCCCTATTTGGCCTTTGAACTTGAGTCTGTTTTTTACAACTGGAGAATAGGGTTATCAAAAAATATTAAGGAACATGCTCGATAATATTAAATTATAAATTTATTCAATAATAATATTGAGCTAGAATTTATTCAAGACTGTAAAAATTCTAAGACAAGTAAATTATCAATACCTTGGTGTATTCTTAACAATGGACATAATCTCCCACAGGTCAATTGCCTTGGAGTCTGCATTCTCATCAATGCTTTGATTCTTTCCTTTGCTGATATGTCTTTTGTTCTGGAACCATATATCCACTGCTCTTGGTGATAAGGATATTAAGATCCCGATATCAATCTTGTTCTCCCATGTTGGATATGGTGTTGCTTGATATATCTTCTTCAAAACCTCTTTCTGGAACTTGCTTTTCCTGACCTTTTCTCCTGGCTTCTTTAGGCATCTCTCCGGATGGAACAACAAAATCATTCCTAGGGCTGCCTGAACTTCCATCTCTCTTCGATCAAGCACCTTGATGGTGAAAATTTTTGGATCTTTTTGTTTTAGAAATCCTTTCAGATCTCAGCCCCTTTGGGGACTCCAATCACCTTGAGGTACTAATGTCATTGTTCGGCATCATGATAGATAGATAAATAAAGAAGATTAGATTCCTATCATGCTTCATTTAGATTTGACTTTTAAATTAAGCGGTTTCCTTGATATGTTTGACGTTTTCTGACTTTATTGGAAGGTAACCTGCAAAATGCCCTTAATTTACTATTGATGGAAATCGAATGTTGTTCGCGGGCTTTCCCTGCTGGTTAGGACACTAGTAATTACTTATTTCCGACAGCCATAAGTACCGAGATATGAGCTCCAAGAGACTCTTGCGAGTGGGTCAACATCGAAAATAAAGAGCTCTGAAGTTTCTGGAGACAAGGAGTATGCTGTCAAGATGATAAGAAAAGAAGACATTCCTTTGAAGCTCTTTTTGAGAGAAGTCAAAATGCATAGATTGATGAAACATCCAAATATAGTTGAATTTGTTGACTCGTACGAAGACTAGGATGGATGTTTTGTTGTAATAAGGTTAGGATGCCAGGAGATGGGGAGCATAATCCAGGCGGGTGTAGGATTGAGCTCTGCCCTGGCCCATTTCTACTTCAAACAATTGATTTCTGCAGCGAGGTATCTGCATGGAAAGGAAATATGTCATCGAGATGTCAAACCAGAGAACATGCTTATTGACGCAAGTGGAAACCTCTCGCTATCGGATTTCGTCTTTTCAACCTTATTTATACAGAAGGAGAAAGAAGAAGACTTCGGTCGTTTGTAAAAGGTTTAGAGTATATGGCCCGAAGTTTTTGAGAGAGCTTGCAGATATGTGGTCCTGCGGAATAAGTCTTATTGTGTTTCTAACCGGCTCATATCCATGGGGCAAAGCATCTGGTCGGACAAGAAATTCTCTGGATTTATATTGATGAAGGACTACGTCTAGGTACACAAAGGCATAGAAAACTCGGAAAAGAGATTTATAATGAAAATGGTGACTAAAGAAGGCAGCCGCTGGACTGGGCCGATAGCTCTGAAAGATCCATGACTTATGCAGCCAAACACACTCCTCGATGAATCGGATCTCTATAAAGGCCCAGACAGTCTGTTTGACTTGATTCCACATGGATATATTGGCGCTTCATCTCACCCAGCCCGGAGAAGTGCATAAGACCTCAAAAGTACGCTTTGTCTCTTCACAGCCCAGAAAAATTAAAGGAAGAGACGCCCATATATTGTACAGAAAAAAGGAAATTCTCTTTCAATTGTACAAGAGATGTGCAAGTCACCCGATGCAATAGTGGTTTCTTGGAAGGTTGTGGTCTCGTCTGTGATTTTTTCCACGGTTGGCACCAAAAGATAGATTCTTTCCGGAGAAATTGGAGTCAAGAAGTTGAGAGAGAACCACTGTGCAACCATCTGCAGGACAAGAGGAGATGCTTGAGTTTGAAAAGTTCATAAAAGCCTTTGGGAATTGTTTGGGTTGACTGCAAGAGATATTTGGACGGAATTATAAATGGGATTTGATAAATAAACAAAACTAATTATTTTCTCCTGAAAACCTATATGAAGAACACAAAAAAGAATGAATGGAAAGGACTGAGTTTTGGAGCTTGGCCAATTATGCAGGGATATCAGAGAAGATTGTCCCGAAAGATTCAAAACATTTTGTTTATGTCCCTGGTACTTCTTTCCTTTATTTTCCTCTATAAAAAATATTTTTTTGTTTGCAGAGCCAAGGAGGACCAGAGAATGGAGAAGATGTGCTTAGATTTCATAAACAAGAAGGTTGATAAGTGCTTACAGCACAAGTCGAGGTACGACCAGAACAAAGAGTTTGCGGCTATCAAGACACACTTGCCGCTGATTCCACTAAAGATGACACGATCGAATGCGGTTTTTCTGTATACACACAAGAAGCCTTATGTTGTGATCAAAAGATGCATTGCGCCAGATGCACCGGGGCTTGCCGAGGATGAGATGCTGAAATCTCTGGACCACAAAAATGTTGTAAAGTTCTTCAAGTCGTTTAGAGAAAAATACGTGAATCTGAAGGAAGAGGAAGAGACGATTATTTGGATATTTATGGAGCACATGGACATCAAGGTGTCTCAGGATGTTGTGAAGGGGAATGAAAATAAAATAAGAGAGATTACCAAGGGGATTCTGCATGGGCTCCAATATCTTCACAGCATGGGAATAGCACATCTCGACCTGAAGATTTCAAATGTTATGGGAAAGGAAACAAAGGATGGGATTGTATATAAGATTATTGACTTTGGATTTGCCCGGAGGCTTGCGAATGTAGGAGACAATGCCGAGATCCAAATTCCCTCGAAGAGCTTTGGAACCTATCCATACAAGCCGCCCGAGACGTCGCAACTGAATATGCATGGGATAAAGGGAGACATATGGTGCCTAGGAGCCATAGTATGGTTTCTATCGTGGAGACAGACACCGTTCTACTTTGATGATGGGAGGAAGAACTTAGAGGAGTGGAGGATGTTTATCCGAGGAAGAATTCCTATTTCCTTCAAGCCTAACACATCTCCTGCACTGAGGAACTTTGTAAGGAAATGTATGGATTTCGATAGATTTGCAAGGCCAAGTGCCTCTGAGCTTCTGGAGCATCCTTTTATAACAGGAGTGCCAATGAAGGTAACCGAGGAGGAGATAAACGAGATGAGTGAAGAGTTTTCATCTAGCTCTGAATACAGTGACACAAGATCTGAAGATTAAAATATTTTGTTTTGGTTGGAATTTAGCTTTAGGGCTCGTCCTGTACATAGTTTTTGATGAGAATCCCTTTGATGGAGGAGTCTGAAGGATTGAGATATCTGATGAAGCTTCTTCCCGAGTACATGAGGATAGGAGGGGAGAGGTATATTCTGCACCGGATTGGCAGGATCATTGGAGAAGACAGTTGGGCCACGGCTATGTTCTGCCGGAAATGCCTTTGGCTCTACATTCCTGTTGTGAACAGCAGGATGAAATGTGATGATGGAATTCTGAGGGTTGAGTGCTATGGATGCCAAGAGAAGCATGAATTTGACAAAGAGAAGCTTGGAATTGTAAAAAACGGTCTTGAAGTCAAGGAAGACAGACTTGAAGATTATTTTGGATAGAAAGTTCCCAGGGGAATCAAAGCTTTGTTTGAGAAAAAATTTGCCCTTCGAGATGACCGAGCAGATAGAAGTCGAGTCTATGGAGTTGGCGGCAGTCGCACACATCAAGGCAACTAAGAACGACACATTTGTTCATATAACAGACATGACTGGGTCGGAAACGATTGCAAAGATCACGGGAGGAATGAGAGTTAAGGCACAGCGAGACGAAGGATCTCCTTATGCAGCCATGCTTGCAGCACAAGACGTTGCCGAGAAGATACTTGGGCGTGGGGTGAAGGTGCTTCACTTTAAGCTTCGAGGGGCTGGAGGAGTCAAGCCTATGGCTCTTGGGCCTGGAGCACAGACGGCCATAAGGACTTTGATCCGAGCAGGGCTTAAGGTCGGGCGGATTGAGGATGTTACGCCTGTTGCAAGGGATCGTGTCAGGAAGCGTGGAGGGCACCGAGGAAGAAGAGTTTGAATAAAGCTGCCTTTATTTATGGATTTTATTTGACAGCAGCAGACATGTCAAGGAAGTTGAAAATGGCTATTTGTGTTTCTCTTATCGGCAACCCTTAGATGGAGTTACCAGACCTCTCTAAATTCAGAGAAAAGTGCTGCTACTGCTACGAAGACATCAAGACTGGGATATCTGTGTGTAGCTGTGGTCTTTCGTTCTGCAAAGAACACAAGGATCTTCACCTTGGGAAGGCCAAATGCCAAATTGTATTTGAGATTAAGGAGATTGGAAATGATCTAGGTATTGAAATTAAAAACACAATGCTCGGGGAAGCGGAGATTGAAGAACTAAGGAGGAGGATGGAGACATTGGTGAGGTCGGAGGATGAGGATGAGAGAGTCATCTTCAGGGACGAGGAAGTGGTATGTATGCATGAATGTCCTGAAGGTCCATGCTCTATAGATCTAGGAGATGCTGGGAATCTTAGCTGCAAGGTGTGCGATGTGAAAACAAGACTGTGGGTGTGTTTTATTTGCGGGTATGTTGGATGCGGGAGGATGCAGTATGGTGCAGAAGGGAATGGACATGCAAGGGCACATTATGAGGAAACACAACACAATGTTTTTGTTCTAGTTCCTAGCCTTATAAAAGAGAGTTGCGAGGTATTCTGCTATCTTTGTGACTCAAACATAAGATTTCACTACGAGATTCCCGGGAATATTACAATTGACTTTGGAGATGAGGGAAAGGCAGGGAGGAAAAGAGTGAAGAAGAGGATAATCTGCAATGGGATTGTTGAGCAGGAAGAAAAGAAATTGAAGGCGATGGAAAAGGGAAAGAATGAGTCGATTCCTAGTCCATATGTCGGGATTGTTAACTCCGGAAACACCTGTTATATTTCTTCTGTTCTCCAAATGATAGGATATGTAGTTTCGAAAGAGGACATTGATATGGAGCAACACTTCGAGATATGCTGTGATAAGAATCCTCTGGAGTGCTTTTTCTGCCAGCTGATGAGGGTTTTAAACAGAATGAAAAAGGCTAGGAAAGAAAAGAATATAGATAGTATATCGATACTAGATCTGATAATACTTATATGGAGAGATATGCCTATGTTTTCGAAGTTTATGCAGCAAGATTCCCACGAGTTTTTACTTTTCCTCCTTGAGAAGATACGGGAAGGAGAAGGTTTATATCTGATTCCATCGATAACATCTTTCTTTGAGTTTGAGGTTGGAAGAAAGATCAGCTGTTCAGGATGCATGGATAAGTCTACCAGCTATGAATCTGCAATGATGATATGTACATGTCTGAAGGGCGACATAAGAAGGTCTGTGGAGATGTTTTTTTCTCCTGATGAGTGGAACTGCAAGTGTGGGGGAAAGAAGAATGTAAGTCGGTTTGTCACAATTCCTCCCAGGTATCTAATAATCCAAGTTGGAAGATACTCTTATAATAATAACAAAGTGGAGAAGATCAAAAGCAAGATCGGGATAAAAAGTGTCAAGCTAAAAGACTTTATGAGCAAGGACGAAGCCGACGAATCCCTCGCCAAAAAGCTTTCAGATGATGGATATTCCTTGGAGGATGCAAAAAGGGCTTTAGGCATCTTCTGCAACGACGAAGGTAAGGCCCGCAGCTTCCTGGAAAGGCAAAGTTCTGTAGTCTCGCCAGAAGACTTAAAGTACAGAGTTGTCGGATGCATCAATCATTCTGGAGATAATATCAAGGCAGGACATTACACGTGGTGGGTGTATGAAGATGAAAAGTGTTACAAAATAGATGATACAAACGTTCTTGGTAGCAATGTTGAAGTATTGGAAGATGGCTATATATTCTTGTTTAAATGAGAACTATCCCAAGTCCCAGTAGAAAATAAACTTCTGTGTATTCCTGTTTCATCTCAAGTGTTGTTGAGATAGAAGCCCTCCAAATCACCCTTGAGTGGTTTTGACCTTCTTTCTCCAAGAATTCTCTTAACCGTAGCCCATGAATACCTAACCCCGGGTGGAAATCCAAAGACTGCATTGGCGTTCCTTTTCAGCCACTTGATTGTATCTGGATCGCTGGGATATCCCGACCCAAGGTTGCTTCCAAATTGGGAAATTAGAATGTCTCTCTGGACCTTGGCAACTATACTAGCTCCAGAAACAATCTGGAACTTTGAATCCGCTTTTTCTTCAATCACAAACTTATACGGATAGGCCTCTTCAAGTCTAGCCTTGTATTTTTCGCAGTCCCCAAGTGCGTCCACATAGACTGTATCCACTTTCTTGCATTTGGCTTTTATTTCCTCCAGTATCTTGAGGACTGATATCAAAGATATTTCATTGAGGCTGGTGGACTTGACCTGCATCATTTCTGTGATGTAGTCTGGATGAGTGCAATGGTAAACATATCCAAATCCCCTCTCTTTTATCATCTTAAAGAAGTCATGTCTTTGCCCAGATGTCAGGACCTTTGAATCCCGGAATCCTGTGTTTTCCAAGGTAGTCCTTGAAGAAATAAGAGCTCCGTACACCATGTATCCAATTACCGGCCCTCTCCCTGCTTCGTCAATTCCAACCACAACCTCTTCCGAAATTTCCTCAAGGCTCGAAAAAAAGATGTTCTTACCTTCCATTTAGAAAAAGGATTTCTAAAATATAAGATATATTGCCAAGTCATTTATTCAACCGATCTGCAAATGTTGGAGTACTTGAGCCAATAAGGATTCTTCACTCGGTCGAGGTCATGGTCAAAGTCTTTCAAAACTTCTGAGATCTCTGTGAATTCAATCTTATCCTTTGAGAATCCAACAACCCCAACTCCGCATTTGCGAAGACATAGGTCAACAGCTTCAATCCCCAGAATTGTGGCATTTATTCTGTCTATTGGTGATGGATTTAGTCCTTGCTGGACATCTCCGAGAATTGAGTAGTTTGTTTCAAATAGATCTCCACTGTCGGTCTTTAAGATCTCACATAAGCTGCTCGTAGGAATTGACCGGAAGGTTCTTTCATTTCGGAATATCACAATTCCTCTTCTTATCTTTTCCCTGAACTTCACACGGAGTCTCTGTGCCACTTCGGAGAGATGTCCTATGAGATACTTTCGCTCTGGGATAAAAGCTTCAAATGCACCTGCAGCTATTCCTCCCATTAGCGATAGATATCCGCAGTTCTCCCCTCCAATTTCCACCACAAAGACATTGTTCTTATATGCAAACGAGTTTAGCTTTGACACGTCCGACACCTTTATAATTGTGTTGAGGGCTGTGTCTGCTCCAATGCTTATGTCTATTTTAGGAATGTTGTTGTAAGATGATGCAGGCACGAGGACAATGTTCACCCCTTTGAGCTCCTTGATTGTATTCAAGGCTTTGCTCCCTCCTATAATAATCAGTGAGTCCAGTCCAGACTCAACTACCTTCCTTTGGATCAGCTTTATGTCCACCTCCAAGTCTCCACCAACTCCTATTGCAGATCCCCCGTTGTTGACATCTCCAAAGAATTCATAGGGCTTAGCCCTTATAAGTTGATTGTTCACAAGACCTTCAAACCCATTTGGTATGTAATATGGCTCTGCTCCAGCCACCAGAGAATATTGAACTACAGCATTCAACACCGTGTTCATCCCACTTGCTCGCCGTCCAAACTGAAGCACTCCTATCCGAGGCTTTCTATCTTCATATTTCCCTCTGCAGTCTGGCCCACAACTGCATTCGGTTTCGATCTTCTCCCTGGAGCTACAGTCACAGCCCTTATCTCTTATGTTCCGAATTCCTGTCATCAAAGACTTTCTAAAGTATGAATAAGCCAGCCTGAAGAAGTTACACCTACTTTTCAGAACATCTTCAAACAATTTCTTTTCCTGGAAATCTCTGACCAGATTGTTTCTTTCTATAACCTCTTTTAATTCAATCTCAAAGATCTCGTCCCTAAAGATGCTGATCATCACCGGGTCCTTTGTAGGCCCCAACGATATCTCCACAGCCTTGACCCCGAGGAGAGTACCATATATCCTATCCTGTGCAGAAGTCGGCCCACCCCTCTGAATATGCCCTAGCTTGAGGAGCCGGACATCCATTCCAAACTTGGCAATTTCTTCCACAGCTTGGGATGCATGTATGGGCGTCCCATCCTTCTCAACAGCTCCCTCCGAAACTATAACAAAAGTCCCTGCCTTCCCGCACCTTCTTGCTGTTGTAAGTGCCTCAATCATTTCCTTTTTCCACTCGGTAGGTGCCTCAGGAAGCAAAACATAGTCTGCAGAACTCGCCAATGCAGACATAAGAGCTATCCATCCACACTTCCTCCCCATAACCTCAATGACAAACGTCCGGGTATGCGATTTCATTGTAGACATTAGATGATCGATTCCTTCAATAACTCTGTGGATGGCAGTATCTTCCCCTAACGAAATGGGAACCCCACAGATGTCGTTGTCTATGGTTGCCGGTATTCCCACAACCTTCAGGTCATAGACATACTTTTCTATTTCGTCCAGGTCCATTTCTTCACAAGAGCATTTGTCCATTTGCAAGTCCTCTAGCATATCATCGGACGAATTAAGATCATGGTAAACCATAGGTGTCTCCTTATAACATTCAGGAGCTCCATAGAAATCCGAATATCCAACCCCGCTTGTTTCGGTGGTGACTTTCTCTTTTTCTTCGTCCTTCGATTCTGCCTTGCTGTTCAGTATCCTCTTCAGATCGCGGGGAGAAATCTTTCCTTCCCTTATGAGATCTCTTAGATGATCCTTAAACTCGTCTCGAAGAACCATGGCTCCCTTCATAGACCCATCTCCTCCTAGCACTATAACACAGTTAATCTTCTTCCGTACCATGTTCAGTACTGCCTCTTTCCTTCCCTCTTTTCCCATAAACTTCTGGGACCTTGCAGATAGGAGAACAGTCCCTCCCTGACTACTGCAATGTGTCTCTGTATCCCAGCTTAGCCTGCGGATGTTATTGTTGATAAGTCCATCATATCCGTTATACACTCCATATACAGATGCTCCCCACTTGATCCCTGTCCTTGTTATGCTCTTGATCGCCGAATTCATTCCTGGCGCATCTCCCCCGCTTGTCACAATTGCAATCCTATTCGTCTTTCCTTGCCCAGAAAACGTAACCACAATCTTGTTTCCCATCATGTCCATCATCTCAAGTGGCATTCCACGGCCGTTCTCGTTGACAAGCCCTCGCGTGGTCAAGCGCCGTAGTGCTTTGTATGAGGTGTGAATGTGGATTCCAGGGCTTGTAGATGTTATCTTGGCTTTCCTGGTGCTGTATATCTTCAATGTTCCTCGATCATATATCACATCAAGACCAAGTAGTTCATACACCTCTCCATGCCTCTGCAGTATCCCGTCTCCAGATAGTTGTAACTCCTCAATGACAGCTTCCATATCTCCCCTTTAGAGATCGCATTTATCTCTGCAATAACCAATCAAATCGCTACCCAGCCTTCAAACTAATTATCGAGACCATCTTCAATTTGTTTAAAAATAGAAACCTTTAATATCCAAGGCAATTTAAGCGTAATTGTCTAAATTTAGCAACCTAGATGAAATAAGAAAAGCGAAGGAGGGGATTCATTATGCTCTCTGCAGATGGGAAAGAGAACGAGATCGGCAAGAGCTTGATAGAAGATGCATCTTTGTTTCTGTGGTTTGTAAATGCAGTGAATTCTGGTGGATGCTGTAGGGAAATTAAGAGTGAGGAGGATCTGTCCCTTGCTTCCAAGAAGAAGATTCACCAAAAAATAAAGTTTAAGGCATATAGCATGGGTGCCGAAAGTATTATGTATGAAAAGAGAAATGAGATGGCCTTCGAGGAGGATAGAAATGGATTCATATGTGCACACTGCGATGCAAGGTATGTGTATAAAAGATGCCTAGCAAATCACCTCATAAAATCTCACCACATAAATTCAAATACACTCTAGTAGGCAGCTATATCGAACTGTTCAACGAAATTTTAAAGTCCTTACCTAACGAGTATAGATGCCGAAAACATATACAATAGAAGAATGCTTCATTGGAGTGTTTGGGTCTGTTTATTCATAACTGGCTGTCGAGGTTGGAAATTTCAAATGTGAATCTTCTTCGAAGGAAGAATCTCTCGTCATCTCTCAAAATCTTGACTTGGACCTTCTGGAACATCTGGAAGTGGCCTTCTGAAACAACAACTTCTTCAAGGTTGTATTCAGGAACATACACCACAACCCCATTCGCCTTGATGTTTGTAATAAATCCCTCTACAAGAGATTCCCTATCTTTGAGCATTGTGTAAATAATCACCTTGCCACACTCCCAAGATGCTTTTTTTGCCGATCGATATCTCGAGTTCATGTTCCGGCACATGTCCTCATCGGCAAACTTCTGACTTTGAGTCTCTTTCTCCGTGTTCTTTCTTGGCAGAAATGTTACTATCCCTAGCTTACTTGTATGTATCTCTTCAGGATGTGCTGTCTGGAGAATATGACCCAAGATCCTGTGGACTATGATGTCTGCATATCTCCTGATTGGAGAGGTAAAATGGGTATACATCGGTGTTGCAAGCCCATAATGATGGAAGTTGGATGTCTCTCCAGACACAACATACACAGCCTGATTCATGGATCTTATAAGCATCCTTTTCATTAGGTCTTTCTTGAGGCCTTCAACCTTGTTCAGAAGATTCCCGACACTTTCGGAGGAGGCATCGATTCCAAGGTTGTCATCCAGTACAGATGGAGGGGGATGCTTTCTAAGCAACGAAGAGTCTGGATGGTGGTGATATATAAACGAGGCTACCGAAATATTTGCTAGAATCATAAACTCTTCAACAAGGAAGTTTGTTGGAAGGCATTCCTTAACTTCAAGCTTTCCTCCTCGAAATGTAAGCTGTCTTGTGCTTAGATCCAACGAGCCCTTCTCAAGCCTTCCATTCCGTAGGATCTTACTCATCCGAAGGAGTGTTGCCAGCGAGGAGAGTATCTCCTCTTCAGCAGCTGAAAATCCCCTGATAACATCATAGGCTTCCTGATAGCTGAACGACCTCCGAGATCTTATTAGGGATCGGGAGAAATGTGTTCTTACAATCTTTGCGTCGTTAGACATCTCCCATACCACAGAAAAGGCCGCTCTGTCCTTCCCAGCAACTAAGCTACACAAGTCTGTACTTAGAGAAGGAGGTAGCATATCGATACGCCGTTCAGGAAGATACACCGTTGTACTCCTATCCCTTGCAACCTTGTCCATCTTCGAGTCCTTTCTGACATAATACGCCACATCTGCTATGTGAACACCGATCTCCCAGTTTCCATTGGGAAGAAGCCGGCAGTGAAGAGCATCATCAATGTCCTCACATCCTGGTGGATCAATACTCACTGTAGCTAGATCTCGGAAGTCTTCTCTACTTCCCTCCTCAATCTCCCGGTATATTCTTTCTATTCCAAACCTCTCTTCCGATTCCCAAGAATCCCCAAGTATATCCTTCCAACTGCTATTGTAGTATGTTATTCCATTTGCAACAAGTATAGCTTCCACTTCTGCATCCTTGTCTCCAATGGTCCCCAGCCTTCTGTAGTAGTGGCCGCTAGGATAGTTACTTGTTTTCTCCCATCCATCAATCTCAACACAAAGTCTCTTGTTCATTAATTCCTCAGCTTGTCCTGTTCTTATTCTAACCGCCGGTATTCTCTTGTCAATTGGGATCACCAGCACATTTTGGGTTCCTATTCCATGCACCGTTCTTGGGGATATAGTCCCAACAATCGCCCTACACTTCCTCCTGTAAATCCCAACAACCTTTCCAAACATTTCCTTGTCTTCCTTTCTTTTTCTTGTTTCCTTCAGACCTTCTTCATCGTCCACCAATATCCCATCTTCATCACACTCGTCTATCTCCTCTACATATACCTCATCTCCATTTATCGCTCTGTTCATATTCTTCTTCCCAATCACAAGAATCTTGACGTCTCCATCCACTACAAATCCACTATAGCAGTTGTACATGCTAACCTCAAGCATTCCTCTGTATAGTCCCTTCTTTCCATACTGGACATCTAGATTTTCCCTGTAGTCTTCGTACTCGGTTGCTTCCTTCTCATCCACAATAGACAAAAGATCTTGGATATCATCAGAGACATATTTCCCATACTCCCAAATATTATCCATCGTTAGGATGATGAATTTGTATTGTGGCAGATGGTCTTTGTAGAACTCCAGAACTCCCTCAAGCCCCCTTCCACTGGTCGACTTACAAAAGTTGTTGCAGAATACAGCATATCCCTTTTCTCTTGCAACATCTCTTAAACCTTTCTCGTCATTCCTTGAGAGCTCTTCAAGAGCCGACTGGCATATTATTGCTGCAACATAATCACTCTTAAGCAATGCTCGGTATTTGGACATAACTGCTGCATCAGGAATCACAAACACAGAAGTTCTTTTATTCTCCTTGCACATACCTCCGCAACACTCAAACCCACAGGGCACATCGTCCCTAACATAGTGCTCTCGGACCCTCTTGATCAGCTTTAATCTCTTAGATATCTTTCTTTCGGCCACAATTCCATACCACATTAAAGGGATTCCCAATAGAAGTTAAAAACTTATCGAAGATAAAATAAGGAACCGTTTATTATCCACTAGACGCCAGTCCGGTCTTCTCCTTGACTATCCTTTCCTCGTCAGCAAGAAATGCGCCGGTGATCTTTTCCTTGACACATCTGCCACAGATCGTGGCTCCATAAGCCCTGTTAACACGCCTTGCAGAAACCTTTTGCCGAGAAAACTCTGCAGGCCTCATTCGGGCTATGCTTCCCAGGACAGTGTTGCATTCATGGCATCTGTGCTTCTTGGAATGTTTCTTCATTCTTCGGTTGACAAGTTTCCCAGACGGTGTCCTTATCTTTATTCTCCTGTTGCTACGGGTCTTATATGTTGCTCCCTTATGAATAAGAACTTTCTTCATTTTCTTTGCAAGGGGGAAATTTTTGTCTTCTTCTGTTTCGCATACTGTGCGCATGGTTGTAAGCTTATATATTTAGCAGCTTGAGTCTGGCGTATGCCTCATCGTCCTTGAAAAGGCTCACAATGTTAACATACTTCATTCCAAATATCGACGAAAGTTCTCTTTCTGCCCCGGCTGGAAGAGCATACAGGTCTATTCCAAAATGGCTGCAGAACAGTGGAAGGTGCAAAAACAAAACATCATCTGCAGGTGTTATGAGAACAGCACCTATGTCTTTTTGTCCTTCTTCGTAATGTTTCATCAGCTGGTTGTAGGTGACCAAGGCCTTTTTTGTTCCTCTAAGGATCTTGTAGACGCTTGAAGGGTCGTCTATTGTCTTTACAATGTGGATGTCTGTGTGAAAGATCTTCTTCATGGCAAAGGACCGGGTTTCTGGTGTGCAGATATATCTGGATTCTAACGACCCCAAAAATTTTATGAAAAAAACGATGGAGAAGGTGAGCAAAAGCGACTCTGAGTCTGGAAGCGAATCCAGCTCTGAGGCGTCTGTAGAGTCTTCAGGGAGTTCCAGGGAGTCGATGGGCTCTGGAGAGGAATGCACAGAGACCGAGTCTGAGATCGAGGAGGAGACATCGAGCGGAAGCGCAGAGGAAAGCAAGAGAGAGAATCCATCTCTTACAGTGTTCATAAAGGGCATAAGCTATGACTTGACGGAGTACGACTTGAAGAGTGAGATGGAGAAGATAGGAAAAGTAGCCCGGGTTGGGATTCCGATGACCAATGACTACAAGCGTAATAAGGGCTTTGGATATGTGGAGTTCTGTAAGGAAGAAGATGTGAAGAAGGCGCTGAAGCTGGACGGTACTGTTTTTCTTGGTAGAGAGGTGATTGTGAACATGGCACATCCTCGAACCAACAAAGAGAAACACACAATATACATTTCAAACCTCCCGTTCGAATGTGACAAGAAGAAGTTGAAGAAGTACTTTGAAGAGATGGGAGAAGTGGTTGGGATGTCTTTCCCATATGATAAAGAAAATGACCGATTGAAGGGATACGGATTTGTCGACTTTGGAAACAAGGAGGACTATGAAAAGGTTTTGAAGAAGAAACTGGTTTTTGAAGACAGTTCTATATACCAGAGACCGGCTTATAAGAACGGTAGGGAGGATAGAAAGGATTTTGACAGAAGAGGACCTAAAAGAAACGACTCCAGATGGAATGGAAAAAGACATGGAATGGACGGTCAGAACAGAAACAACAATAAGAAAGTTAAGTTTAACTCTGATAGCGAGGAATAAAGAAATTCTTTATTATTTTTCCGGTTTTCCATTAGAACAAACAGTCGTTCCGATCCCCTTTGAATGGCCGAAGCTTGTTCCAGAAGAACATTGTACATAAGAAACTTGAACAGGCGGCTTCCCATAAGGGAGGTGAAGAGAAGGCTGGGCTTGTTTGTTTCGAGACTTTCCCGGGTGTCAAAGATAAAGATGAGCAACAAGCCTGGGCTCTTAGGACAGGCATTTGTTCATCTGGATGGAGAAATAACCAATGAGATTCTGGATAGTCTAAATGGAAGATTTTTCCTTGGCGATGTGATTCTGGCATGTCCTGCGCGTGAGGATATGTGCATTGGGAAGAGGAGAACCATTGTATCCACAAGGTCCTTGCTAGTCACTGGAATTCCCTCCGGCATGACCAGAGAAGAGCTTGTAGACATCTTCAAAGGCTTTGAAGGCCTAGAAGCCGTGAGACTCATCAAGGTAAAGAGTCTTGCCTTTGTAGACTTCTCCTCTCCTCAAGAAGCATCTACTGCTTACTCATACTTTGAGGACGGACAAGTGAAACATATCCTCGGGGACATGAAGATAATGCCATCTGCATGATGGAAAGCCCAAAAGCACATAGAAACTTCCATTAAAATTACCGCAGGAATCTACCTTGTCTTCTTCTCTTAACACCATCCCTTTGATGTTTATCTTCAAGATACATCTTGTCTGCTTTGACCCGTCCTCCAAACACTCCTCTTCCATACTGTCTTCCCTCCACAAACCCATAGTCCTTGTCGATTGTCAATGGGACCTGGTCGATCCGGAACCCGTTTATGTATCGGACAGCCATATCTGCAGAACAGACCTCATAGAACTCGACAAAGCAGAATCCACAGAATCTAAGTGTGTTTCTATTCAACCCCATTATAACCCTTTTTACAGCCCCACACAGCAAAAATAGCTCCCATATTCGTTCCTCCCGTACGTTCGTGGGGACATTGGATACAAAAATAGTAGACGAGTTTTTCTTTGCCTCCAGATATTCTTCATCTGTCCCTACAAATGTCTTCTCTCTGTAGAAGTATCCTCCTGGCTCTCCTCCAAAGTACTTTTCCAGAGTCTCCATGGGCTTCGGAACTTCCAAGGATTTGTCCTAAAAGAAAGCAAGAAATATCAAGAAATAGGTTTATAATTGTGTAAGCTTAACTTTACAAGGGATTCTGATCCAGAGACTAAAATTTGGCATGATCTATGAGAAAAAGACTAACGAAGAACATGTAGAACGATCTGCAAAGATGGTCCATGCTCTTGAAGTGGTTGCGGTGTGTCAGAGAAAGCTTCCTGCTGAGGATCTCAAGAACAAACACACATCCAAGTACAAAGACAATCCCTCCATTCCCTGTGTACAGGAGTAGGAAGAAAACCATAAACTTGGCAAAGTCCTCTTTGGAAATCCGGATGTCTCCAAAAAGATCTACAATGCTCTTTAGGGTCAATATCTTTTTCCTATCCTTGACAAGATAGACGTTTCCGTTGAACACCACAAGGTCTTCCGGATCAACCATCATCTTGGCTCCCGTCTCTTTAACAGACACGGCAACTTTAACAGATATGTCATTGGTTTCCACCTCTTCAAAGAAGAGCCTTTCGGCATCAGGGCTGTGCATCTTGCCCATCTTCAGAATAGAGACGTCATATACAAGTTGAAGTCTCTCCTTGCCCAGTGTGCGGAGCTGAACTGCATCGCTCACAATTTTCCCATTGAGAATTATCTTTATTCCATTCTCGATAGACTCTATGCAGTAGCCCTCCATCTGACTTTTCAAGTACTGTTTGACGTGGAGTATTGTATTATCAGACTCAAACTCCTTTGTGTATGTGTATTCTCCATCTTTCGATCTAAGGGTAACTATGGTCATTTCCCTCCCTTCTAGCGGGGTTGTTTATATTTCTTTTGTGATCAATCAGATGGTCTGGGAGAAAAGGGGGAGAGACAATGAATAGGAATGCAGTATCACGAGTTTGGGCTGAGCCATAGGAAGTAGAGGCAAGGAGATGTAGAATAGCCTGAACTACGGGGAGTTTTGAGGCTCTTGATTTTTGAGAAAAATGGATCCCTACGAATGGGGGTTGACTTGAAACGCCTAAGCGAGCTGTTCACGGTGAGATTTGAGAAGGAATACCGGACATATGGGGAATACTTTGGAGATATTATACACCTTTCCAAGGATTCGGGGCTTGAAGAGATGTTTTGCAAGTATGAGAAGAACATTTTGAATGAGGAAGATATTCTGGGATATATCACAAGCAGTAGTCCCAGTAATCTGAAGCATTTTAGCAGGATTTATGAATATGAAAAGGGCTTTTGCAAGAGGACGGCGGTGTTGCTGCTGAAGAAGAGATATGAGGAGGAGGAATATGACAAGAACGCAATCTTCCAATGCATTAGAAAGCTGTCCCACTACCTTGAGTTTAAGTTTGTGAAAGATATTTGTGACGATGAATGTCTGGCGTTTATTATCGGGGAGTACGCTCGGAAGCATGAGTTTGACGAGTCATTTCTAGACGAGATTGCAAATTTCTTGCCATCAGTGTTCCTGGGATACACACAGTTGAACGGTCTTTTGCTTGATTCCTTCGAGAGATCATTTGAGAAAGTAATAAGAAAAAGCTTGGAGATTCTTTGGGTTGTCGATTGTTCGAATAAGAGAGTGGCCCGGGCCATTTCAAGGAGCATGGAGAAGAAAAGGATCTTTGAATATCTTGCAAGTAACAACTTGGTTGGGGAGGACCGGCTAGGAGAGATGATGAGTGTTGTTGGGAGTGTTAATGCCCAGATGTTTCTTAGCGATGGGGTTTTTGGGAGGCTTGAAGAGGAGAGAGCAGTGAAGTATCTCGATGGTGTTTCTGTTGAGGATGTTATTGAGATTGGAATACTTGGATGTGAATGCCGAAGATTGTATAAGATTCTTCCACGGGTATTTGAGAAGAGGAAGGAGAGTTTTATGAAAGATGGAAGGATTGTCAATGTTCTGCTCCTTATGGTTTACTACAATTCCAAAATAAGATTTGGAGACACACTCGGACTTCTAGGGCCTTCTCTAGAGAGAGAGTTCCTAGAATACAGGGAGAAAGAAATACGGAAGATTGTTGTGGATGTTGACAAAGACAGTGGAGAGATAAATGAGAAGGAGGAATGCTCTTCAGATTCTCTGGGATTCTTTTCTGAAGGAAATGAGTTCCGATTTGTCAGGGAAGGAAAGGCTGGGAAAAGAGATATCTTGGAATACTTGAAGGAAATATGGAAGGAGGAAGGAGACTTTATTAAGAATGTTAGGAGGAAGCTAGGATTTGGATGTTTTCTTGGCAACCCTTCAAAACCTACCTTTGACCAACTGTTGGAACTTCCAAACTACTACTTTGTGGAATCCCTCAAAAGATATAGGAATGAGTTTCTGGACTTGCTATTGGAGTTCCATGAGATAGTGGTTCCAACCAGCCGAAGAAGGAGTTTGATTGGAAAGAAAATTATATCCAGTGGATACAAGGGGCTCTTTATCAGATATCTCATAAGAAGGAATAAGTACTTTAAGGTTGAGGTTGAGCTTAGCATGTGGTTGAAAGAGATGTCACCCGAGTACAAAATCAAGTATTTTTGTGATTATCCGATGGCTCTGATTGGAAGGGAGAGCCAGGTGCTCGAGGGTCTAGGAAGCAACATCTATATGTTATATCCTGTTGTCTTAGAGTTGGAAAGAAGAAGCGTAGCACAGGAAGTGATTGATCAGATCAAAAAGCACATGATTGGGGCGGGCAGCTTTGGCAAAAAGAAATGCGAAGAAGCCAGTAGGTTAGAGGAAGTCAAGAAGATAAAGGAAGAAGAGTCTACCAAAGGTAGAGAAAGCAGAAAAGAAAGCGTTCTGGAAAAGAAAGCAAATGAATGGGAAGAACAGACAAAGAGAACAAGAATGGAGGGCAAAGAGAAAGAAGAGAACATTTATGACGACAAGTATCCCATTGAGAAGATCGACCATGTTCTTTTCAAGAAGAGAATAGGATTTATATGCAACGAGATAAACAAGAGGATTTTGAATGGGAACGGGCTTCAGAGAGCAGGAAGGGTTACCTCGATACTGGTTCGGGACAGAGAAATGCTTGAAAGGATCCAGTCGATCCTGAATGGGGTGAATAGATTTGGAAAGGATCTTACAAACTTTGTAAGGTTCCTTGCATTTTTCCTCTCTTATTGCAGAATGGAAGTAGATATGTTGGACACAACTCTTAAGACTTTGAAGAGGTACATCTCTGAAGAAGAGGATGATTCTGTTTTGTATTTTGTGTTTATGAAGATACGATTGGAGCAAGTGGAAAAGTTGGTGGTGGAATTCAAGGAAAACAGCTTTGGAGTTATTCACAAGGCGATGTGCGATCGAATCCAGGGGGTCAAAGAAGGAGAGGCTAGAAACATGGTGGAAGGCTGTGTGACAGTTAGTACTAATGTTGTTCCTGGAGCAACCAAGAAAAAAAGAGGAGGAGGAATAGGGCCCGACACAGTTGAAATCTGGGACTACAAAGGACAGACGGAGAGGATCCAGAAGATTGTTATGGCATTTCTATCTTCGGGAGACGAAAGCATGCAGTACTTGGGCCTGGAGGGCTTGAAGGCATTGGGACAAAGAGTGGATGTGGAAAAGTTTCTTGATTCGAAAAGCGATCGGGTTGTTGAAACTGCATTGAGTATGGCAATAGAAAGAGGAATCACATGCGACGTTAATGAAAAACTTATGAAAATACTCTACAGAAGGGGGAGACTAGACAGTCTTGGGAAGATGTGTCTCAGAGCTGTGAATATAGACGCCTTGGAGAAAGAGGATGTTGACAGGATCTACGAGATGTTCTTCATCGATCCAAAAAGTTACCTAGAGATCTTGCCAAGAATTTTAGAGAGAGGCTACGAACTATCCGAAGATATAGCAGTGGAGCTGACAAGGTTATTGGGGAGTAGCCAATGCGATGAAGTTCTTGGGAATTCGATGAAGGCCCTGAAGAATGTTGAGTACACAGCAGAGATGGCTTTTGAAGGAATCCTTGCGCTTGAAAATGCCAAGTTTACTCCAAAAATGTTTCTGGTGGAGAAGATATGGAGGTCTCCGTCCAATCTTAGTACACGGGGGTTTCTCAGGCTATGTGTTTGTGTGTGCAATGAGGAAAACTATGCTGTACTAAAAGGACTCCTACAGATACTAAAGAAAGGAGGTGTTCATGCAGACATTGTTGAAAAGTGGAAGAAAAACAAGTCGTTAGATAGATTAATGGCGAGAATATATCCTCTATGCTTGAAAGACAAGATATATTATCGAGATATCCTAGACAGTATGAAGAAAGATGCAGAGGAGTGGAAATTTATCAATGAATTCTATAGAGATGAGCTTGAGGCTGCAAGGCTTGTGGATAAGCATCTGTCAGAAAGCTAGAAAGTGCATCTTTTTCTGTGCTTGTCTAAGGATGCATTGTAGGCATATTCCTTGCCGCATGAGCACTTAAAGGGCTTTATCAAAAGATGGGAAGATCTTATATGGGCTAGAAGGTTCCCCTTCTTACTAAACTCAAACTTACAATATTCACATATATGTTTCTTCCTCCTACCATTAAACACTTTAACATGATGACTCTCTGTATGGACATCGAACCAAGATTTCTTTTTGTACTCTTTTCCGCAGATGGTGCATCTATACTTCAGACATGTCTTCTGGTGCCTCTGCAACCTGTCTTTCGTGTGGCACATGTACCCGCATCTTTCGCATTTGAGCTCTGGAGGGAAGTGCTTTTTCTTGTGCACAGAGAGGTGGCCGTTCTTCATGTAGGATTTCTCACACATGTCGCATTTGTAGGGTCTGTTCTTTGTGTGTGAGTTGAAGTGGTCGTTGAGCTTGGATTTTCTTGAAAACGACTTTCCACAGCCTTCAAAACAGCAGTGGAAGATCATGGCTGTCAAGGGTCATACGAACCAAAAAATTTAATGACTACTAGCCTCCGTGGATGGTAGAGATAAGAACGATGTGATCTCCATACTTGACCGGGCTTTTCTCTCTTCCTGTTATCTCCCAGTCCATCTTGTTTATGATGCAGATTGTTCCATTCACAAGCTCTCCACAATTGTCGAAGTAGCTGTCTCTGGTTTCTCCATATCGGCTAAACAAATACTTCAGAGCATCTCCAACTGTCGATATCGATGAATTCTCTATTTCTTCCTTACTCAGCTCTATCTCCTTGTTGTTCAGTTCTACAACACTTGCCCCATTGAATCCAATTCTCATTTCTTGGGTCTCAGGGATCGGGTGTTTTCATTTGGTGAGAGGCTAGAAGCAGGCTTTGTGGATCTCATCAAATTTGTCGTCCAGAGATTGGCTTTTGAAGACTCCCTCCTCCAGTGAGGATGATATAAGGGCTGCAGCAAACACACAGTGGATTCTTTCCAGAAATGGACGAGGATTTCTTTTGGAATGGATAAACAGTGATTTGTATCCAGAAGGCATCATATACACACTTATCCTCAGGTTGCCGTGTCTTTCCAGGCAGTCGAAGTAATTGGAGTTTGTGGATAGTGTTTTCCAGCCCAGTGTGTCTATTGATCCGTAGATCAGAATGATGAGTCTGTAGTATTCCTCATTGCTTGTTCTACCATACATTCTTTGGTAAACAATGTCATTCTTCTCTGAGATTATGACCAAAAGCTCTCCCATGGGTTTCCAGGTTCTGTTTAGTTTCTCACAGGAGCATCCTTGGTTTGTTGGAAGAAGAAGGTAACAGGAAAAAGAAGCCACAGACATGTGGAAAGCTAGAAGTATTGCTGTGTGTGGAGAAGACTGGCCAGGTTTTATTTGAAGGAAAAATTTGCCCTTCAAATGAGAGAAATCATACACTTGCAGACAGGACAGTGTGGAAACCAGGTAGGATGCAAGTTTTGGGAGACAATCAGCGGGGAGCATGGGATTGACCAGAGCGGGAGGTATGTTGGGACATCTGACAACCAGCTTGAGAGGGTGAATGTCTACTATAATGAGGCATCCTCGAAGAAATACGTTCCACGAGCAGTTCTGATTGATCTTGAACCTGGAACCATGGATGCAGTTAGGCAGGGGCCATTTGGAGAATTATTCAGGCCAGACAACTTTGTGTTTGGGCAGAGCGGAGCAGGAAACAACTGGGCAAAGGGACACTATACGGAGGGAGCCGAGCTTATTGATTCTGTGATGGATGTGGTTCGAAAGGAAGCAGAGTCGAGTGACTGCTTGCAGGGGTTCCAAATCACACACTCTCTCGGAGGAGGAACGGGAGCAGGGATGGGAACTCTCCTTCTGTCGAAGATAAGAGAGGACTTTCCAGACAGGATGATATGTACATTTTCTGTTGTTCCTTCTCCAAAGGTAAGTGACACGGTTGTAGAGCCGTATAATGCAACACTTTCAATCCATCAGCTGGTTGAAAATGCAGATGAGACCTTTTGCATTGACAACGAGGCACTGTACGACATATGCTTCCGAACCCTAAAGTTGAACAACCCTGGGTATGGGGATCTGAACCATCTTGTGTCCTTGGTGATGAGCGGAGTGACAACGTGCCTGAGGTTTCCTGGGCAGTTGAATGCAGATCTTAGGAAGCTTGCAGTCAACATGATTCCATTCCCTCGGCTGCACTTCTTTGTTGTTGGATTTGCTCCTCTGACTGCTGTAGGCACACAGAAATTCAAGACCTACTCTGTCTCCGAACTCACACAACAGATGTTTGACTCGAAGAATATGATGACGGCATGCGACCCAAAGAAGGGAAGATATCTCACTGTTGCAGCAATGTTCCGAGGAAAGATCTCGATGAAGGATGTGGATGAGCAGATGTCGATGGTACAGTCAAAGAACAGTTCTCTATTTGTGGAATGGATTCCAAGTAATGTGAAGACGGCAGTCTGTGACATTGCACCGACAGGCCTCGAAATGTCTGCAACATTTGTTGGGAACACAACATCCATCCAGGAACTCTTCAAGAGGATTTCGGATCAGTTTACAGTGATGTTCCGAAGAAAGGCCTTCCTGCATTGGTACACAGGAGAAGGAATGGATGAGATGGAGTTCTCGGAGGCCGAGTCGAACATGAACGACTTGCTTTCTGAATATCAACAATACCAGGATGCAACAGTCGAGGATGCCGAGGAGTTTCTAGTTAATTAAAAGGTTAGTCGTATGTCTCTCTAGTTACAGATGTGTGGGAGTTCTTGATTTTTTGTCTTATTATCGGTATCATGACTGATAGGTGTGGCAAATGAAACAAGTTTTGGACTGTTGGATTTATTGTCCAGGCCAGACGAAACACAGTGATGGCATATCTGCTGGAGAAGGCAAATGGATCTCGCTGTGTGCTCGAAGCCATCAAGGTCGAGCCATTTACGCAGAAGCAGTTTGCAGACATGATAAAAGAAGCTCATGTAAGATCTCAGGACTATTACCTTGCAAGAGTGCAGTGTAAGAACATCTCCGAGGACGGGAAGAATGTATACTATTGCTACGATGCCAAACAACTCTGTAAATACATATTCGAAATGGTAATTTCCACAGAAGGAAGAAAGATAAGGATAAAGAACTTCAAGGATCCGATAAATCAAGAGCAGATCCATGAGATCAGCTTCTTCAAGCTGAGATACGACTCAGACACTCCTCTGAAGGCAGAATATGTTGGAAACCAAGCGAACTTTCTTGAAAACAACTGCTTCCGCAGCAAGATATTTTACCAGGAAAATGCTCTGGATGCCCTGTCTGTGAACTTCCAGTTTGGCCCACAGAAGAAGAAAATACCAATCATCAACAAGAAAAAGATATTTACAGTGCTCATGATGGTTGTCGTGATCCTGGCAATAGGAACGTTGGTTTCCATGGTGGCAGAGAAGGGGTCTCAAAAGGCCTCCCGCCCTCTCAAGCTCTCGATAAACAAAGGAAAAAGTATTTAATAAACGCCTCTTCCACACTTAAGTCTTTCTTCCAAAGAACGGAGCAAACTTCAGTGCAGGCGGCAAGACAAAGAATCGAATGCTTGATCCACGAATCACAACCTCTTTCCTCGGTATGCAAGAGCTGTTGGAAGTGACAACAGCATCAGTCAGGATAATGTTCATATAGTCGTCGACTTCTTTCATCTGTCCCCTATACATATCTCCGCTGTTGGTTTCTACAGTAACAACAAATCCCTGTGCCTCATGAAGTAGCTTCAAAGGAATCGTTACCCCCATAGACTGGGGCAAACAATTCATTGGAGGATGATCCTAGACTTTTAATTGTTTTTTTTTTCTTGTTCCTTCTCCTTGTTGTCGACGTACCAGGAGCTGTTACGCAGATTCCTATTCCTCCTGAATGGATTTGAATCGCTCTTCCCCCCAGGATTTTCCGATGGAATATGTCTAAACGCATCCAATGGAGGAACATATGCCTTTTGGGTTCCCGAAGAGTGGGGATTTGGAGGCCTATACACCTTGGCTTCCTCTCCTTCGCTTCTCCAATGTGCAGATCTGGTAGGCTTGGGCATGGGGACTTCAATCTTTCTACCAAGCTCTTCAATCCTCTGAGACAGGCCCTTTCTTGCCTCTTCAACAAGGTCCAAATATGCTCTGAGCTCCTCTCTCTTAGTTTTAAGTTTGTTTTCTTTCTTCTCAAAAGCCTCCTTTGCTTCCTTGTTCCTCTTCTCGTACCAAGCATCTTCTATTCCCTTTGCATTTTTCATGTAGTATCGAGAGTACATCTTCACCTTCTTATAGGCCGAAGAAAACCTATCGCGGAACTTGACTGTCTTTTTTGGACGGCTTGGCTCTTCTTTCTTCACAATCTTCTTTTCCTCGGAAATCCTCTTCCTTTCTATCACAGGCTTGGAAGCTGTCCTTGTTCTTTCTTTGTATTCCTCTATGATTTCAAACACTTTCCTCTCAACCGTCTTGTACTCATATTGCTCTATTAAAATGTATGTCCCATCAATACTAAACCTAAAATCATTCTTCTTCATAAATGCAATCAGATCCATGTTCTCCTCTACCAGAACCCTTTTTCCAACACATTCCGAGTATTTTCCCCACATCTCGAAATCAAACTTCCTTCGTATAAGAGTGTTTCCAGACACATCTATTCCAGAACATCTTTTCTCTACATTACTAAGAATCTCAGGCAGATTCAAAAGCCTGGATTTGCAGAACAATTTCTTCTGCTTGTCCCCTTCGTTCTTGAGAAGTGCGTACGAACATAATGTGCGAAAGTCTTCAATGCTGCATTGCTTCTGTATACACCTGGGCTCCAATGATGTAAGAATATTGATCACATTGACATATGAAAATAGCATACCCGACTCAAGGAAAAAGCTGCCAAGAAGCTCCATATACAATATTGCTGTATTGCTTGATGAAAACTTTCCCATCGACGTTACGATCTCACATACCTTCTCACATACAGCATAGGATTCATACAATGCCCCTCCTTTGCTTAGAGTCCATCCAAGACCCAGGAGAACCTCAAGAAATGTCCCATACATCCCTTCCTTTGTAGACGCAGGCATCTCATCATACATCTTGTTGAAATACTCAAAAACCCCCTTGCACTCTTCAACACTGTATCTTTTCTTGACCGACTCGACCCATGGCATAAGCACCCCAGCCATACCTCCATACAGTCTGTTCCGAAGAAAGTGGTTACCAAACACCTCATAAACATCCGACTCCCAGTCGTTTCCTCTGCTGGAAAATGCATTGTAAAACTTTTCCACATATCCAGGATTATATTTATGCTCAATCAGAAGCTTTTCCAGACTGTCTGTAGATCCCGATTCTTTAATCTTCTGAGAAACACGCATCACATCATCGCTTACTACTCCATCCTCAGAATCCATCCTGGGGCTAAAAGATTCATGCATATTCAACTCCAGGATATCCCTTCCAAGGGAACATCTAACTCCACTTCATCTTATTAACAACTTCCTGCATAAGAGAACTTGCCACCCCGTTTAAGCCACTTCTGACCCCAAAGCCCCGTCCGTTCCTTATGCCACAAGTGAAAGACGCAATAAATGGTGGGGCCAGATGTCTAATCCATCCAGTGGCCCTAATTGCCCTTAGTCCATAGTACAGAGACGAATATATCATGGCGTGCTTTGCCAACTCCCCTCCTCTCCTTAGGGAGAGTCTAGAATGGGGCTGCTCCTCCCTCTGCTTAAACATGCTACTGGCAAATGCCATCGAGCATCCAATTGCAAAAGAGTTCCCAGTTGTCTCGAAGATAACTAGAGCATAGTCTCCAATGCTCATATGTGGGGTTCTGCCAAAGCCCTTATCTCTCAAACCACACCCATGAACAGAACAACAGAATACCTGAAGCACATAGACAAGAAGACACAAGCTCCTCCAACTTCAAAGAGCGAGAGCTTCTACGACACCATCAATATAAAAATAAAGAGGATAGAAAAGAAGCTGGAGAAATCCCTTTCCTACAGAGAGATACTCAAGGTGGAAGAGGAGTTCAATACTCTTTCTCTTGAGGTTCAGCAAACATTGGATACAATTTCTGTAGAAGGCTCAAGTGACCTTATCCTTCACTTTGAAGGAGTCAAGAAGATTATTTTGATGAGGTTGCAAAGGGTCGAGAAAAAACTCAGAAACCTCAAGGACTCGAAGATAGGAATGAGCATTGATCTCGAGCCAGAAAGGCCGCATACATTTAAGAATGTAGAAGAGGTCCAGATGATGGAGGAGGAAAACAAGAGGCTGGTTGAAGGATACAACATTGAGGGATACAGGCTAACAAGAAAAAGACTTCTTGAGGTCGAGGCACTCCAGGACACAATTTTCCAGCATCTGACTCTTCAAGACGAGAGAATTGACAGCATAGTAGACCTTACCTCAAGGGCAGGGAAGTTTGTTTCTTCAAGCAACGAGGCACTGGGGAAAACAAAGAATTCTGGAAAGTTTGCTCGGAGATTTCTGTTTATTCTATTGCTTTGTTTATCCTTCGTTCTGTTGTTCCTCCACTACTATTACAAGTAAATTCAGCCTATCAAAGTTCCTTTGGAATATCTACTCCTCCTTTCCAAGAAGGATATCCACAACACTTGGATCTTCCAGAATTTCATGGATCCTTGCCATGTTACTGAATCTATCCTCGACTATTTTGCGAAAGTCGAAGTTAGGCATTTTGTTTTTTGCAAAGTTTATTACAGGGACCGTTATTGTTTCGTTGTCTTCTCCCACATCTGTGCACTGCGTGGGAGAAAACCTTCTGTGCTCTTCTGTGTTGCTCATTCTTATCGAATTGGCCTCTCTCCTTTCCTGTTCCAGGCGTCCTGGTGACTTAATCTCACTGTATCCATGATCAAGCTTCTCAGGAATGATCCACTTGAAGGTATTTCTTTCCAAGCCACTTCCTCCATTTCTGGAACTCGAAGTCGGGTAACTCCCATCTGTCTCCATCACCGTCTTTTCTATTTCCTTGATCTGAACCAGATTTGCTCCCCACGAGACTTTCTTTCTTCTCTTTGGCTTCAAGTCCTCTCCCAGCTCCGATTGATTCTTATCATCCTTCAGACTCTCGGCACAGGCCACGCTAAACAACCTCTTGAGGCCTGTTTTTTCAAGTTGGTCTTGAGTAAATCCCGATCTTCTTAGTAGCTCAGAAGGCTCTTGAGCCCCAGGATAGAGAACATCAAAGCTAAGGTTTATGAAGTCTACATAGAAGGGATGCTCCACAGGAAACACTCCTCCCTCCAGGATTTCTTTGATTACACTCTTCACTCGCTCTGGAAGAATGGCTGGATCCTCAATTCCAAAAACCCCCTCGATCTTCCCAATCACCTCAGACTCTTTCATGGAAGGGCCATTCCGGACTCGCTTTAGAGATTGCCTGGAAAATAAACAGCCCTGCAGCCATATGAAGAAGTTTGGGAGGAAAAGAAGGTCGATCTGTAACACCACCTACGAAGACGTCCGAAAAACATTTGACGATCTAAAAAGAAAGATTGCTGATTCGGGCCGCCTTTCTTCCAGTGGATTTTCCCCGGCTACATCACCAAGGAGTGTGAGCTGGAGAAAGGACTATCCATGTGACCTTATCTCAAGCTCCGGCGATGATCTGGAGGACTGGAGCAGCTTTATTAGCTCGCACAACTCTGAACTTGGAGATAGAAGTGGACCCAGAACTCCAAGCCCTGGAAGCGAGGCACAAGAAAGTATTGCAGTAAACCATGGAATCCTTAGCTCTAGCGAAACATACGACGAAAGTCTGGGATTCAGTAGCTTTCTTGAGGAGGAATCTAAGAAAGCATCTCGAATACAGAACATAACATTTAGAAGAAAGAAGGGGGAGAACGGGAATCTTTTGGAACTGGAGAAGTGCAACATCGATGCTCTTCAGGAAGAAAATCTCGAGGTGGCAGCACTGAAAAAAATCTCATTTGACAGAATGCCAAAGAATGTCAGGAAGATTGGGGAGGCAACATTCAGCGAGGTGTTTAGCGACGGCCTTAAGGTCTACAAGATTGTTCCATTAGGGGACACAGATGATGAAACGTCTCTCGAGTCGTTTCTGAAGGAATCGGCCATATTCAAAACCATTTCCTCGGAAGACGGGGTGTGCAGGCTTAAAGATGTGTTTTTGGTTGAAGGAAAATATCCAGAGGAATATTTGAAGGCATGGGACGATTACGGAGAGGAAGAAAACGAAAGACCCTCGAAATACTCGGACTCTCAGAAGTACGGTGTGATAGTGATGGAGGACGGGGGAGAAAGCCTGGAAAGCACTAAGTTTCAAGGGGCAGAGGAGATGGACCGATTTATTAGGAGGGTTATAGAGATACTGGCCAACCTGGAGGAGAAGTACGAGTTCGAACATAGAGACCTTCATTGGGGAAATATCTTGATAAAGGAGGACCGAATAAGCTTGATTGATTTTTCTCTCAGTAGGCTGAAGGATGGAGATTCTGTGATATTTAGCAACCTCAACGACAAGCAATGGTTGTTCGAGGGAGACGAGGCTTTTGATATCCAATTCAAGGTTTATAAGGACATGCTCAAGCTGTGTTCTGGATGCTGGTCTCGCTTTACTCCCCAAAGCAATGCCCTGTGGATCCGATACCTTGTTGAAAAGACATTTGGAAAAGGAAGGTTCAAGGGGAAGAAAGACCTAGTCTCACAGTACTTGTCGATTATAGATAGCAGCACATCAGCAAGGGATATAGATGCAAAACTCAAGAGGAAGGAAGTACAATAAAAAAGACCTTTTATTGGTCTAGGCTCATTCTGCTCTTTACTTGCCTAAGAAACTCACCTGCATTCAAGATTTCTGTCGATCCATACATGATTGGAACTCCTATCCTCTCCTCAAGAAGTTTCAGGGTTTTCAACTCTGTGTATGTTCCCCCTCCTATGCTAAATACAACAATCCTTGAGATCTCGCTTGCATATATATTTTTGGACCCGGTGGAATCAATCAACTTGAAGCCCGAGTATATCTGAGACTTGATATCCGAATAAATAGACTCCACAAGAGATGATATGGGGGTCTGCTCCTTCACCGGGAGAAGCTTTTTGACATTTCCCATAAGACTAGTGACCATCTGCGAGTAAAAGGCCCCTGTCTTTTCCGGCCGGGCGCTTTTATGCTTCCTGAAGAATTCAATCACCTTCGACTTTACCTTCCTCTTCTGAAGCAAGGGATCTATTAGATCGAAGTCCTTGGTGTTAAGAAGAAGAATGGCCAGCCTCAGTATGTCCTCGTCGTCGCCCTTCTCGGATAATTCCATCAACTCCTGATCTGTGTATCTTCCCTTCTCGACCTTGTAGAAGTCGTCGATCGCTCTCTTTTTTATTATCTCAACCATCTCAGAGCATATGGATATGTGAGCATTTACAGATTCATTTCTCTTTGCCAGCTCCGGTGCTTTATCCAGGGCCTCTTGGATCACCTTCTTGTCGGTCTTCTCGTCAATACTCCGAAGGGCCATTTCCTTTCTGTACTCTAGAAGCTCTTTCTCAACCCTTTCAACAACAACAGGGAAGTATTCGTTACTATTCCCCCTCCAGAGTTCGTCCTCTGGATCCAGATCAAATACCTTCCCACTTTTCAATGTTATCTTATTCGACTCAAACTTGAAGAGGTCATTCATTAGTGCACTATAGCTCCATACATGTTGCACAGGAGTGCTTACATCGTAGTTTCGATTCATAAGAATCAGAAGAGGCCTTTTCCCTGTCTTCTTGATGACACCAGTGTTTTTTATCTTTGCCTCAAGCATCTTTGCTATTTGGATGCATGTTTCGTCATCCAGAGTTGCCATAAACGGAACTTCTCCAAGAGTCACAAAGACACTCATAAGAGACATCACCATTCCTCTCCACATGTCTGTGTTCTCAATTCCTGCAAAGCTGTCCTTCATCTCAAGAGTAAACAGATCGTCTTGCAAAGCAGTGAAGTCCAGAAACTGGTCGAAGACAGATCTTACTCGAAGCCCAAGACCTCTCTCCGACAACCTGAGTCCTAGGTCTTCGAGCTCTCCCCGGCCAACAGATGTGGTGAAGTTAAGGTAGTATTCAGAGTAAAGCTCCTTAAGGATATCCTCAGCGATTCCATCTGCCTTCTCAACAAAATACACAGCAGGGGTGTTGGAGATGGGATGTCTCCCCTGAGACACCAGGAAATGGGTTGTTACACCGCACTCCCTGAGCTCGTTGACCTTCATCAAAGGCCCAATAATATGCTGTGCTCGAGCGTCAAGAACCAAGACCTTCCAGGGACTGTTTGGCATTCCCAGAAATGCCTTTATCTTCTGTTTCTGGAGCTCCCTTAACATTCGGGGTATTGTGGCAGCCTATTTTCTAGAAAGGTTGCAAGATTTCTTTTTGAAGGCTGTGGTCCTTGCTGTTGAAGAAGTCCTAGGTATGTGAATGGTTTGATCCTGTCTGCCCGAGAAATAAATCTTTTTGTTATCCCTAGAACTACTCCAATAGGACAATGACAACAGAGATTAGAAATATAAAGCTGGTTCAGAAGATAGCGTCTGGGGCTTTTGGAGAGATATTTATTGGCCAAAACACAGTGACAAACCAGACAGTGGCAGTGAAGCTGGAGAAGAAGGCTCACTATGGCCAGCTGAAGCATGAATATGGAGTATACAAGGCGCTTGGGAGCATCCGTACCCCAAAGATTTACGAGTATGGAAAGATCTTGTATGAAAATGTATACGTCAATGGAATGGTAATGGAACTGATGGGCAAGTCTTTGGAGCAGCTGTTTGTTGCATGCAACAGGCATTTTTCCCTTAAGACGGTACTGATGATAGGAGAGAAGATGATTGACGATGTAGAATATCTGCATCACAAGAACTATGTACACAGAGACATTAAACCCGATAACTTTGTGTTTGACGTCCGAGGAGATAAATTGTATCTAATAGACTACGGGCTAGCGAAAGAGTTCCGGAATCCAATGACATTCAAGCACAGAGAGATGAGAACAGATAAGTCGTTGACGGGGACAGCGAGATACGCTTCACTGAGGACACATCAGGGATATGAGCAAAGTAGAAGAGATGACTTGGAAAGCATTGGATTCTGTCTTGTGTATTTTCTTAAAGGAAGGCTTCCTTGGCAAGGGTTGAAGGCCAAGACAAAGCAGGAGAAGTATGACAAGATACGGGAAAGCAAAGAGGGGATATCGTTGTATGAGCTGTGTATGGGGCTCCCGAAGGAAATTCATTCTTTTTGCTTCTATGTGCGGAACCTTGGGTATGAGGATATGCCGAATTATGCATATTTAAGGACACTGCTCAGCGATGCGCTTCGGCAAAGAGGCCTAAGGAACGACGGGGTGTTTGATTGGGTGGCCAGAACGCCCTCTGACTCCTTGGCGGATCTGGAGATCCTGTGAATAGGTGAATAAAAGGATACTGCTGTTTGGTTGGGGAAAATGTTTTTAGACGGTGGATGGGTTTGGCCATGGAGACCCATCGGGAAAAGAGAGAGACTTTGAAAAGGATGTTTCAAGAAGAAGGGTTTGTTGTTGGAGACGGACTGAAGTATGGGGTTGATCTCCTGCTATACACAGACAGCCCGTCGAAGGTGCATTCGAAGTATGGGGTTCTTATAGACAGAAAACACAGTCTTTTGGACATTGTTGGGGTTCAAAGAACATGCACGTCTGTCAACAAGATTTTAATTGTGGTGTTCTTTGATGGGGCTGAAGTTCGAATGGTAAGTGTTGAGAGGATGGAACTTGGGGGTGGAGGACATGAATTTTCAGCAGACGAGCTCGATGTTTGAGAGCGGAGCAAGTCTTGTAAAAAATAAGGTTTCTAGACCCCAAATGAAAAACAATGAAGAGGTTGAGATAGACGAGTCCTTGTATTCTAGGCAGCTTTATGTTGTTGGGAAGGATGCAATGAAGAAGATGATGAATAGCAGGGTGCTTGTGATGGGACTAGATGGGCTTGGGCAGGAGGTTGCAAAGAACATATGCTTGGCAGGAGTAAGCAAGGTGACTCTGTTTGACGACAGGATAGTTGAGGAGGAAGATCTGTGCACGGGATTCTATCTTCGTAGGGAAGACATAGGAAAGGCAAGAGATGCCAGCGTCGTAGAGAAGTTCAGATCAATGAACGAGTATGTGGATGTGAGTGTAGCCAGCGAGGTGAACAACTTTGAAGGATATGATGTTGTTGTAGTGTGCAATGAGGGCTATGGAGAGCAGATAAAGCTGAATGAGATGGCTAGGAAGGACAAGTGTATGTTTGTTGGATGCCAGGTAAGAGGGCTGTTTTCACAAGTATTTTGCGACTTTGGAGCAGAATTTATCTGTGTTGACAGGACTGGGGAAATACCGATGAGTGGAATGATCAACGACATAAGTGAAGATGGAGTGATGACGGTTGTTGATGGGCAAAGGCATAATCTGGAGGACTACGACATAATCAAGATAACCCAGTGCGAGGAGTATGAGGGCAAATACTTTCGAGTTAAGGTGATTTCTCCCACTCAAGTGATGCTGCAGGGTGTTGATGGAGTGCGGATGTTTGAGGAGGAAGCCGAGTTCAAGGCGGAGAGATTCAAGAGTGTGTATGGAGGAGATTTTGAGCAGCAGAAGAAACCGAGCATGATATCGTTCAAGCCTCTTGGGCGGACAATTGATGAGCCAAGGATCCTGGGTTTCAACTATGAAGTTGAGGAAAGGAACCTTGTTATTCACAAGTGCTTTGTTGCTCTTGGAGAGTATATGAAACAGAGTAAACAGACCCCGAGTGGAGAAGAATTTCTGTCGTTCTTTGTTAGGAAGTACAAGAGCCATTTTGAGTTTGAAGCGCTAATAAGATCTTTTGGAAGGCAATGTGGGGGGACTCTTATGCCAATGTGTTCTGTGGTTGGAGGATTTGTGGCTCAGGAAATCTTGAAAGCTGTGGGAAGCAGGTTTACACCCTTACACCAATTCTTCTATTTTGACGCAATGGATGTTGTTCCTGGAGATCCCAAGGATGATGGGAAGGACTACGGAAGATATGGGCCGATGGTAAGATGCCTTGGGAAGGAATGTGTTGAGAAGCTCTTCAATCTCCACGTCTTCATGGTTGGAGCAGGAGCCATTGGATGTGAACACCTGAAGAACATGGTTATGTGTGGAATTGGAAGCAGGGGAAGAGTAAGTGTGACAGACATGGACGCGATCGAGCAGTCGAATCTGAACAGGCAATTCCTATTTAGATCTGGAGATGTTTCAAGTATGAAGGCTGAGATTGCTGTTGGAAAAGCCATCGAGCTGAACGAAGATTTCCTGAAGATTCCCTTGGAAAGAGGCGAGGAGAAGCTTGAAGGAAAAGATGTTTCTGAAATGACAAATGGAATGTCAGGGTCGGGGCTTCCGTATTCTAACCTTGTTTACTACAATCTGAAAGTGGGAAAGGAAACGGAATCAGTATTTAGTGACAGGTTTTTTCAGTCTGTAGATGTTGTAGCAACTGCACTTGACAACGTGGATGCAAGGATATATGTTGATGGAAGATGTGTTGTGAATAGAAAGTTCATGGTGGATGCAGGAACATCTGGAACAAAGGGGAATGTGCAAGTTGTTGTTCCGTTTCACACAGAGAGCTATGGATCCAGTCAAGATCCACCCGAAAAATCGATTCCTCTGTGTACCATCAAAAACTTTCCATATGCCATTGAGCACACCATTGAATGGGCAAGAAGTGAGTTTGAGTTCAAGTTCCATGACGAGATACTCCTGATAAAAGAATACCTAGGAAGAGAGAAGAAGAATGGAGGAGAAGGAAAGGAAGAAGCAAGCAATGAGACGATGGAAGACATTGTTGAGAAGACACCCAGAAGCGCCAAGGAATGTATTCGGAACGGAATCCTTCTTTTTGTCAAGCTCTTCCATACATCTATTAAGAACCTTATAACAGCATTTCCTCCGGACTCAAAGACAAAGGAAGGGCAGCCATTCTGGATGCCTCCAAAGAGGTCTCCGGTGACAATTAGCTTTGACGTTAATAACAGCCTTCATGTCCTGTTTGTCCAGAGCACTGCAAATATATTCAGCTTCAACTTTGGAATTGGAGAACACATATCAAGAGAGATGGTTGTGGATTTTGTAAAGAACGAAATCCTAGTGGAAGAGTTTTCGAGTGCGGTAGACAATATTTGTGTAGAAGAGTCGCCACGGCCGCCCGTTGACCCGTCTGCCATAACACCTTGCACATTTGAAAAAGACGACGACTCGAACTTCCATGTGGATTTCCTGTATGCTGCAGCCAATCTAAGGGCAATGAACTACAAGATAAAGCAAGCAGACAGACTTACTGTGAAGGGGATTGCCGGAAGAATCATCCCAGCCATAGCAACCACAACCGCCGTTGTCTCTGGACTTGCCATCCTGGAGATGATCAAATATGCTCTAGGCGTGGAGCATACAAAGCATAAGAACTCATTCCTCAATCTAGCCCTTCCCTTCTTTGCAAGCACGGATCCTGTGGAACCTATGAAGCAGCTGTATAAGATCGAAAACAAGAAATATACATTTACACTATGGAACAGGCTGGAGTATAAGGATTCCAAGCTGGGGACAATCCTCAAAGCTTTTGAAATTCAATTCAAGAAGAAGATATCGATGGTCACTGCCGAGAATGCCTTGATCTACTGGGACTTCGATTCGAAGTATGCAGACAATCTGGAAAAGACTGTTGGAGAACTGGTCGGCAGAAAGCCGGATGAGCTGTTTGTCATGCTGGATGTGATAACAGACGACGAAGAAGGAGAATTCCCCAGAATAGTAGTTGTCTTTGAATAAAGCCTTTTCTTTTCCCTGGCACAGAGCTCATCTATGAAGAAGGCTTACGAGATATGTTCTTTAATAATCACCCGGAACAAGAAAGAGCTTCTCATTCCTCGGGATTCAGGCCGCTTGGTCATCATGGTAGTGCTTTATATGGTATTTGAGGCCATTATTGTTCTTGTATTTCTTGTCGCATCCGCCAAATGGACAAACATAGGGCTTGAATATGTTCATCTTCTCTTCGGAGTGGCCTTCTTTCATGTGATACTTGAGGCCGAAGGAAGACGTGTATTTCTTGTTGCACCCCTCTATCTCGCATGCATACACCCTCGTTTTTGCCTTCTGTGCCCTGGAAGACGAACTTCCAGCCCTTTCCTCTCTGCAAGGGGACTTGGGCCCAGAAATCCCACGGACGTCTATTAATCCATTTCCTGAGACTCCCTTTCTCCACTCCCTGTCTCTAACACTCTTGTGGATGAATTCATAGTCGAATCCCAGAGTATCCTCCTCCCAAAGCTCTTCTGTGCTTTGAGTCGATAGGGCGTATTTGTAAAGGATCTCCTCTCTCTTCAGTAAGACATCCTCCAAGTAAAACTGATGCATGTCCATCATATATCCTATGTCTTTATATCTCTTTACCCTCTCCTCAAATCTTTTTTCCTCTATCTGGTACAACTTTTTCAGTCTACTTGAATCGTTCATTCTCATCATATGGTTCCTTGGACGGTTAATTATTTTCCTAAATGTTATTGATCCCGCAATATTCATTTGGATGTCTCCAGAAGGCTGCCATATAAGTATATGCTACAATCGTGCTCTCCTCTGTCCTCCTAGCCCAGACATCCAGCTCTAGCATTTTGCAAGTTGTCTATATTGGCGAAGTAAGAAAAGTCTTTCCGTATTAGCTAAATAAGCCCAATCGTTTATTAAATCATCCTCTTGAGGAGATTCCCCAGCAGGTCCTGGTGATTCCCAACAGACCCTCCATCGTTGAAGTTCCTGGATTTCTTACCTTTGAATCCTCCGCGCGGCGGGCTAAGGTGGAACGGGTACAGGAAATTGTTGACGTCTCTGAACATCTCGGTCCCATTGTAGATGTGGTAAACAAGCTCCTCGATGCACTTGATCTTTCCATCAAACATATCCTCAATAAACTCGTTTGTGAGCTTGACACGAGCATTTCCGTTCCTCCCCGTTCCCCTTGTGTACATCAGCTTCCTCAGTAGCTCCATATCAATTGTTCCAAATGCAACATAATCCTTGATTATATGAAGCATCCTCTTTGTCGACTTGTTGTTTTTGACGAACATGCAGGTATTGGTCTTCTTCAGTCGGAAAAGCTGTAGAACCTTCTTGACCTTTGGAGGACATCGGAGCTTTGATCTTATCAGGATCACCACAAAGAACTCTGCCTCCTTTGGGACATAAAATCCTTCTTGAATGCTTGCCTTCTTCTCAAGGATTTCTCTTTCCTGCTGGTAGTATTTATCTAGGAGCTTCTCGGTAGTGGCCTCGGCATACTTTGCATTCTCCTTCTTCCTCTCCATAAACTCTTTCTCTTGTCTCGTCTTTATCCCTGCCATCTTGGCCTGGTATTCCTTCTTCCTGATAGACGACTGCGGAGCCTCCCTCATTGCTACTTCCATTTTCAGGGCAAATTTTTACTTGAAATTCTAATACTCCATCCACGCTCATTCCCCTTCAAAGCCATAAATCTGCTTATTCTTATTTATTTATGGTTTTCCAGTACTCCTCCATCTCTCTAAAAAAGATAATAAAGTCCTCCTCAACATTCCACAGCCCGTTGTTTTTCACGTCTTCCAGGCTGCAGCCTTCGGAAACATAGAAGTCCGTTAAAAACATGCATTTTCCCTTAGGAATCTTCTCGACAGTCATCTTCTCAAACAGATAACTGCATCGTGTTCCCAAAAGAGAATGAAAACTGTTGCTTGCATTTGTTCCAATTATTTTCCTCTCCTTAAGTTCTAGGAGTATCACCGATTCTTTGAGAGACCTAGCCAAATCAATAGCATCGACAACATGTGCCAGATTTCCAACACTTATGAAATACTTAATGCTTTTGTTTAGATCATTTACACATTCTTGGATATTGTCAATTGCTTCTTTCCTCTTCCAATTATCTTCTATTCCCTTAGCAAAAAGTATATCCGACCATATAAACGACAGGTTTGGGACTTGAGCATTTCGGACATTCATCAAGTCCAAACACTTGAGGACATGTGGATAGAAGCAAAAGTATCTGCACAAAAACACAAATATTAGAAATATCTCATAATTCTCGGGGAAGTCTTTCCTGTGCTTGAAGGATAAATACAGGGCCAGTCCAAGATATGAAGCCTTTCTAGACGATATCAAAACAGCAATGATCATCTTTGTGTTGAGTACTGACTTGTTCTTGGTGTATATTTCATATGCCCTCCTTAGAACTTCCTCGTCAAATCCCTTCCTTGCCAACTGTATTAAGCAATCGATGGTTCCGTCGGGATGGTTTTCTAGCCCAACCATTCCGCTAATGAACTCTATTTCCTTAAAGCATATCCTCGACCTTAGTAGCTCAATAGCCTTGTCTTTTTCTTTGAACCGATGGAGAAGGTAGTACTCGTAGTTCAGGCTTTCTCTTCGAGGAAGCTCTATATTATTGTTCAATGCATGCTGATATAAATCCCAATCATCTAAATGGTCTAGGAGAAACGCCATACATTCCAGATCGGTCTCCTTTCCAAGAAGCTTAGGATGGCCATGTATGTACGCCTCTTTGAGAGTGAGATAATAAAGAAAGTCCTTAAAAACAATTCTCTGGACATAATGGTCCATTTCCTTTATCAGCAATCCTCTCTTGTACAGCATCCAAATGAGATTGCTCTTGATGGTGGAATTCTTCAGAGATTGAAGGAGAAGATTCTTCTTGGCCTCATCTTCCGGACTCCCCAGGAAGTCGAGGAGCAAGGAAGTCATAAGGAACATGGGGTTTCTTGGAAAGAGCATTCTCCCGAGTTCGATACTATCTTGTATATCTCCAGCAAGAAGCTTCTCCACAAAGGTCTTTTCCAAATCTCTCTGGCCGGATACTAATCTTTTCAGGAAGCCTAGCTGTTTCATGTGCCTAGGGTTTCAAATTTTGCAGCCTATTTCTACACAAAGACAAGCTTCTTCCGAAGACATCACTGCTGGATATCCAGCCATGTCCTCTTTCCAAAGCTCCAAACCTTTCTGCTCAATAATCACTATTGCAAAATTTTTAAATAAAAACAAACAGAAGAGAAGGAAAGACCAGACATGGGAGAAGCAGGGAATGGAGGCCTTCTTTCCTCGGCCGAGGCCAGGAAGAAAAGGAGGAGACTAATAGAGCATATTGCATCGGAAATGAGGCTAATTCGGAGGGAGATTGAGAGGCCAAGAGCAATGAGGGATGCACCAGGATTTCTTTATGACTTTGAAAAGCAAATACCTTTCAGGCACCAAGAAATTAGATGTGCAAGTATTCCCGCCAAAAAGGCCGATAGCAAGTCTGGGGATGAGTTAGGGAAGATAAGGATGGCAGCAGAGTATGCTGCAGAATCTGGGGTTCTGATGCTAATAGACGTCCTGAAGCAGTCTAAGAAGATTGTATTTAGTAAGGATTGGGAGATTGGATATAGGGAAAATAACGTTATTAACATTCTTCGCCAGATCGAAAAGAAAAGAAGAAAAGGAGATCTGTTGCAGAATCCAAGAGAACACAGGATTGAGAGAGCAGATGTAGAAAAGACGTGGAAGATGATGGTTGAGGAAGAGGCCCGGAGAAAGGCACAACTGGATTCTATAGTGCATGAGATTTCTCTTGCAAAAAGAGACAGAGTGATCCATGTGAATACCTTTCTGTCCTCCTTTATTGGAACTCTAAATGAAAGGACTACGGATCTAGAAGGGAGAGGTATATCCGATGGGGAAGGGGAGGGAGACGGAGTGATTTACAGTAGAAGACGACTGTCTAAGATGTTTATCGGGGGAGAGGTGAGTTACGAAAGTGTTGTGCTCCCTACGGTGGGAGACGACAATCCCCCGCCTATATTTGGCCGAAGGTTATATATTCCTTCCGAAAAGATCGAAAGTGTGACTCCAAGGACTCAGATAAGCGAGAGGTATAAGAAATATCTTGCCAACTTTTCAAAGCTTAACTCTGCTCAATCGGGGAGAAGCAACTTTAGTATGCCGCAAGGATCTGTGGCAAGTCATCCGAGTAGCCAGCACATCTTTAAGAAGGTGTCTATGGAGTATCTACGATGTAAAAGTGCTAGAGATATTGTTAGCCATAAATATAGGAATGTGGTTATTGATAGAACAGTAGACTTGCCCAAAAGACCAGAGGGAAGATATCCGAAGATTCATCTACAGGATGGTTTGGGTGGAGATCTGTGCTCGAGTGGGAGCGATGATGCAAATGTCGGATATACCTTTCTTATTGAGGCAGCACTAGGAAAGGTCCCGAGTTCTGGGCAAAAGGGAGAGTTAGAGCCAACCATGGGATCCGAGAATCTTCCTAGTGGCAGCAATGGGACGACTGGGGATGAAATTGAAAATGGAAGAGATAAAGAAACATGAGGGAAGAGAATAGAAAATTCGTTATGGAGCTGATTTGTTACCTGATATTTAAATTAAATCCAAAGAAAGTGTATATATGTATTCGCTGGCTTCTTTAAGGACTGGACATTTAGAGTACCTGGGCTCGGATTGGTTTCAGAAGCACCTATTAGCTTTGGTAGCACTCTGGAGAGTCCAGTAGGAAACCAATTGGAGGAAAGATTGGACGGGGTGTGGTTGAGAAAGGATTGGAGAATAAATACTAAGAAGTGGAAGAGAAGAGCAATGAAGTATAAGGAGGAGACTCCGAGCTACATGTACTCAGAGATAGAAGGGACTGAAGAAGAAATAATTAGTCTTATGGATGAGTCTGAGGAAATCAACCCTTCTCAGGAAAGAGAGATGAGAGGAATGATAGGAGACTTCGAGTACATAGAAAACAAATGGATAGGAAATTACCGATTTATAAGGCAGCTGGGAACTGGAAGTAGTAGCAAGGTTGTGCTTGGATGCGATCCACAAAGCGGGGAAAAGGTTGCAATCAAAATAATTCCCAAAAGGATGAATGGCACGGAGACTAGCGAGGTTGAGATGAGATGCGACCAGAGGATATTCAGAGAAGTTATTATATCATCTGTGGTAAATCATCCGCATATTGTTCGGTTGAAGAACTTTCTGTATAGCCCTACACACTACTTTCTAATATTCGAGTATGTGAAAGGAAGGCAGTTGTACGATATTATCATTAGTAACGGGCCTCTGAAGGAGAAGGAGGGGCAGAGGTACTTCAGGCAGTTACTTTCTGCAGTTGACTACATCCATAAGAATTCGATTGTCCACAGAGACCTGAAGATAGAAAACATCCTGATTGACGACAACGACAATGTCAAGCTGATCGACTTTGGACTATCGAATTTTTACGACAACAAAACCCTGCTGAACACATTCTGTGGAAGTCTGTACTTTGCAGCGCCAGAGCTTCTTCAGGGGCAGAGATACTGTGGACCAGAGATAGACATCTGGAGTCTGGGGGTTGTTCTATATGCGACTCTGTGCGGATGTGTTCCATTTGATGACGAAAATGTTCAGGGACTCCAGGAAAAGATAAAGGATGGAGACTTCAAGTTCTGCAAGACGATTTCAAGAGAGGCTCAGGAGCTAATCCGAGGGATGATTGTTGCACAGCCATCCTCTAGAATGGGGCTTGACCAAGTGATTGGAAGCGAATGGGTAAACGGAGATCAAAAAGGCAGAATCAACAGCTATACAGCAAAGAGATATCCAATAATGAAGATCAACGAGAGGTACATAGAGTTGTTGTCGAGAGCAATCCGGTTCCAGTTCCCCAACATTGAAAGAGAGATTAGAAGATTCCACAGAATATGCAAGGAAGACATGGGGACTTTAGAGCAGATCTATTGGTCGAGAAGGCCTGTGGTGTCTCTCTATTATCTTGTTTCTGAGAACCTTGGAGAAGACAACGAAAACAGAATCTACGAAGAAGAAGATGAGACAGAACTGCCACAGGGGCAACCAGAAGCCATCCATGACTTTGTAAGGTTTATATTTTCTGGAGAGAGAACCTGTACTCGAAAACACGTTAAAAAGGAGGTGCTTCTGGAATCTGCAAGCCAAGACACCCTGGTGTCCCTGAAGGGAAAGGACAACGGGCTTCCACGAATCAGACAGACATACTTGAAGGGGTTCTTCAGGGGGATAAGGGTAAAGCACATCGGAAGCCACAATGCACTCAAAAAGATACTCCTTGACATATTCAATGCAAATAGTATTATCTACGAAGTTACCGATAAGAGCTACTTTTGCTCTGCATACTACGAGGATCTGGAATGTCTTTTCAAGGTATCGATGTATTTTAATGTGCTTCTTAACGAATATTATCTTACTGTGACACCTCTGAACAGCGAGAAGAAGCTTTTTAAGAATGTATATGAATGGATTTCCTCTGGATTGAGGAATAGAACGTGAAATAAATTGTTAACTTTTGGTTGGGTGCAAGAGCAGCATATGTCATTGCTCCGTGATTTCCAAGACATTGTGGCTGAAACTAATAATTGCGGTAGATATTTTCTTGTTTGGAATTACCCTGGATCCGTGGCTAATACCATGGATTCCAAAAGAGCCAGAATTGCTCCCTTGAGCCTGATGGTTCCAAGGTTCGTAGATGGCTACATTTTGATGGGATGTCTTCTTTCTATGATGTTTTCTGTTTCAAGGCTGTTTTAAGCTGTTTTGGAATCTCTATAAACAGAAACGGCTTTCGGTCCATACCAAGGCCAGATGACTCCTATTTGGTTATTTCTAGGATGTGCTCTCTGTTCTCTTGAAAGTGACATGCTGAGATACACAAACAAATTCAGGAAGGAGCACAACATGGAGGAACTATACAACCTACCTTCCTTGCAGAAGGCTGCGGATCTGCAAGTGCTGCACATGTGTAAGAAATCCAAGCTTACACATGACGGACCAAGCGGAGAAGGATTTAACCTTGCAGGAAGGTTGAAAAAGTTTGATTTTGTCGGACTCAACATAGGAGAGAATATAGCTAAGCAAGAGAATGATGACTATAAGGAGGTGGTTAAACTTTGGATGAAGTCTGAAGAGCATAGAAACAACATTCTCGGAGACTATGTATACTCTGGGGTTTCCACATGTATTGGGAAGGATGGGAACAGATATTGGGCCCAGGTCTTCGGGAAAGACATCAGTAACACAAAAATTGCCAAGATGAGGAATGAGGGGAAGCCACTGATTTGCCTGGAGTGCAATATGAAAGATGAAGACAAATCGGATAGAGAAAGAAAAACACATGAAGAAGGAGAAGACCTCGGAGTCGGAGACTACATAATGGTGGTTCCTCCGGAGTATGGAAAAGAACCAGAAAAAAGAGAAGGATCTTTTGGAGGAGTTTATGAAGATGCTCGGAATGAAAATGTTGGTTCTATCGAAACTCAGCCGGATGTAGAGAGTCCTAGCAGAGGAGGAAAACGGATACCTGAAATAAGCTTAGGTAGAAAGAGGTATCCGGGACAGAACATTGTTCGAAGACCTAAGTATTCGTCCTCCCACGAGCGCAATACTAGGAAGGAGGAAAGAGAATTGTTAAGTCTAGGAGATTATCTTATTCCACCACAGAGCGAAAGCACCGAGCATCCAAAAACTAGCACTTCGACTTCAGAGAGTTTGTATTCAACAACGACTCAAAAAACAGTCTCCACCGTCACTCCAAGCACCAGCATCCGAACCTCAACAATACCAATCTTCACACTTGTATTCAAGGACTCGGGAAATTCCACTGTGGTTCCTGCACTTCAATCTTTGATTGATGCAATCAAAGGAACATCTTCTCAGGAGAAGAGTAGCAGTAGCAAGACTGTCTTCTCTGTGGGGTCGACACTTTATTCTACTTCGGGGATAAGCACTTTCAGTTCAAGCATTCAGTCTCCTTTGTCTAGTACTACACAAACATCCTCATCTTCACTAAGCAGCAAAGAAGCAATATCCACAGTTACAGTCACTTCAACCGCTCGTGAGTCCGTCACAGTGTATCTCCCCAAATACCAGATAACGACAACGACAACGACCGTGCCATCGGAAAGAAAGGATTCCAAGGCCCCACAGAACAGAGATGGGTCTTTCAACCAGGGAGGTCTAAGGATTGAGTCCCCAAAGCATCTGGAGTTCATTGGGGGAGCTGGAAGCGGAGGAAGCATAAGCCCTGTTGTAAAGTTGGATGACAGACATAATGCAGGACAAAACGAAAAGGAAAATGACTCTGGCAACGAGGGAGGATGCAAGGAAGGATACAACAACGACGGAAGCTGTATACTTTCCAAGTCGCTGGATGATTTGAAGCTCAAGGATACCCTCGAGAATCTGGTTCGAAAGGGAAAGATCCATCTTCATATTCTGTCGGACGAAGACTGCGGAGACAAGGAGGAATGTTATGAAAGCAAAAATAGAGTTGACATAGGAATTCCGTTTTCTTATAAACTTTAAGGTTATTTTTTAAAGGAAGTTGTTTTAATCTTGGAAAACCTAAATTATTTATTCTGTCTGAGCTCTATTCCAACACCAGCCCCAAGTCGCGGATGAAGCCATACAGAACTATCAAGAATGCGTCTTCCTGTGCTTTCAGGGTCTTTATGTCCTGATTTTGGATCCAGAACACAACGTCAATATTTATCCCTATTGAGGAGTTGTTCTTCAAGTCATACCCGTACACACTAAACTTTCCTGTGTATACATTAGGATCCGAGGCCACCTCCTTTTCGATTGCAGAGTTCAGCTCCGCCATCTTGTCTTTAAATTCCAGAGAGTTTAAAAATGTAAACTTAAACTGTTTCAGTGACGTCCTTGCCTTTCTGAGGTTGACTATGGTCTTGTCCATGATCTTGGCATTGGGAATCACTGTGACTTTCTTGTCAACTACAAACGAGGTGTAGAGAAGGCCCATGTCGTACACCTTGTGAAGGTGGCCGTCTATAAGGATTTTGTCTCCAACATCAAATGTCTTGACGAGAAATATGAACACCAGAGACCTGAACATCTCTGTGAGAATCGAAGCAAAGATCGCATTGAGGGAAAGGAGTGTACCAAACTGGATGGGGATGAAGTTGACAAAATTAACCTCACTCTCCACTATTGGAATGGTGGCCGAAATCCCAAACGGAATGAGTATGCAGGAGAGAACAATGTCCAACTTCTCGACAATCGTGACCTTCTGAGCCATTCCCATAGTGATTCTCTTATCCTCGTTTAGAATGTCCTGATACACAAGGACAAAGCTACTTCTTGTCACCCTGCCATCCCCGTATATATCGAAGCGCTCAAATATCTTTCGTGCACTATCGGTTCCAAAGAAGTATTCGAGGGTCTGAATGTCAACAGTATCCTTTTCCGGAGAAACTGTCTTGAATACAAGACTTCCCCAGCTCTCGACATCTGGATCCGACTCCATCTTCTTGCCAGTTATTCTGTTCAGCTCCTCGAGCATCTTCATGTCCTCATAGTTCTTCTGGATTCTATCCTCATAGTTTTCAAAGAGCATCTTGTAGTTTATCCTCTCCATAAGAATGGTCTTTGCCAGAATTATCCCAAGAAACATAGAGCTTGCAAGAAGAAGCCTGCTTAGTTTGTCTATAAATGGAGTCTTTGTCTCAACTAGCCTGGCAGAAGAGCTTCCTGACTCCCCAGGATGGGTCTCTTCCTTTGGTAGCTCTGCGTTCCCCTCTTCGCCAGTCCTGGCACTCTCTCCGTCTATGATCTCTGTTCCATGGTTGTAGCTTCCCATGACAAAAGAGAGAATCAACAGTGTGAGAACAAGACTTATAAGCCATCCATTCCTTATTAAAGTGCTCTGAAGGAATCTTTGCTTCTCGTCAATCTTCTTGAGAGTGATCGAGAAGTATGTCAGTATAAGCTCAAGCATAAACCAAATCATAATACCAATGAGAAGGCACAGAAGAAGTTTTTCGGTTGCCAATGGGGGCTGGGCCTTTCCATTAGGTTCTATCTTTGATAGAATAAACGAATAGTGGCATATGTATGCTAGGATCCCGGAAATAATGGATCCCCCAAGGTAGATAAGGATCCATACCGATGAGGGAGGACTTGGATCGTCCACGTGTCTCTTCCCCGACGGCTTCTTCTCCACAAAGAAGTCGGACTCCTCAACCTGCTGTATGCTTTCAATTTTCTCGGTTCGCATAGCGTCCCAAGCTCACTTAGAATTATGCTTGAAAAGGAGAACAAACCATAACGGCTGAAGGGTTTTTAGTAATTCACATTGGAGGAAGGGCCTTGTGTCCAATAGAGGCTTTAATGTTTAATTTTCGTCGGGATGATCCCCTTTTCCTTCGTCCCCCATTACATTCCCCTCCTCCCTGGAAGCCCAGAGGGTAAGGTTGTCCCTAAGAAGTTGCATGATTAGAGTTGAGTCTCTGTAGCTTTCCTCAGAAAGAGTGTCCAGCTCCTTGATGGCTTCATCAAAGGCATTCTTGGCTATAGAACAGGCTTTTTCAGAGTCATTGAGGATCTCGTAGTGAAACACAGAATAATTCAATGCAAGGCCCAGCTTTATGGGATTTGTGGGTGTAAGGGTCCTTGCCTTCTCTGTGGCCTCCTTGTAGGACTCTGCCGCATGCTTCGACACCTCCTTGTGCTCTGCCCCTGTGATGACTTCGGCCTTGTATCTGTAGTAGTCTCCCTTCATCTTCAGAAAGAAAATAAAATACTCAACATTCTTTCTTGCCTCCTCCAGGCTCAGTATGTATGTTGTGATGATGTCCAGGACCTCATCGCAGAACTTCAGAAGCTCCTCTTCAACAACCTTTATCTTTTCATCGATGACATAGACCACATTCTGGTCCTTCCCTTCAAGTTTCTGTCTTTCAGAGCATAGCATTCTCCAGCTCGATCTTCTTGAACTCACAAGGTTCTTGTATGCAACGGAAAAGAGGTTTCTTGCCATCACATTGAGAACATGCTTGTCCTCATGTGCGAGCACCACAGCTTGCTTCATCTCCTTTGCCATGTCGTCATATCTTTCTGCCATGTCACTAAGATTTGCCTTCTGTAACGCCTCTTCATACTGCTTGGATACCATTTCTTAAGCCCCCATCTATTTTTATTTTTATTTTTATTCAATAGGAGACGTCAGCAGATTTAGAGAGGATAAAAATTAACCCAGTAGGGCTGATGGACTGGTATCTAAAGAAGTATCCAGACGCCAAGATCCTTGCCGACAGGCTCTCCATGCTGGCACAAACCGATGGGGAGGACATGTCGAAGTACCTTGATTCCGAAAACCTATCTCTAGCAGATTGCATATACACAGAAAGATTGTACAGATCTAGGGATGTCAAAAGGACATTGAGAAGGGTTGCAGCAAAAGAAGGTTCAAGGATAGAAAAGATTGTTTATGAAATGCTCTGCAAGAGAAAGATTGTTTTCGACGACTATCTGCTGAAGCTGTCTTTTATAAAGAGATTTGGAAGGTTTAAGAGGTTTTTTATTGATGGGAAGGAACCTGAATACCGGATGGAGATGATGGTCCACAAACTCCTCTATCTCGGGGAAAATGTTGTTGAGGAAGTTGAGAAAGAGATTGTAAGAGTTCCGGGTGACAAGGCATGGGTTTACATGGGTTTTCTTGGATCTTCTGTGGGGCGGGATGTGATTATGGAGGTTATGAGCCGTGTGAGTATTGAGTTCAAGCCCTTTGTCGGCTCTTTCCTCCAAAAGGAAGATTACTACAACAAGATGTGCAGTGTGATTCTGAAGTCCCCTTCCGAAGAAAGAGGGGCCGTAATCTTGTCAATGGGAGTCCTTGACAAGGCCCAATTCTACAGGTCACTTCTTCATGTATGGTTTTCCGAGAGTGGAGGGAAGAGAAGATTCAACGACCTTATTGAGATAATGAGGGAAGTGAAGGTAGACAGGAGAATGAAGACGGAGATTATTGATGGGTATCTAAACGGGCTTATCTACCAGAGGAGGGTAGGGGAGTTTATGAAGCTATTTAAGCTTGCAAAAAGAATGAAGATCTGCAGAGATGAACACAAGCTGTTTGAAAAGCTTTATAATGCTGTCCGTAAGTACAAAAGAGAAGGGAAGCTGGACCTAAGAAGGTTTCTAGATGGATGCAAGGAAAGAAAGAAGAAGGATTTGGTGTCTCCGTACAGCTGGGAAAGTATACATGAAATGTACAGAGAATGATTGGAAGGCCTGGGGTTTCCTTTCTGCATGGAGGATAAATTTTGTGGGCTCTCATCCTTGGGATGGTAGTGGTAGGAAGAGAAGAGGAGTACTTGAAGCTGGAACGCTATCTAGACATGTTTTTTAGCACAGAGACAGGAGGGATTGTCTACATAAGTGGGGTTCCGGGATCTGGGAAGACACACACGGTGTTGAGACTGATGGAAAAAAGACAGGTCAAGCATCTGTTCTTGAATGCAGCTGGGTTGAGGTTAAAAAGGGATGTTTATAAGTGGATCCTCACAAATCTATCCTGCTGCACCGATCCAAAGCGTATGTATTTAAAAAGTCTCCAGAAACACTTTATGGAATGTATTTCTCACCATGTGGTTGTGATTGATGAAGTGGATATTCTTATAGGAAGGAGCCAAGAAGTGTTATACAATTTGTTTGATATGCCATACCTGGAAAACAGCAAGCTTCTGCTGTTTGTAATTTCCAATACAATGAATCTTCCCGAGAGACTGTTTGAGCCTAAGGTTTGTAGCCGGATAGGAGGGAGAAGAGTTAACTTCACGCCATACACATCTGCACAACTGTGTGAGATGGCTGGAAGTTGCGGAGTGAACAAGGGTTGTGTTGAGCTTGTTTCAAAGAGAATTGGGGGAGTCAGTGGAGATGCTCGAAAGGTAAGGGATGTGATTGAGAGGGTTAAAGAAAGTGAGAGGGGGAGTGAGGCAGGGATATTAGATGTGGACGATATTATGAGAAAAATGTATGTTCCTGTATACACCTACTACCTTCAAAACCTGTCTTCTTATCAAAAAACCATTATATTTCTGGTTAGCGGAAGCGAGCAGGACAGAATGAAAACCAATGAACTTTACGATGAGTTTGTCTCTTTCTGCAGAAGATCTGGAATGAAAGAAGTGGGGTTTTTTGAGTACTTGGATCTCCTCGAGGTGTTAGTGGACTACGGGCTCCTTGGAGTTAGGAGCTTGGGGAAAGAGATTCAATGTATGGTTCTGCGGGAGGAGGTTGAAAAGAGCCTTGGGTCGGACAAGGAGTATCTGGAAATAACCGGGAGGGCGGGGAGTAGAAGATGTTTTTTGAAGAACTCTGGTTAAAATCCGAAGAGAGAAGACCCATCAAATGGATCAAAAACTCAAGCACTTTCTTGACAACTCGAACTTCCGAAGAGACAGGAGAAACAAGAAAAAGAAAGTTGAGACGTCTGGGGGAAAGAGAGAAGCAGGACAGGAGGAGATCTTGATGATTAAGAACGGGCAGATTGTTGTCAATGATGCAAACATGTATGTGGACACACATCGGGATGTGGAGATGGAGGTGATGGAAGACGACCGGATTGTGACATCCTCGACCTTTAGCAAGAAGAAAGGAGCACTAAGGTGGAGCAAAAAAGAGATAGAGCTGTTTTATAAGGCGTTAGAAATCTGTGGGATTGAATTTTCATTAATAAGCTCCCTTTTTCCGAACAAGGAGAGAAAGCACATCAAAGCGAAGTACATAAAGGAAGCGAAGGTCAACCCCGAGAGGATCAACGAGGTACTGAACGAGTATAAAACATTTGATCAGGTGGCATACAACAAGCTCCGAAGCTATCTTCTTGAGTGAAAAAGTTTAATAAATCTGTTCTATCCTCCTATAGGGTTTAGAGTAACTTATCCTTGGCAGTTGATGAGTGGATCTTTGCATTGATGATCCTGGAGATCTGAAGGAACAGCTTGTAATAAGCAAAGACAAGTAAGGTTGCAGCAGCAACCAAGGCCATTCTCATCGATATCGACATATATCCTAGAAAAGGGTACACCCAGGAGTTGTTGAGTCTTTGGAAGTAATGGATTACCATAAAGTAGACAAACCCAAAGATGGCAAAGGTCCAGTAATGTCTTCTTGCTCCATAGATATTGACGCCTACTTGATCTATCAGAAGGAGAATAAATGGGAACAGATGGATGGACATCTCCGATATTAGCGGAGTCCTAACACCTGCCATATAAAGATCCTTATTCTTGAGAAGTGTCGGATCTATGGCATTAAGTGTCCAGAATACTGTTGTCACTAGTCCCTCCAGAGGAAGAGTAATGGAAAGAAAGTCTCTGTACACCTCTTTAATTCTTGAGGCTCCAAAATGTTTTACGCAGTAACTTAGAGACAACGTCATTATTGTCATGTAAAGACTTATCTGGGTGATATAAATGTGGCTTCTTCCAGCAAGCTTGTCGATGAACTTCACCCACTCCTTTGGCTGGGAGTAGTCTGTTGCCCCGTAGATACAAAGTACGAAGAGGATTATCTTGAAGATTTCCTTTGAAGCCAAAAGACGGCTAGAACTTTCCATAAGATTATGTGGCTTTGAAGGATAAAAAGAATCTAGGAGTAACAAACTTTTAATGTATCAATGAAATGAGGAGATGTGATAATCAATGGGTCCCCGACCAATTCAAAAGGATCTATTATCCTCTTTCACTGGCTCATACTTCCCATGAACCAAATCGTTAACTCCAAGAAGGCCTAAGTAACATCCAGTACCGATAAGACATGCCATAAAAATGAAGAGTATCCTCCCAATAGTGTTCATTTTCTTGAAAATTGGATAGGGCCACTTGCCATCTACCGTGTAGAAGTACCAGGTTTCTAGGAAGTATAGAATGCCGAATCCAAATACAAAGGAAATGCATCTCTTCCGTTTTTTTAGCCTCACATCTATTTGGCATATCAGTAGGAGGAGAAGAGGAAACAAATGCTGGGAGAGCTCTGTTAATAAGCTTTCCTGGATTCCCTCACTATAAAGTTTCCTACTTTTCAGGAGAGTTGGGTTAATGAAGTACAAAATCCAAAACAGTAAGGTCACTATGCCCTCTAAGGAGAAGGAAAGAGCCAGCAAGTCTTTGTAAGTGGTTTCCAAACTCTTTCCGACTTTGGTTCTTGTGAGATACCCGATAACTGTTGTAATGATGGTTAAATACAGCGATAGTACAGTAAGGTATACAAATTTTCCCCCAGAAGTTCGATTTATAGACTGAACTACTTGTTCCGGTAAGGCATAGTCCAACGTCCCGTACACACAAAAGCCCAGAAGTGTTACTTTCAATATCTCTTTTAGCATCCTTTTTATCTTTTCCTTTTCCATAAGGGGACGTTGTAAAACTCGAAAAATAATTAAAGCAAAGAGGGTGTGGGGATCTTTTTGTTTTGAATTTTGGAAGAGGGCGAGTAGGGATTCCTTTGGAGAGATGTTGATGGGGCCCGGATAAAACAATAAAAAAGAAGCCCTTCCAAACCTCTGGAAATGTTAAAGATCTATGAGGATATAATCAATGAGGTTATATCCAGGCTTGAGCATGCCGAGGACGAGGCCAGCATTAGTAAGTCTGCTATCCATGAACTCCGAAACGAGTGGAGGGAAAGGCTTATTGAGTACACACAAGGGGAATGGGACGAGGACAGGATTGTTCAGAGAGGCGGAGAACAGGGATATCGGCACGTAAGGCCTTCAGAAGGGTCTGGAAGTGTTTTTGGGGGGAATCCCACGATGGAGAAGGAGCCTGGGATGTTTGAGGACTACGAGAGCTTGAGCGGATCGAGTGGAGACTCGGAGATAATAGGAAAGAAGGTTACCGCTGGGAACTGTATGGTCTGTCTGTATGTGAAGGTCAACATGTCAAAGGGGAAGTGGAAGTGTACATTTAAGCAGGGTTTTATCAGCATAGGGAAGATAGACTTTGTGTTTAACTCCGCCCAGGGGGAGCTTGAGTGGTGAAGAGATTTTATTTAATAAAGGATCCCTGTATATTTGGTAAACGTTTGAGAAGTTGGCAGGATAAGCCCTGGAAATGGGGATCAAGCAGTTATCCAAGCTCCTGAAAGAGAATTGTGCGAAAGGAATTAAAGAAAGGCCTTTGGCATACTACTCGTCGAAGAGAATAGCAATTGACGCTTCGATGTCGATGTACCAGTTTCTGATAGCTGTTAGATCTGATGGATCATCACTGGGAAACGAAGACTCCCCAACATCGCATCTTGTAGGATTTTTCTACAGGACTATCCGGATGGTGGAGCTAGGAATAATACCTGTGTATGTATTTGATGGAGTACCTCCCGAGGTTAAGATGAAGGAGCTAGAGAAAAGAAGCGAAAGAAGAGCAGCAGCTGATAAAGAGTACAAAGAGGCGTCTGAAATGGGGGACAAGAAGCTTATGGAGATGTACGACAAGAGAAAGACAAAGGTGACTGGGATGCATGTTGAGGAGTGCAAGAGACTTCTTGGGCTGATGGGGATACCGTTTGAAACAGCACCCAGCGAGGCAGAGGCATACTGTGCTTTCCTATGCAAGAAGAAGGCTGTGTACGGTGTTGCAACAGAGGACATGGATGCTCTGACATTTGGGTCACCTGTGGTGTTGAGAAACTTCAGTGGCTCCCAGAGCAGAAAGCTTCCTATTGTAGAATACAACCTCCCGGAGCTATTGGAAAGCCTTTCCTTGGAGCACGAAGAGTTTATTGACTTGTGCATTCTCCTCGGATGTGATTACTGTGGCACATTGAAAGGAATAGGGCCTAAGAGAGCACTGGGGTTGATTAAAAAGCATGGGGGCATTGAGAAGATTCTCCAGAGCGAGAATTTGGAGGTTCCCGACGGCTGGAGATATAGGGATGCCCAGAGGATATTTGGAAGTCTTCCGGAAATTGGAGATGCAAGAGAGTTTAATATTTCATGGGGGTCGATAGACAGAAATGGGATTGTGAGCTTCCTTGTTGAAGAGAAGGGATTTGACTTGGAAAGAGTCAACAGAGGGATTGAAAAGCTTGTGAACTCTCGAAAGAAAGGGGTCCAAGGGCGTCTAGATGGGTTCATAGCAAGGAGCAGGTGAGTCTTCTATGGCAGTTACAGGTTTTTATACATCAAGTTCCTCAGATACAATGGCCTACAACCAGACACGTGCTTTTTGAAGCTGGACATATCCACAAGTAGAACACCCTCCCTGTCTATGAGACCGAAGTCAAGAATGTCAAGGAAGTAAAATAGGATTTCCATGTTAGTTACTCCCCTGAGCTCGTTGGCATCTGATGTAAAGGCCCGAAACTCTGGCACACAGCTGATATACTTTATTCTTCTTTTGAATGCCATCATTGTAAGGGCCACATGGACAGGGTTCAGTAAGGAGTATAGAGTTTCTATGGAGTATTCTGGAATGGAGTACTTTTTCAAGACTATTTTCTTCAACAGAACTGAAATGCTTGGATCGATATTGTATTGTCTCTGGATTTCTTCTTCATTGTCTGTGGCGGCAAGTTGCATATGCAGAGTTCTGTATAGCTCAAAAGGAAGAAAACCTGTGAAAAATATCCGGTGATTGAATCTTGACTTGATACGCCTTTCCAGTCTGTCCAGAGAAGTGCACGAGTTCGATACAAGAAGCAGGCAGCAGGGATGGGTCCTGGTCTTTTCAAGATAATGGTATACGTGCAGCTGACGGGAAATGGGCATTTCTCCCTCTATATCAATAAAAAAAACCTTTCCGTCGGGACTTTCGTCTTTTGGAGTGGTTGGGAGGACTTTAACCACTGTTCTGCTTATCTTTTCTGCATGGCTCTTCACCACCCCAACGATTGCTTGAAGTATTTCTTGGTCTGGCCCACACAGGAGAAGATGCTCCCCATTTTTGTCAATCAGACGTGTTATCTCGCAGATGGTTTCCTTGAAGCACTCTCCGACAATCTTTGCTGTGCCATACATCGGGGACGCAAAAAGAGTTGGTCTTGAACAGAAAAAATGCTAGATCCCGGGTTCGAACCGGGGACACCTAGATCTTCAGTCTAGTGCTCTTCCACTGAGCTAATCCAGCTATAAAGTCCATCCCACCAATACTTCCAGACTCTGCCCCCACATAATCATCGTTCTGTTTACCTTGAGCCCAGGAATGGATCACGATCCCAACAACGCCTCTTTAAGAGATCTCCTCTCTTCCCCACACACAGATCTTCTTCAGATAATGCAGTACATGCATGAACATCCATCTGTAGGCGTCTGGCAATACATATGCAGTAGAATTAGACATTCCAGTCCCCAGATTCGATACCTTCCTCAGCTTGTCCATGTGTTTCTCTACAACAAAGATAGAATGTCTAGCAAGCCAATGCACGCTCTCCTTAGTCACTGGGCTGGAAAAGATAGGGAGTTTTGCTGTGCACTATACTTCCATCTGAGAAGCGCTCTTGAAAGCAACAGCGACATAAGATCTATATCTTGCTACTTTCTGATCTGCGACATATTCGAGACCGAAAGAAAGAGGATGTGCCGGAACACAAGGATCCTGGAGCTGCAGTATAGATACAAGACAAAAACCGGTAGAACCCTTGGAACACTTGTTGCAAGAAAGGGATATCCTCCCCTTCGAGGAATCCTCCTGTTCTTTGTGAAAGCCGTGTCATGGATGGTTCATCCAAGACTCTTTAAGAGAATCCATGATTATGAAGAAATGTTCCTGGAAACAAGAGAGGTATGTAACATCAATGTGAAAAGGGATTTAAGATTTGGGAATGCATTCGATGGCCCCGGAGTAAGCTCAAGCATCTCGTTTCTCGAGTCCCTAGTTGAGATCCCAAGTAGGTTGAAGAAGCTCCCTCGGCACTTAAGGCAAAGAGGACTAGACATGGAGATCAAGCTTCTAAACCATAACCTGCCTGCAAAGGTATCTCTTCCATTCCATTCGGGAAGGTTTGTGCTGACTGCTAGAGTCGAGGAATCGTTTCTACTAGATTCGGCAGAAAACTCTCCTTTTCTCGTTGTATTTGAGACTGCACTAGAAGTGCCAAGAAGAAGTTGTGCAAAAGAGGAGATCAAAGATGCATTGTTTTTGAAGCAACAGCTGGACGCAGTCAATGGGCTTTCCTCTCTAAGCGAGATAAATGTTGTTAAGGAGAATGTGATGACCTCTATAGAAAAGATTCTGATGACCGAAAGATACGAAAATACTTCTCTTGAGAACTCTCCAAACTTGGAGGCTTGGAGAAGTGATGAAGAAAAAATAGACAAACATCTAGATGACATTCATGTTCAGCAGAAGATTTCTAAGAATTCTGTTGATGCAGGAATGCTTTTTATGAACCATAGATCGTACTCTGCAGGACAGTTAGCAGAAGGAAATAGCTCCTTTGGAAAGAGCGAGGAGGAAAAGAAGCTTGGAGGCTCGGCAAGCTATAGGCGCCATAGCGGATGGATACTTAAGAAAGCTGAACTTAGAAGAACCTCTTTGTTCAATGATGTTGCTGGATGGACGGCAGAGTCCGTGATTGTAAAGACAGGAAACTCTCTAAGACAGGAGCTAATGGCCCACCAGGTTCTTCAAGAAATGAAGAAAATCTGGAGAAAAGAGAATAGTCCTATTTGGGTCCAAGCTTATCAGATCTACCTTGTAAGTGACACTAGTGGAATAATAGAGACGGTGGTGGATGCTTTGTCAATACACAAGATCAAGAAAAAGATGATGTCGGAAAATAAGAATTACTCTCTGAAGAACTACTTCACAGAGTCCTTCGAGCCAAACAGCGAAAAGTACAGGAGCTGCTTGCGAAACTTCCTCTACTCTCTTGTGGGATACTCCCTAGCCACATACATTCTACAGGTCAAGGACAGACATAACGGAAACATAATGATTGATGGGCAAGGGCATATCATCCATGTTGACTTTGGATTTATAATGGGAAATCATCCGGGTTTCTACTGTGTCGAAGCAGCGCCATTCAAATTCTCAAAAGAGTATCTTGAGCTCCTCGAGGGTCTGATGGATGAGTTCAAGGACCTGTTTCTTCAGGGGTACATGGCACTGAGAAAGCACAGCAGCAGTCTTTTCAGGATCATGGAGACGATGCCAGGAAGCTCTAGTGTAGAGTGCTTCAACAGGAGAGAGCTTCAAAACTTCAAGGATAGGTTTCGGATGGATCTCAACGAGGAGAGGGTTGAGGAACACGTGACATACTTGATAAATAAGAGCCTTAACAGTATGGGAACGGGGCTGTACGATTCCTACCAATACTTTTCATATGGATATCTTTAGACAAGGATTAAACAACTTTTTGGACGAAGGGGATCTTTATTATGTTGCTTAGAAGAGTTCGGCTACCAAACAAGCCGCTGGTGATATTGTCTTGGAAGAACTCTGTATACATTGGAGATGCCCACGGAGTTGTGTATGAGATGAAGCATCCGTATATTGCTCCAGTGGCCATATTCCAATCTCCAGGACCGGTATCTGCGTTGGATGGAGCAGAATGCCTGTACTATGGGAATTGGGATGGAGACATAGGAATAGTTGGCGGAGGAAAGATTAATCTGGGAAACCATATGGTGAAGTGCATGGTTGTTCACGGAGACACAGTGTATGCCTCGGTGGGTTTGATGGTATATGGTCTAAGTCTTGAATTGAAGATAAAGTGTTCTTACGAGGTTAAGCACAAGGTTTTGTGTATGACTTCCTTCCAAGGGTCGGTCTATTGTGGCATGGGAGTGTCATTTCTATCACGCATTCATAATGGGCTTGAGATTGTTGGAAGGAGTTTGCATGATACCTCGATCTTTTGCATTTCAGGAGAGTATACCGGATCTGCAGACGGAAAAGTCCTAAAGCAGGATTACGATGAATTAGAGAATGCTAAAGAGATCTACAGAGGGAAAAACTGGATCAGATCAATGTACAACCAGCATTTATTTTCTGATGGAAGAGATGTAATGGGTGACATTGATGGTCTGAAGGGAAGCTTGGGGAGCGGAGTAAAGCTCATGTATTCTCATGAAGAAGATGTGGTGGGAGTGGTTAGAGTAGGAGGCATGATTATCTCGATTGGACTGGACTACTGCTGCACCATCCTTGAAGTGGAGCCAAGCCTCAGCATGGAGGAAGAAAAGGAACTAGCGGAGCTTATGAACGGATAGGGTGTTCTGTTTAACAGAATGTGGAAGCCTATTTGTTATGACAATGCTTAAGGCCTAGGAAGTCGTAAACAAAGCCAAAATGTTTCTGCCTCCTGAAGCAAACACAAGGGAGAGAAGAAGATTTGATCTGGACGACCTCCGGGTTTACTATCTAATATGTGAGGAGCTTGGGATAGCTGAGGAGGAGCACATCCAAAAATCTTTCTATTACCTTATGAAATGGGCAGGGCAAGATAAGTTTGATGGAGAGGTGGGGCTTCTTAGGAATTACATAATGAAGATTAGAAAAGAAAAGCAAAATAAGCCTGGTGAGTGGAGCATGCTAAGGATGTAAGAGAAGATGCTCCTTATACCCTAAATAAAAAAATCCAGATGGCTTCAGTCCTCCTTTCGCCAATTTGATTCCCCAATACTATTTTATTTATCACTATCCACGAGTCTGGTAGACCATCAACAAGGCACATGAGAGAACAACAATTATAACAAACTCTATCATGCCGAACAGAATGATCAGGATCGGCAGAAAAGAAGGCTTTTCCGATAGAATTCTGAATCCTCGTTTTCCAAGGGCCGAGCAGACCTTCCCGGATATGGCTGCCGTCATCCCTACCATCATACATGCCGAGAAGTATGAAATGCTCTTTCCCATGTCTAGCTTTTCATCGATGTTGGTCGCGATGATTAAGGCAACAAGGAAGCTGCTGAAAAATATTGTTGATATCATTATCATGATAAAGTATGTGGGCCCGAGTATGGATCTATTCTGACTGCATAGAATCGATGCTGCTCCCGAGGAAACCATGCCTTCGCATGCACCATAAACTGCAAGGGCTATCTCAATGGCAAGGCCCAAGGAGACAATCGAGAGAGCTGTATCACTGTCACTGCCTGCCTCCATCGGAATGATGGGTCCCACCAACAAAAACATCAAATTCATTCACTTTGAAAACAAGATCCCCGACGCTTTCAATGGGGTTGCTTAAGTACCATGGGGTGACCGAGCTGTCGGGAAAGCCTGGATCTGGAAAGACTGCCATTGCCATCGAGGAGTCGAAGGAGTTTCCAACCATATATCTGACAACAACAGCGTTCTGCATAGAGAGATACAAGGGGTCGTCTAAAGAGGTGATGGATCGTGTGGTTATAAAGTACATCCCGACTATCGGGCATCTGGCATCTTTTGCTATGAACTCGATAGAGAGGATTGTTGTGGAAAGTAACACCAGGTTGATTATCATAGATAGCTTGGATCATCTTCTTGCCACAGAAGGCATGGGGATGTCGCGGGGTGTTCTTTTTGGAATCATCAATAAGCTCAAAAGAGTGAGCCAAAAGCATTTGGTGAATATTTTGGTCGTTACATGTCACTACGGGACCTGGACTGTTGGGTCCTTTTGCATACCCAATCCTGTCCTTGGGCTTCAATGGATGTATATGGTGAACACGAAATACATTTGCAGCAGAAACGGAGAGAAAAGAACGCTTAAGCTTGTTCGTTCTCCTTTGGCAAGCTCTGGGACGTGGGAGTTTGAGATTGGGCCGTCTAGGGTATATATTGTGTCGGAAGCCTTTGAGTAAGGCCTATCTCACTGTCTCTAGTAAATATTTTATGCTTCTTAAACCGTTTATATTCCATGACAGACAGAACAGGACCTCCTCTCAGGATCCTCTCGGATTCGCTCAGGAAGTTTAGATATATCTCTGGTGCCATGTTTTACGGCAGAAGGGAGGTGTCTCTCATAGAGGTTGCTGGAGTGTGTGTCCATAGAGATGGGAAGCTTGCTCGGATGCTAGATTTCTGTGGAGAGGTCCTGATTGAAACAGGAGGCCAAGAGATCTTCTTGGACTTGGCGTATCTGTTGGTGTGTAGAGTGTACATGAAAGATGGAAGAATGAACTTGTGTTGCAAATCCGCAAGGAGGCTGGGAATTTTTGAAGAGATGTTCTTTTGGGCAGAGGCTTCTAACCTAAGAAGATCATTAAAATACAACCGAAACAGACATTGAAATTTAATATTAAAGATTGCTTGTCTTCAGGTCCTTTGAGACGTTGGAAACAATCTTGTTTTCAGGTTTTTCAAGTAGCTCCGGGTCCGAATACCCCATTTGGAGATGGACAGCATATTTGCTCCTGTCAAGAACCTCTTTACTGAATTCAATCTTGGATTTGGTGGCAAGAGCAGGCCCAATAAATGGCCCTTTAAATATCTTTTCCTTTTGCAACTGCCTGCTTAGTGCATAAAGACATATGACAACCTGTTTCAGATCCTTTGCTTCAAATAGGTCGTTGGTCTGAAATAGCTCGTATTCATTCATCTTGAGTTTTTTAAGTCCGTTAATAAACGAGCATATGTTTTCCCTTTGCACAAATATTTGCTTGGACTCCTTATACTTGACATCGAGTTTTGAAACCTTATTAAGGAATCTGCAGAGCCTTACTCCATCCTTGAATAGGTCATGGAATGTCCCAGCTTCAAACTTCTCTCCAAGGACAGTCTGGATCCATAGTGTCACTTCCTCTTGTTGCTTATCCATTCCAGGGCATCTGTTTTATGATTTACTTATCAAACCAGCATCAACAAAAATTAAGGTTCAATAATATAGCCATCCAAAAGGGGAATAATTGAGACATGGAGATTTTATTGGGTTGCTCCCTTGGGCTTCTGGATAAGGAAGTCTAAGAATACAATCATGGTTACCACTGTTACAATGGAGGTGACCAATGTACTAAAGAGAAGCGACAGAACAAAAATCCCTGTCACTGCCCATGAGGCTGTGCAAGTGGTTAGAAGGAGGAATAAGAAGATTGTCTTAATGGCTCCCATTCGGTCTCTATGGAGATTGACTTTCTTTCCTTCAAGATCTGTGGTAAGGATTTCATATGTAACTTGTAAGCTCCCATGGCAAAGTCTGTTTATGAAGTATCTCTGTAAACCTATTGCTGAATCTCTTAATGTGTCAATGGGCCTTTGCTTTCTTCTGGAAAGGAAATGGCTCTTCAGGGCAAACGATCCTGAGTATTGCATCGAGAGAGAGTTCCCATTTTTGTACCACAGGTACTTCATCTGGTCGTAGATATTCTCCTTATTTCCAATGTCGAAGTGGGAAAGTTGTTTGGAAAGAACATGCTCTCCAATGATGAACTGAGATATGTTTGTTCTGTCCAAGCAATCAATACAATTTGTACGAATAACACCATTTTGAGAACTTTCTGGCCCTTTGTATCCAAATAGGGAAAGAGTTTCGTCTACTAGACCCAGAAATCTCTCCTGAGTATCACCTTCGAAAATCCCTCCTTCCTCAAAGAAATTGAAGTGTACTCCCTTCTTGTTGTTTCCAAGCAATTCACTTTCATATGCATCGTGTAATTCTCCTTCGTATCCAGAGCTTCTTATGAGGTTCAGATATAAAACATCGCCATACTTGCTCCTCATTATGTCGTCGGCTAGGTGAAGTATTTTCCTATTGCTGATAACTATCTTTGGATTGTATTCTCTCCCAAGAACATGCTTCCACATCAAAGGAATCGACCCTCGAACCTGTAGGTGCGATGTGGTCTTCTCCCCCTCATAAACAATCTGCTCCGTCTCAACATAGTTCGAGACATATCCCGATGAATCCGATCCTCTGGAAAAGTATCTTGCTCCTGCTCTTCTCCAAGACCTTCTTGAAATCAGTCTCAAACATACTGCTCCAACATCTATGGACCCAAAAAACCCCTGTATGCAGCTCAGAGAAAACAGAGATCCTTGATCTCCAACATGTTTTAGGAACCTCTCAAGTGGCAGGGAGTTGAAGAGGAAATCCAAGTCGTCGTCCTTCTTTATACTTATCGACTTGTGAAGGGGATATGTGCTGAAATAAATCCCTGTATTTCGGAGAAACTTTCTTACCTCTTTCATCTCACTTGAGAAGTTCTCTGTCTTCGACCTCTTTAGCCGAATGATTTCTACATCTTGGATCTCGTAGACAGCATGTTCATACATCATTCCTCTTAAAACAGCATCTACAACCAGAATGAGATAAGAGGACTTGGAAATCGTAACTATTCCATAAACTCCGTATGAGTGATAAACAGACTTTCCCGAGTCCATCTTTTGTCTCTTCAAGATCAGAGTTGTGTTCTTATCGATATTCTCGAGCATGATTTCCTCTGGAGAGGTAGAGACTTTCAAACTTGTTCCCATATTCATTCCAGGGGTCTTCAGGGTTGGGAAAATATTGATTATATGAAATAATGATTTATCTCATCATAGACCAAGAATTTTGAAAGTAGAGGAGATATGAAGCGAAAGGGTAGTATAAAGAACAAGAAAAAAAGAAAGGCGAAAATTATATCTTCTACAAGCAATGGCATGCAGTGTCCATTGGTCGATCCCATTATACAAGAGAGATAAGTAAGTCTCCTTGCAGCAGACCTAGCAGTTTCCTCTCCCTAATTAACTTGTTAAAGAAATATAATTTATCTTTCGGTCTCTTAAATAATTCGAAAATTGTTGGGGGTATGGACAACTTTGGAGGCAACTTCTTTAATTCTTATAACAATAACTCTACCAGAGAGACAGAAGGAAGCCAATACTTTGATCCTTACTTTGTCAAGCATCGAAAAAGAACAACGAAAGCACAGCTCAAGGTTCTGGAGGAAACCTTCGAGACCAACATCCGGCCGGATGCAAACATGAGGAAGAAGCTTGGGGAAGAGCTAGGAATGACGCCTAGAAGTGTCCAAGTATGGTTCCAGAACAGAAGGGCAAAAATCAAAAAGCTCACACAGAAGAAGATGATGCAGCAAGAAAACACAGACAACACCAAGGGCCAGGAGACAGCCCATACACCAAGCCCATCAAAAGAAAGCAAATACAACGGCTATCACCCATACATGCCCATCCAGGGACCTTTAGAAGAGTTCAATGTATATCCAAGAGATAACAGCATCTATAAACATGCAATACCGCAAGGAATGGGATCTCCGGTGATGTATGAGGGCTTTGGATACAGAGGGCATGAAGAATACGGATATCCCTATGTACAGAGATATGGAAACGGAGAGTACTATCAAATGCAATATCCGTATGGGATGATGCAGGCTCAATGGCACCAACCTCCAGGATTCCGTGACGAAGATTACTATCGCTCTACTAGAAAACAGCAATATAGAGGAGGCGCACCCAATCCTGAAAAGATGTAGTCTTCGCTGGGGTATGTCCATAAATTCACGGCCTGCAAGAATTAGACTTGCCACAGAATTTTATATCTTTAATAATATTAAAACTTTAGGTAAATGCCTTGGTCTTGGTAAGACCATTTTTGCAATTTATCTACTTACATTTGTATTAATAAAAAGGAGAAATTCAGGAAGAAAACGAAATAAAGCGTAGAAGGCCCATTTAATACCAGGCATTACTTGTATCGGCATAGACATCCATGGGATCCGCTTTTTGAGCACTTGGAATCTTCTTTTCTGTCCGAATCCGAGCACCTACACTTTTCCATCTCTCCCGATGAGCAGGGGGGACATTTGCATGAGTTATCAACGCATTCACTGTTCTTACAAGTCTTATTTCCCTTCATAGAGCTTTGTTTTTTTGTCTATAAAAGCTTTCAGATGACCATTGAAACAACTCCAACTCATTTCGATAGCTGTCATTATGAATGGTGCCATCTGACAAATGATTGTGGTCTTCCACTACACCCAAGCTCAGGTTAAAACCTATCCATTGGAGGATCAAAGAGAATGCTATCTTCGTGAGCCTCCCCTCTCCTTCTGAAATAACGTATTCCAATAAAGATGAGATATGACAAGATGAAGATGGCAAGGAAAATGAATACAATTGTGATAACATCGCTAGGAAATCCCCAAAAGTGGAAAATAGATCGTTGAGAACGGCTTCCACATTCCAAACGAGGTATCTTTAGCACATTGTATGATCCTCTGCTATTCCAGAATGAGTTCTGATTCAGATATCCCCAGATTTGAGAGAATGTAGCTCTTGGAGATGTTTCTAGGAAAAGAGCAATCGAGCTTGCAACTATTGCTGCCGATAGGCTAGTCCCTGCAGCACTGTTTTCTCGAAGAACCTCCTCTCCCAGTGCAAATATCCTCACACAATCTCCATGATTTGAGAATTTGGATACTCCAGCATACTTGTTTACAGACCCGACGTTGATGACTGACTTCGAGCTTCCAGGAGAGTAATTGCAGGACTGGTCGTGGAGATTTCCAGCGGGTGTGACAACTACCATTCCTCGACTAGATATATGGTCGACAACAGCGTTTAAAGCCTCGGAATAAGGCCCGGAAACCCCAAAAACAAGAATCCCTGGCCCTCCTTTGCTTTCAAGGCTTTCTAATCCGTAAATCATGTCAGAAAGCATAACCTTTCCATCGCACCCGACTACATCAAGGACATTCAGATGACTGTCCTTGGCAAATCCAGTATCTCTTCCCACCAGAAGAGAGGCCATCGTGTCTCCGTGCGTGTTGCATGATTCGAGACGTCCACTTAGATTGCAGACGTTGTTTACAGGTTTGACTGTTGTATCCAGGAGAAATATGCTTACTCCCTTTCCAGTATGATAATATTCGTAGAACCCAAAAAAACTTGCCATCATTCTTTTGATCTGAAGTACTCGGAAGATCCAGTTGTCATAAAAGTAGTTGTTGAAGATGATATTTTCATAATACTTCATCAGATACATGTAGTTTGGAATGCTATTCTGAAATGCAGACACACCGTATATCTTGTCTTCCTCTATATGCATGCCAATCCCACTACCTTTTTTCATCACATTCTCATTGTTTGAGCAAAAGGACACACCTGTAACATTCTTAGTATATTGTCTCTTGATCTTCCCGTTCTGTCCCTCTACAAAGGCAGAGATGTTTGACAGGTCTCCATCATGTACGTCCTTCGTCAAGATATAACACCTCTCCCTTCCAAAAGTGTAATTGTCGTTGCCTTTACATTGAGTATCGTCCAGGTTACTACCTGTCTTTATCTGTCCCTCATATCGGGCTACAGAGGGAATCTGAGCATCTTTCCTGGGCTCTTCAACTTCTACCACAACCTCCTTGACCACAGTTCGAACTTCAGTCTGTACCTCTATAGAGGGTATGTCTGTAGGATTTCCCGCTTCGTATGAGTCTTTGTTTCCTTGAAAAAGAATTCCAGGTGGGTTTTCCTCCTGACCTTCTTGGATAGACTTCTCCAGTCCTATAATCTCACCTGTACTCACATCTTCACTACCCCACACCCTTTGTGATACTATTAGAACCATAATTCCCATTAGAAACATCTACTTCTCCTTCACATCGGGCAGAAAGTAAATCCTTGTTCCCAAAGATATGATACCCATGTTTCACTTTCCATCTGCAGTAGAACTCAACAAATGAAATCAGCCGACAATCGTCTTTGTTACATAAACAACCCATAAAATAGACTTTAATGGTTATTCATCTTTTTTTTCCATTCAACAGGACATATCTCCCCATTTTCGTCGTTGAAGGTGATAGCATCAATTAAACGGAGGATCTCGCTAACCGACCTTCCAACTGCATGGTAATTGATGCTTAGGTGTTTAACATCCAGATCCTTGGAGAGTATTACCGTGCCTCGCATGGGGTGTCCGTTCTCCTCATCAAACATCTCAAACTGATTGCAGAGTTCCCTCTTCATATCCCATATCATTGGCCATGAAACACCTAGGATCCCGCCATTTTCCCTTGATATTGAGGCCCATGCACGATGTGAGTAGACCGAGTCGCAGGAAACAAACAGAACTAAGGCATTCCTTTTGAGAAACTCCTCTTTGAGATCGCAAAATCTGTTGACCTCTGTAGGACATACAAAGGTGAAATCTAAAGGGTAAAAAACAATCACAACATATTTCCCTCTGTAGTCTTCAAGAGAAATCTCCTTGATTTCTCCATCAACCAGTGCCTTGTATTTGTTACTAGTAAGAACTTTAGGAAATTTCATTAGGGTTGAGTTAATCTTTCTACAAATATAGGGGAAGACATTCCATATCTGGATCATTAAGAGACCTAATCCATTAGGCCTTTGGATACCATTCATTGTTTAATAGCTCTTCCAGCTCATACAATTCGTTGCAGAAGAAGCCTTTCTCTCTTGCAAGATTAAGAAGCTTCCTAGCCTTTACAAAGTTTTCTTTTTCCATGATGTTTCTTCTTGCCATGATGAACACCGACTCCTTGTACTCCAGCAGCTTGTATCTTTCCATGTTCAACTCAATCTCCTCGAGAGTCTTTTTAATAGCATAGTTGGATATCAGATATCCCGATGCCCTTTTGTACAACCCAAGATTCACATCATGCTTCACTCTATACTTTAGAAATGAACCTATGTCTAGCGTCTTAAGGGCTTTGGTGTATTCCAAGAGAATCATACCTTTCTCATGGTCCTCGGACTTCCTAATGACTTTGTTATCTATCGAGTTTATTGCCTCGAACATTTCAAGAAAGAGTGGGGTGCGAGGGCCTTTGGTGTGTGAGTTTAGTCTTTGTAACGTCAATTTGATATATACACCCACGACTTAATTCTCAAGGAGACTGCTTAATGGAAAAATTTGTGCCCTTGCCAAATGAGCTGCAGGAAGTTCAACGCACCGAGACATGGATCTTTGCAGTTCTGCCCAAGGAAAAGATCGAAGACAATCAGGCCGTCTGTAGGGGCGTTTCCGGCTGACGATATCTCCCAGCCTGTGCATCTGACTGGATTTATGGGGTACAAGGCAGGGATGACACATGTGATAAGGACTAAGACCCAGGTTGCAAAGAACAAGCAACTTTCTAGGGAGGTGATGGATGCAGTGACTGTGGTTGAAGCACCGCCGATGGTTGTGTATGGGATTGTGGGATATGAGAGGACTGTGACTGGACTGCACAGACTCCCGATTGTCACGGCATCCTATGTGAACGATGGAGTTCTCCGCAGGATGTTTGGTAACAAGTACATGGAGAAGGAGGCGGCGGCCCAGTTCTGCCGAGGAGAAGTGACGGAGTCCCGGGTTGAAGAGATCAAGAAGAGGGCAGAGTGTGTGCGAGTGCTTGTTCAGACACAGCCGGAGATGGTGAAGACACTTGGGCTGAAGAAAGCACACATCGCGGAGATACAGTTGAATGGAGGAAGCATCTGCGAGAAGGTTGAGTGGGCTCTGGAGAGGCTTGAGAAGGAGATCCAGATTGCAGAGGTGTTTGGAGAGAATGAGAACATCGATGTGATTGGGGTGACGAAGGGAAAGGGATTCCAAGGAACAGTGAAGAGGTTTGGAGTACGAAAGCAGCCGCGCAAGTCTCGAAAGGGGATCCGAAAGGTTGCATGCATTGGAGCATGGCATCCGAGCCGTGTGATGTACTCTGTTGCACGAGCAGGGCAGATGGGGTTCCATAGAAGAACAGAGAAGAACAAGAGGGTGTACATGATTGGAAATGGAAGCACCAAGATCAAGACTGAGTTTGACCTAACCGAGAAGGCGATTTCGCCGATGGGAGGATTCCCTCACTATGGAGAAGTGAAGAACGACTTCATCATGGTGAAGGGGGCGGTTGTCGGGCCACGGAAGAGGGTTGTGACGCTTCGAAAGAGTCTTACACAGCAGAGGCCGAGCGAGGAGCTTGTGATCAAGTTTGTCGACACATCGTCGAAGATAGGACATGGGCGGTTCCAGACAAGTGCAGAGAAGAAGGCATTCTACGGAGCAAAGAAGGCAGAAACAGTCGCCGAAGTCCATTAAACTCTTCAATATTATATATGTCCTTACTTTAGATGACTCTGATTTGTATTTCCATTCTAATTGGCTTGGGAAATATTCGCCTTTTCTTTTGATTATTTATTCATATTTTTAACCGCTGAATATGATAAGCTCAATCGGCTTTCTTCCTGGTGGAGTTTCAATAGAGAGACTCAAGGAGTTTGTGTATGACGAGGACATCCATCGAGCATTGGACTATCTTGGAATTCCGGTTGTCGACAAGTCGAAAATGGCTTGCGACGATGACATCGACGAGTCGGAGGAGATAGTAGAAAACGACATTATAGTCTTCTGCACTCCAAACGAGGATGATGTGAGTTTCTTGCAGTTTTATGTACAGAACAGAGAATGCACAAACATTTTCCTCCACCACGACACATATGTGTTCAGCACTATTTGCGATTCTACCCAAGCCGTCATTGGAGGAGAGACGTATGTTGCACTGGCCACATTTGAGAAGGACATTATGGTGTTTGATCCATTTGTGAGAAACCCGGTGCTTCCTCAAGTTCTTCTTAAAGGACATGAGGAAGCAGTTCTGTCAATAGAGTGTTCCAATGGAGTGCTCTTTAGTGGAGGTCTTGATTCAACGATTATTGAATGGGATACTGAAAAGGCTCTTCCCAAAAATAGAATACAGGCCATGGGACCTGTGAATAAGCTTGGAACCTTGAATTCATCGGTGATTTATTCTGTGGAAAACTCTCTGTATTGGACAGATAGAGAGATTAGGTTTGATGGAGAAGTTGAAAGAATAAGGATTATGGATAATAAAATGCTTGTATCGGACTCCACAGGGATCTTGAGACATTATGACCTAAGAAATGTATCTGATCCGGTTATGGAGAAGAGAATCCACGAAGACTCTATTACAGGAATCGATGTGCTTGGAAGTAATGTGTATACAGGATCTCTGGACGGAAGCATAAAGATTGTAAGCCTTGAAACGTTTGATGTTATGAACAGTGAAGACGTCGAAGAGAAGATATTTTCTCTAAAGGTGCATGAAGACGGGTTTTATGTGTATGGAGGAGAGAAGAACGAGCCCGAGCTTAGATACATCGACTGCTCTAAAGACGAGTGATTTCCAATAAATCATCTTAACAGATGTTTAGTAGAGATTTTGAAAGTTATTAGCTTGGATCCCTGGAAATGGCATGCACAAGATGTGGGGTGTCCCAAGCCATAGTCATCCGGCCTAAGGATAAGAGTAAAGTCTGCAAGGCATGTTTTTTCAATGGTTTTGAGGAGGATGTCCATGAAACAATAACATCCTCAAAGATGTTCAAAGAAGGAGACAAGATTGGAATCGGGGTGAGTGGGGGAAAAGACAGTACGGTGCTGGCCTATGTATTGGACCTTCTCAACAAAAGGCATAAGTATGGGATAGAGCTTATACTACTCAGTGTAGATGAAGGAATAGCAGGATACAGAGACCACTCCATCGAAACGGTATGCAAGAACAGCAAAAGCTTTGGATTGAAGCTTAGGATAGTGTCATTTGAAGAGATATTTGGAGTGACGATGGATGGGATTGCTCATAAAACAGGGAAGAGAGGAAATTGCACATACTGTGGGGTGTTCCGTAGGCAGGCTCTAGAAGAGGCGGCAAGGGAAATGGGAGTAGATATGATAGCAACAGGACACAATGCAGATGACATGGCCGAAACAGTTCTGCTTAATGTAATTCGAGGAGACATTTCCAGGCTTGGAAGATGCACTCGGGAAAAGACAAAAGAGCAGAAAAATGGAGACGGAAAAGTGATATCGCTTTCGAGACTCAAGCCGTTTAAGCACATTTATCAGAAGGAGATAGTTCTTTATGCATTTTACAAAAAGCTGGAATATTTTTCAACGGAATGCACATATTCTTTTGGAGCATCTCGGGGAGACCTCAGAATGCTGGTGAAGCAGCTGGAAAGGGAAGATCCGAGAGTGATACTGGAAGTGATAAGAAGTGGGGATCTGCTTCAGCAGAAGGAGTGCATGGACAGAACACCTGGAGAGTGTGTGATGTGCGGGCATTCGACATCCTCCGGGGATACCATATGCAACGGATGTACTCTGATCAAGAGATTGGGTAATACAAAACCTAACTATTGAGGTTTACTTGAACAGGCTGCTTTTCTATCGAGATCCTTTTCAAGAAGCCAGACTGATATGTGGGAGACCCAATACACAAATGTGACAATACAACTATATACACAAAATATTCTGACGTCTGGAAGAAACGTCATGATAGACACAAAGACATATACCAAGGCTGTTGCCCACGTGCTCCTATGAATTCCAAGGCGTTCAATGTGATTTAATAGGATTATGTATCCCATGAATGTTGAACACAGAAGATTGAAGACCGAGGATGGCTCATTGAACCTCGACGAAAGAAGGATGAATCCTAGGAAATAGGATGTCAAGCCAAGTATTTGGTTGCTTGATGTTCTCTTTGGTATGTTTATACTTTCTTCAAGAGAAAGAGGAGTCTCTTCATCTTTCACTTCGATAGGAGATCCTGTATTATATATGGATGCGGACACAGAGTCTATAATGAAGAATAACTGTGTTATTGTGAAATATACATATAGCGTAGTGGGATGTATTTCAAGGGTTAGAGTTCTTATTAAAGGAGATAACAAGTATGCAAATGTTAGAAGCATGAAGTTTGGCTTTAGATTGATTCCTGTGTCTTCTCTATTCTCTAAAAAGTTTTCTATAAATGTGGAAATGAAAGAGAACCATGACGACTTTGGCATCCCAGGCTTATCCTCCAGCATCATAACCTTGAAAAGAGAGAGGGATAGCATTACTATGGATATTCTAATGACCATTCTATTTATGTCTTCGTAGATCTCATTCACACCTCTCCTCTTGCACACCTGATGAACTTCCATGTAGTTTATTGGGTATTCCTGCTGTAAATACAGACATCTCTTCCAAAGCATTCAAATACCCTTCAGAACCACCAAGAATTTAACTTTGTTCTTTTATTTTATGTGCATAGATAGATCCTTTATGGATTAAGTTTTATGCATCTCGACAGATGCTGCGTAAACTTGGCTGCCATCACCTGTTTCCGGCAAGATGGGCATTTTAGCCTTGGAACTGAGGTACAAGGCACCGTTGCATAGTTTCCAGGCTTTCTTATATATTTCTGTGTGCATCTTTCCTCCACCACCTTTAGGAGGTATTTCTCAAGAACATAGCGAAATACAGACTCCATGATTTCCCCGTTCTTCATAAACAAAAAACAATCTCCCCCTCATGAAGGTTCTACTATTTGCCATTGGAGTTCTGTGCAGGAGAATAAAGCTAGAGCCCAAGGAGCAGTTTGTATTCAGAGATAAGGTCACGGCAAACCAGATGTACAAGTTTATGTATCAGGCTCCACGATCTGGAAAAATCGAGATGACGGTGTTTGATACAAAAGGAAGACAGATGATCAAGACTCGAGACCCGTACTCGGTGCTGTACTCCAAAATGAATGAGGATGGAGAGATTGTGATATCTGTTAAGAACAACAGTTCAAAAGGCATTAACTTTGGCTACAGATGCCCAGACACCAGCAAGAAAGCTCAAGGAGACCTTGGGCCAATAAGCGTTGATTTGGTTTCGGAGCTCCAAGAAGTCCTAGAGACAATCATTCAGGCCCAGAGAGTTCACATCAAGAAACATGAAGAACATGCAAGGATGGTTGCAGGATCAAGGAAGTGGGTTACAAGGCTCTTGATCTTTGAAACCCTCTTCTTCACAGGTGTACTGTACTTCTTGCACAAGGATATGCTGAAGATGTTTGAAACCAAAAGAGAAGTTTAATTAAAGGACTCAACTCTTCTAAAAAGCCTTATGATTTCATTTGCTGTCTCTTCTAATGTCATGGCGTCGTTCTCAATGACCACAGAGCCACTAGAAGCAACAAGGGGGCCGTGTTCTCTTGTCCTATCATCATTGTCTCTTTTCGATATGGCATCGAGCAGCTTTTCATAGGATTCCGATCCATTTTCCTTATATCTTCTCCTTGCCCTCGTCTCCGGGCTTGCCGTAAGAAATACCTTCAGATCTGCGTCAGGCATTATCTCGGTAGCTATGTCTCTTCCATCAACAATTATTCCCTTCTTTTCAAGATCTATTGTGGATCTTTGGATTTCCGACACCTTTTCTCGGACATACTTTTCCTTTGCAACGGAACCAACATTATTATCAATCTTTTCCCCACGGAGATGCCCAGATACATCTTTTCCATCAATAAATACTCTATTGTCTCTTACCTCTATGTTCAATCCAAGAACAAACTTTTTCTGATTCTCGTCCTTGGGGCACACCTTCTCAAACTGCCTTGCCAGGGCATATGTCACGGCTCTGTACAGATTCCCAGATATCAGATGAGAAAAACCCAGTTTCTTTGCAACAAGATCAGATGTGCTGCTTTTTCCACTTGCTGCAGGCCCGTCAACGGCAATCTTATACACTTTCATTGGGGATACAAAAAGCCTCCTCTTTAAATTCCAAGTCTCACAGTAAGGAAAACCCAACAACAATTCCACATTCATACGCTGCAAAAAGATGCGTCTCTCCTATCCATAAATCTATAACCCTTTCCGAGCTGTCATTAAAAAGTCTTCCTTTCGGATCGAATGCCTTCAGTTCTTCCTCGGAGTGTACTAGCATCACCTCATTTCCCTTCCGCACCAGCTGGAAAAGAGTCTTCGTCTTGGTTTTTCTCTTGTTAATCTTTCCATGTTTGATGGTTCCATCAAATCCTCCAATCAAAATCTTCTTTTCATTTGGTCTGCAGCAGGACAGAGAGTAGTTGAACATCACGGTGGCTCTGCGGTGGCTTCCCTCATCATGTAAGATTTTTGTAACATTGTTCAGTGTGTCCACAATAATAACGGTATCTGTTTGGCTTAAGTATTTGATAAAGGTATATCCCGAGGGGAAGGATATCCTTTCTTCTTCCTGGAACTCGTTACCAAATCTAAATATCTTGCCATTAAGACCCAAAGCATAAAAGCAAAGAGATCCTTTGTTTGGACTTCCTGTGGAATGCTCTCCATCCTTTCCTTTCCTTGTCTTTTTTTTTATGGCTATGGATGTTATCATTCCCTTTATCTCATTAAATACCGACACAACAGAGTTTTGACGTATCCACACGAGAATGCCTCCATCTGTTGCAAAAATAATATCCTCGTCCCAGTCGATCTCAAAGTTCACCACCCCACTTGTTTCAAGCTGCACCATGTTCCTGATTTCCCCTTCGAAATCAAACCTTCGAATAAACCCGTCACTAAATAGAGCAACACACCGGATGACATCTTCCTCCTGTCTTGCTTCTATCTTCCGGCAGTATCCAAAACTAAAACTCAGGATCCGCCTCAGATTCAGTTCTTGGTCAAACAAGTAGACTTCCGAAGCCTCCGACGAGAATTTGAACGTTGATTCTCTCTCAAAGCCTTTCTTAACGCCCACAAAAATATATTTACTGTGTTTGGAGGGAAGTGATACAGTTGTTATGCACTTCCCAGTGTTGTACAGGAACAAATCATCGGTTTTTATTCTTCCGAGGACTCTGATAATCTTTTTCTTAAGCATAATACTTTCTATAGGCCCCTCCATCACTTCTACGATGTTTGATTTTCTGTACGTCTCAAAGACCGCCTTGTCGACGTCTCCACTTCTATCCAGATGGACTATGTCCAGGGACTTTTTCTTGTAGCCTCTTGTATTGGAAGATGGGATTTTTGGCTGTTTGGATCCATAGCCATCCCGGTACTCGTTAGCCATCAAGGGATTTTAGAGTTGTATTTTGGGGACTCCAAACCCATAAAAAATGGTTTTTGAATCCGATCTTCCAGAAGCAACTCTGGAGCGCTACTCCAGGCAGATCATTGTCCCGGGAATACATGTGAAAGGACAGAAGAGCCTTGGAAGCTCGGGAGTATTAGTGGTAGGATGCGGAGGATTGGGGTCTCCGGCCATCCTGTATTTGTTATCGTGTGGAATAGGGAGAATAGGACTGGTGGATTTTGATAAGGTTGAGATCCACAATTTACAGAGACAGGTTATATACACCGAGGCAGATGTATCTCAGTACAAGGTCACGGCTGCGTTATCCTTTGTCAAAAGAGCGAATTCTTTGATTAAGGCTGTGGGGTACAACGAGTTTCTGGGAAGGGAGAATGTCGAAAGAATTGTTGCCCCGTATGATATTGTTCTGGATTGCACAGACAGCATATGCACAAGATATCTTTTGAGTGACTGTTGCCAGGCTCTTTCCAAAAGTCTTATCTGTGGATCGGTTCTCAGATGGGAGGGGCAGTTGTACAAGCTTACTCCAGATGGTCCCTGCTATAGATGCCTGTTTCCAGACATGAGGGAAAGAACCCTTACATGTGAGGATGCAGGTGTTGTGGGGCCGATTTGTGGAATTATTGGATCTCTTCAGGCTTTGGAAGCAATCAAAACGATTATGGGAAATACCGAGCCTAAGATGACAATCTATAACGGTATAACATCAAACTTTGTAGACTCCAAGCTTAGGAGTTCAAGGAATGACTGCATTGTTTGTTCAAGAAAATGTATCCCAGAAGACCTCTACTTTCCCACAGCTAAGTGTACGGCCGTCTCTGATGACAAGGCAACGAATCAGAATGTGGAGACAATTAACTGGGAAGACATTTTGAATAATCTCGACTCCTATCTTCTTATAGACGTTAGGCCACCAATACAACACGAGATGTTCAGGATAAAAGGTTCTGTGAGCATTCCGCTTGCGGATCTACCAGATAAGATTGGAGATATCGAGGCGTCTGGAAAAAAGATAGGAGTTGTATGCAAAAGAGGAATATCGTCTCGAAAGGGAGCTTGGATACTGAATATGAATGGGATTGAGGCCTTTTCTGTTAATGGAGGAGTCGACAGGCTCAAAAGTCTCCTGAGAAAAACAGGAGCTGGTCCTTGAATAATTTTTTCCAAAAGTCAAGTCCATACAGATGTCGGGGAAGTCTTTAAAGGAAGTTCTGAACTTGGAGATCTTTAGAGATAAGAAGATATGTGTAGATGAGGTTCTCCCTCAGAATGTGGATTTTCTTATTGTTGATCTTTCGGATGCCTTGGGACTCTCTATATCTGCATTCAGCGAAGAGACAGATCACTACAGAAAGATTGCAAAAAGCCGCAATAAACAAGTTTCTGTAAATTCGGCCTATGATGGAGATTGCATGGAGCCAGACATCATGGATGATGTATGGAGTGCAATGAACATATGGGGAATAGATGGATGTGGGAAAATTCAAGTATATAGGTCAGGGACCTGCAAGAAGTCGGACTGGTACAAATACGATATCGTCATTAGGGTTCAGCCACTGGATAGTGGAATATCCACCGACATTGATGGAAAGATTCTAATTTTTGGAAGGGGGAGAAAGTATCTTGAGCTTAGATACAAGATATTAAGAGACAGAGTTGACTATTACACTCAACAGTTTGAATAGGCAATAAAAATCCCAAGATTTCTATTTGTTTATAGGAATATAATTTTCATCAAGCAAAAGCTTCTGGAGGAAAGGGGAAAGCAGCAGCCCCTGTAGTGTAGTGGTTATCACGCATCCTTTACACGGATGAGGTCCTTGGTTCGATCCCGAGCGGGGGCATTTTTCTACTGTAGATGAAGAAAGAACTTCTTTTTAAGAGGATTTCCTTGTCAGAAAATGATATAATTTCTCTTTTTTCCTTCTAGCATATTTATCACCACAGATAGTTCATAATATGCATACCAAATAAACAATATTATTAGCACAACAGATATGGCTATGTTGCACGAACTAGCAAACTCGTCGGAGATCTCCAGTTCCCTTCGAAAAAAGGGATAAATCCTTTTGGTAAGTTCTAAAAGGTAGAACATGATCATGATATAAAAAAAAGGAGTAAGGACTAATGCTATAGCAAAATTAACGGGCTTTGGGAAGTTTAGAAGATTTTCTACAATGTCCTGATTTTCGTGGGAGACAACTACGTTAACCACCCAGCATCCCATAACCTCTGCAAGTATCTCAATAAATGTAATACTTTCTATATTCTCCAGAAGACTCCAAGCCGAAGAAAAGAAATATTGTGCTTTTACAAAACGAATAACATGCTCTGGCCCCAGATTATCTTTCATCTTTTTTTCGTTTTTACCTTTCAAGAGAATCACTAGAATAGAGACCCGAACAATAAGCATCAAAACTTTCCGGAGGTCAATGGTCTTCATCTTAAACACACTAATAACACTTTTGAAGAAGAATCCAAGAGTGATGTTTGCGAATATAAGAAGTGTATAAATAATACAGAAAGCCTTTCTAATCTCTAGTACCATTTTGACTTCTTCTATTTTTTTGGCCTGCTTCTCTATGTTACTCCAAACTAACCCGAACTCTAGAAACCTCTTGAAAGGCCATAGAATATATCGGCTTGGAGGAAAAATCCTATAGATTGCATTAAAGATAAAGTCCCACCGAATTAATCCTAATATAACGATCACTATGCAAGTCCACGTAAGCCAGAAAAAAGTCCAGAATACTCCCCTTTCTCTTTTTTTTGAATATCTGTCTTTCCTTTTAGTACCATCTACATCCTGAGACTTTTTTAAAGTGTCCATTACAAATATCAAGGCACTGTCTTTTTTTGAGTATTTGCATCTGGCTCCCTGGAAAGTAATTGCATAAAACTGATGAATATTGAAACAAAACCGATTAGTTAATTACAGATTTAAAGGAGAAATAGAAAATGACATCCAAAGAGGAATACATTTACTAAGATGTTATCTATCTTATAATCTTCCTTATCTAAAACGAAAGGACAAAAACCTAGAAGATAAAAAAGGTTTCTGGCCTAATTCTTTTGCCATATCTATACCCTTCTCGAACACGAAAAAGCTCAACAAAAAAAGGATCAATCCACAAGCTACAGTAAGAATCTTCCTTGGGAGTTTAAAGTTCTTCAAGAGCTTTTTCTCAAACTTCATAAAGATTCCTATGATTATCATAACAAAGAATGATATGAAGAAGACTGGAAATACCACTTCCAGGGCCTTAAGTATATCTTTCTTTGCACTTACATCGGGAATCCCACGGCTAATAAAGTCAATAGCAATTTTCAAAAGTGATTGAAATTTTTGAAACTGTTTTTCTTCTATAATGGTAACAGTCTTTGTCAATATCCCTCCGCTTAGAATAGCTGTAATTGAACCCGATTCAAAGTCCTCGGAAAGTATTTGAGACAAGAACAGGACGTAAGATATAAGGATTGCTGATCCTGTCTTTTCTGAAGTCATTTGAAATTTCTTAGATCTCCATTCTTGGATTACAAACATCATTAAAACTAGATCTACTAATGCCTTTGCACATTGTAGAATTTCTAATTTTCTAAAATCTTCGGAGGAGGAGTCCCAAACCTTATACATCAGAATTGTATAGGCCATTTTAATGCACGGAAGTGCCATAGATACATTAGATATTATTCGAAACACCATCTTTTTAGTTGAGGTCTGGAGAGGGAAGACTTCAAGGAATTGGATTAATATATACGCCATAATAGTTATGTAGAAAAGGAATACTATTTTCTGTATCTTTTCCTTGTTACTGGGCCTAATCAGAAATCTATCCTCCTCCTCGCCATCTTTTACATCGATGATGGAGTTCATATGCCTCCTAAAGCTAAATTATTTATATAAAATCCACCAATAAAGTCACCAATCATGCTAGGCCAGTCCAAAATCAGAGAATAAGCTAAGATTCTTTGTTTGTTGAAATTGTTTGGTGAGCAGAGCCCTTTAATGAACGGGCAGAAGCAAGAGAACATCATTGAGGAAAAGGATGTGGGATTTATCCTAAGCTATGGAAGAAACTATTACGCCGAAGGAATAATGGAAAAGGAAGCAGAGATAAGGAGGTTATTTGAACAGGTGAGCCTGAAGCTTGGGACTAAAGAGGTGGAGACGGGTCTTGCACCTCCGATGTGCTGGGATCTTCTTGGAGATAGAAATAGAATTCAGAGCGAGCCCAATCTCCAGGTTGCCAGGGTTTGCAAGGTGCTTGAGGGATACCAGGAGCCAAGATACATGATAGGAATTAAGATGATAGCCAAGTTTATTGTTGGAAAAGGAAAGCGTGTGGATGCTAGCCTTATACAAGAGGGGATGAGAGTTGGGGTTGATAGAAACAAATACCAAATTATCCTACCTTTGCCTCGGAAAATAGATGCATCTGTGACTCTGATGCAAGTTGAGGAAAGACCCGACGTCACCTATAATGACATTGGGGGATGTAAGGAGGAGATTGAGAAGATAAGAGAGGTTGTTGAGGCACCTCTTCTGAACCCCGAGAGGTTTATTGCGCTAGGGATCGACCCTCCCAAGGGGGTTCTTTTATATGGCCCCCCTGGAACTGGAAAGACTCTTTTGGCAAGAGCTGTAGCCAACAGAACAAATGCATGTTTCATAAGAGTCATAGGATCGGAGCTTGTACAGAAGTATGTTGGAGAGGGGGCAAGAATGGTTAGAGAGATATTTGCTATGGCGAAGGGAAAGAAGGCTTGTATTATTTTCTTTGACGAGGTTGATGCATTTGGAGGAACGAGGTTTGATGACGACGATGACAATGAGGTTCAAAGAACAATGCTTGAACTAATCAACCAGTTGGACGGGTTTGACCCACGAGGAAACATAAAGGTTCTGATGGCAACAAACAGGCCAGACACCCTCGATCCAGCACTTCTCAGGCCTGGAAGACTGGACAGGAAAGTCGAGTTTGGGCTGCCAGACCTTGAGGGAAGAACATCTATTCTGAAGATCCATGCAAAGACGATGAGCGTCGACAAGGACATCCGCTTTGATTTGATTGCAAGACTCTGTAACAACGCAACAGGTGCAGAGCTGAGGAGTGTCTGTACAGAGGCAGGGATGTTTGCCATAAGAGAAAGAAGGAAGATTGCAACTGAAGCAGACTTTCTGAAGGCTGTTGATAAAGTCATCAAGGGATACGCAAAGTTCTCCTCTACCCCAAGATATCTGACCTATAACTAAAGCAATAAACATGTTATGTCCTGTGTACCTTTCTTGAACCACATAAATCTTTGAATGGATAGTAGTTTTGGATTTGGAAGCCCTGGAATGGATGGAAATGTTTTGGGGGTTCTAGGAATACCATTAGAGCTTGTTTTTGAGGAAGGGTTAGATGCTGAGAAGCAAGCAAGTGTGATTCGTAGAGTAGAAGAAAAGACATGCTTCCGCCTCAAAAGGGAAATGGACATAGACATCTTGATATCTGAAGTGGCAAATGACGAGACTTCAACCATGGAGACCTTAAAGAGTTATCTAGGAAAGGGTCTTTTTGGAGGGAAGTTTGGTTTTCTGGATGCAGTTAGTGTGATTGTATGCTCTGAAAAGATTAGTGTTGACGAGATGTCCAAGCATTATGTGCCAATTGATGAGATCATGGGGGAAGAGGTTGAGGAGGTGTTTAGAAGAATTGCAGACCTTGAGGGAAGGAAACGGATCGAAAGACAGGCCAACCGATGGAGCTTGAAGTCTTTGAAGGACATTTTCAAGAGCAATCCCGACGAAGACAAAAGGTTTGCTGATGGGCTCTTTGTTTTGGAAAGATACAAGGAGGCCTATAGAATATACTCAAGATACAATGGAGTTGACGAATTTTCATGTTATTGTATCGAAATGTCTATCTACTGCCTGATTTTGTCAAAGAAATCGGTTCCATCAAGTATAGTAAATAGCCTTGGGATGTTCGGGAGTGAGAAGGTATGTCTAGTTAGGATAACGAGTATAGCCATAGGCTTTTCGGACATTCTTGCCTTAGAGATGTTGGCTCTACTTCAGGAAAAATCGCTTTTTAAGGCTCTTGCCCAGGAAAGCTTGGCTCAGGTCTTAGATGGGAAGAAGTACCATAGAAAGAAGATAGAAATGTGGTTTAACTCGAGTTTAGAATTCCGAGAGATGAAATATATCGGCCGATCGATAAGATGCTGCGAATGTTATCTTGACCTTAGCAACTTCAACTTTATTAATGGAATCTTACCTGAACTTGAGAGAAATATATTGCTCTCTCCCAATAGATATATTAAGGAAACTCTTGAGTTAATGAAGGGAAACTGCAGTCCTGGCTTGGAGGATGGAGTAATAGAGAAAAGTAAGGAAGAAATAGTCATATGGAGAGAATATCAAGGATCGATGTGCAATTTTCAAGGAGTTGCGAATGTTGTGGAATCGATTTTTGTGCAATTCAAGGGAAGAGGCCTTGTAAGTATCTTGCAGAAGGGAGAAGAGACTCCAAAAACCTACTGGACAAATCAAAAGGTTACCTTTGATGGGCCAGGAGAGTTTATTATCGAGGATATTACTTTTAATGCCTGGGAAGTTGAGTACAAAGTGAAGCTTGGAATTCCAATTGATATTAGAGAGGATACACCCTTTATGCATGTGGAAATGAAAGACGTCCATGAAGTTCTGTGCGGGGAATTATACTTTCTTTCTTGCAAGATAGTTAGAAACCATAATTCAAGAGTCAAGATTCTCTTTGATAACAGAGAGTTCACAACTAGTAGCAATATGTTTGGCTTTGAGATGGTATTTCAGGCCGTAGGCGTCTATAGTTGTAGAATAATCTTGGAAGCTGAAGGAGTCATTACATACAAAGATGTAATGTTTACAGTTATTCCGTCTTTTTCGATAGATACTTTTAACTACAAGTATTGTCTTCCTCTGGTATTTCTGAAGATCGAGAGCCATATTGAAGAGAATTCAAGAGTAAGATCCTGTTTGGCACTTAGCAAGGATCTTGAGGTTTCTGGTCTGGACACTACTACTGGGTCATTTTATTCCTACAAGGAATATGCCATTGAGTATTTCAGAAAAAACATTGTTGGTGTAGGAAGTGGAGATCTTGGACAGACTCTTGGAGTTGAGAAGGAGAAGCCGATACTACCAGAAAATCTCCAGAAGCTGCTACATGGTATGGACAAATCTCCACCAGTGACATCTGATCTACTTTTCAGCGACCTGATTCCTGTAATGGAAAAGAAGATGATTATACCAGGAGAAGGAACCTACTCCTTTTGCACCTTCCTCCAGGGGAAAAAACCTCTAAGAGAACTCCTGAGCCCAAGGGCTAAAGAACCTGACAAAGTATCAAAGAGAGAAACCAACGAAGTAATCCTATACAGTTTGAAGAATGAAAGCTTAGGGACGATTTTTGATGGATCCTTAGAAGAACAACCAGGAAAAATATCTATGAGAATAGAGATTGAAATACCACCTAAAAGAGTGTGTGTGTTTGTGGTTAAAGGGATATTCGAGGCCCTGTTCTCTCCAGAGGGTTTATCTGATGAGGGAATAATCAAACCTATCTGTCCATTTGTCTACATAACACATTTCTCACCAGCACGGTTGAAGGAACCTACAATAATATACTTATGTGTCAGCAATTACTATGAGCAACATGTTCTGGATGTGGAGATTTCGTCTCCTACCATAGCCATATGTAGCTCAGATTCCAAATTCAGAGTTGAAAAACTTTCGTTCTCCCTTTTCGAGGTCCGATCTGCATTCAAAAAGAGAAAGAAATATGAAGAAAGCGACATCAAAATTAGTATAAAGGTTGAAAACGAGGAGATTGATCATGAATGTTTGGTAGAGCTTCCACTTGTTTCATGATATTTAGGAATAGCTTCTTAATAAAAACAGAAGAGAACCCTGGAAATGGAGGAGAAACATAAATTCTGGAATACACAGCCCGTTGGCAAAAATGGATTGGGAATTATATCTAACGAAAGATCTGTATCTCTGGAGAAGCCAAAGCTTCCTGGGGGATTTCGGCTTGAAGAACTAGAAAGTATTGAGGAATTAGCCAGGTTTCTTGAGGAAAATTATGTAGAAGATGTCCATTCAGGACATATGCTTAAATACTCTAAAGATTTCTTGGAATGGGTAATTGGGAGTGATGAGGCAAGAAAGAAATATTCTGTTGTACTCCGATTGTGCGGACGGATGGTAGGATTTATATTTGCTCAGGAACATTGGATAGTTATCCGGGAACAGAAGAACCGTGTGGTTGGAGTGAACTTTTTATGTGTTTCGCAGGAAATGCGCGGGAGGGGATTAGCACCCATACTTATAAAGGAAGTTACAAGACAAGCAAATGTGGATGGGATCTTCCAAGGAGTGTTTACAAACGGAATAGAACTATTTTTCAATATTTCTCACGGGAGATATTACCACCGGCCTCTGAATGGAGAGAATCTGTTCATGAGTGGGTTTAGCGACCGGATTATAAAGTCCCGAAAGACTCATGTGAGAGAAGGAACAAGGGTAGCAGAGGAAAAAGACATGGTGGACATAGAAAAGCTGTATCTGCAAGAGAGTGAAAAACACATGTTCTATGAAGAAATAAGATCTTCGAATATATCATCTACATTTAAAACTGTGAAGAATGTGATACATACATATGTCCATGAAAGCGGTGGAAAGATTGACGGGTTTGGATCGTTCTTTATAATTGACACTATTGAAAAAAAGTCCAAAAGAAAAGTCCAAGGAGGATATCTGTACTACAGAGGAGGAAGGGATATCAAAGAAATGGTTGAGGATCTTATATATTTCGCAGAAAAAGAGGGATGCGATGTATTCACTTGCCTCGATACAATGGGAAACTCCTCATTCCTGGCAGACCTAGGGTTTTTTCCTGGAAGTGGAGAAATCCGATATTATCTGTACAATTGGAGCACTCGGGAAGTACCGAAAGATAAGGTCTTCTTTATTCTTCCATGAGTACTGTGAAAGAGATAAGTAAAGAAAATGACTTCATAAAATCTTTTAAGATGGTTTAGAAATATTTGGCGTGTTTTCTTGAGGCCCAATGAAGCTAGTGACTCACAATGAGAGGTTTCACTACGATGAAATTCTCGCATCCTGTGTGCTTCTTCGTATATATCCGGATGCTGAAGTGATAAGAACAAGAGATGACTCGATCATTTCTCAGGGAGACATCGTTTACGATGTCGGAAGGGTGTTTGATCCTCAGTCAGGAAGATTTGACCATCACCAAAGAACATTTTCCGAAACATTTTCCCCAAAATACAGGACTAAGCTTAGCAGTAGTGGACTCATATTCAAATATTTCCATAAGAAGCTCTTGGCCTTGTACGGAGTGGAGGAGTCGTGCAGAATATACGAGCTTGTGGTAGACAAAATATATTCGGAATTCTTTCTTTACGCCGATGCCATAGACAACGGGATTGATATATACGGGGAAATAAGGCCTCGAAGTATTGCCGACTTGGTAAGTCTGTTTAATTCTGACGAGCCAAACGAGGACTTGGAAAATCAGAGGTTCCTTGAGGCGCTAAAGATTGTAGATAAAGATCTAGACAATTACTTAAAGAGAATCAGAACATGGATTGACAGCTATGAATACGTGGAAAGTAAAATAAAAGAAACCAACGGCCCAATTCTTGTACTTGACAAGCACTATAGCACTGACCTGGTTTTGGAAATTGAAGGTAGCCATCAAAAAGATTTCAAGTTCATGGTATTTCCTTTGAGAAATGCTTACAGAGTAATGGCAATACCTAAATGCAAAGGGTCATTCGAGACAAAAAACCCTCTGAAGAAGGAATGGCGCGGGCTAGTAAACGAGGACTTAGTGCGGGTATCTGGAATTGAAGGTTGCACTTTTGTCCATTCTTCAGGGTTTATGGGGATTAACAGTTCTCTTGAAAATGCCTTGAAAATGTGTTCGGAGTCTCTTCCAAACAACAGAAATCTAAATCAATAAAACAACAATTTATTCAATACGAACTCATGGATCTTCCTTTGAATCGAACGTTTCGTAGTCGTCGGAGTCTTCTCCTTCTTTTTTCTTGGACAGCTCTTCGTCGTCGCTCTCATCACTTATAAAAGATGGCGGAATGTCGATCATTTGTACCGACGGCGCATGAGATATTCCTCGAAGATTCTCATACACCGATGCTATAATGCTATCCAGACTTTCTCTGGTGTTCTGATTAGCTATATTTGATGTAGGGACATCTATCTTATATGTTGGAGCATAATAGTCAAAGTACTCATTGTAGGGTATCTCTTTTGGAATATCCACATCCAGAACAACACTTGTCCCATAAGCCCATGCTTTTGAGACATTCCCGATAGTGTATCCTCCACCGCCGAGGAGAATAAGAGGGATATTAAAGCTCTGCACAAACTTGATACATCTAGAATGTCCCAGGTGCGAAAGATTGAAGCATCCTAATTTATCTCCAGAAAGTGAGTCTGCTCCCGACTGGAGTACAATTGCATTCGGCCTATAAACTTCTATAACCTTACTAACAACCGGCTTGAAAATGCTAAAGTAACTTTCGTCGTCAATTCCATCTTTTAGAGGAACATTGACAGAATAACCTCTTCCCTTTGCTAACCCAATGTCCGAGACCATTCCGGTTCCTGGGAAGTAGTCTCCATACTTGTGAAAGGAAACAGTCATCACTCTGTCTGTGGTATAGAATGCCTCCTCAACCCCGTCTCCATGATGCACGTCTATATCTATGTATAGAACCCTCTTGTTATACTTCAGAAGCTCAAGAATTCCTAGAACTATGTCATTTACATAACAAAACCCCGAAGCTTCGCTTCTCTTGGCATGGTGCAATCCCCCAGCCCAGTTGATTGCAACGTCGTATTTCCCAGAGCTAATCTTCTGAGCCGCATAAATGCTTCCTCCTGCAGTAAGTTTGCAGTAATCATAAAGCCCTGGAAACACAGGGCAGTCATCTCTAATGTTGAACTTGTGAAGGTCTTTAATCATTTCCTCCATGTTTTCACTGGAAACACTTGAAAGGAAGTTTATATAATCCACTGAATGGAAGTTTGTTAGGTTTTCATATGATGCCTGAAATGGCCTGAGGATATCCATGTACTTGTAAAGTTCATATCCAACAAGAAGAGTATGTGTCATCTTTACTCTCAGAGGTTTCATAGGATGTCCCATTGCATAGCTGAAGTTCCCTATTTCGGGATCGTAAAAGTATACCACTCTCTTACTACTCATCCGGGGTTAAAAATTTCGGTATCAAATATCATAGGTGTACTTTCAGGCCTTCGGATCTTATAGGATATGGTTTCCTCCATTATCTATAGCTAAACTTCAGGAGCCCACAAATTCCTCCCATCTCCTTCAGCTTCTCCCCAGAGAAATGTGCAACAGGGACAATAGATATCTTGCAGTTCATCCCTTGGATCTCTCGGCAGAACAATTCCATCTCTCTTCTTTTCTCAACATCATTAGGCCTCATTTTTTCATCGGTGATCATGAGCCGGTCTAGGGCTCCGTAGTCCATTGCTTCCCTAATACTTTCCATTCCGATGCAGACCAGGTCAGACCCTTTTGCGAACTTGACAAAAAAGTTGTCCACCTCCCTTAGATCGTCAATATACTGAACTCCCTGAAAAGTCTTGGAGAGATCTTTGTCTGTGAGTATTGTATTGATGACCTTTGAATTAGAGCATCCTCTGCATTCAGGAGGGACCTTAACCACACAGAAGCTGCTCTGTATCTTCTTTAACTCCTTCGAGTTCACCACAGCCTTGTAAAACTCGTTTCTTATCTCGAATGCACTTGCAACCACAAATAGACTTATCTTATCAGCATACTTCTCCAATGTCTTAATGACATTGGTAAATTTCTTGTTTTTCATCTCCTGCTTTAATACTATACTAATTTTACTACGGGTTACTATAGACACAACACATTCTTTTTCGTAAAACACTACAAAAGCTGTTTCAAGCTGGGGCTTTGCAGCCTCTTTGAGTAATCTTATAGACATCTCCTGCCATTCGTCTTTTTCCAATGAAAAAGGCTGCCCAAGAGTTATATCTATCGTATGGTACGACCCAAGCTTGACATATTCATTAATTAGAACGGTCTTTCCCTTAAGATATATGGTAGAGCTTTCCAAGTCCACATTTATGGCTTCCACTTTTATTTTTAGTGTGAGTGTTACTCTATGCTGCGTCTTTCCATCAATTTGGATTTTACGTGTTGTCACCGACGTCACCATATCACCCACTTCTATGACAGAACTTAGAGTGTATATGTCTTCTTGATGCTCTGGAGTCATTTTTATGCTTCCTGATCTGCATTTTTGGTCTATTTTATTCTTCTCGAGCTTCATTTCCAGGGCCGTTTGCCTCGCATTTGATAAGGAATTCGGCCTGTTTTAAAACACCCGTCATTTGAATTCTGCTACAAAGGAATAAGTTAGATTATTGATTTCCCAGACATGAACAAAGAACTCGAAGACGTAGTTTCCTCTATAAAGTCCAAACTCCAAGCACTAACGAGCAACAAAAAGGGAGACTCGGGGACAGTGCTTATAATAGGAGGAAGCAGACTCTACACAGGGGCACCTTACTTTGTCTCTTTAGCAGCGTTCTATACTGGATGTGAGCTAGTATATGTATTCTCCGAGGAAGAGTCCATCATTCCTTTGAAAATATTGCTCCCCGAATCTATAGTTTGTGGCATTGAGTATCAGGAGTGGCTCCTTGAAAAGGTTTCTGCGTGTGTAATTGGCCCTGGACTTGGGAGGCCATCGGAGGAAACACAAGAAGAAATAAGAAAGATACTACTACACCTAAGCCGAAGAAATGTTCCTGTGGTTGTAGATGGAGATGGAATAAGGTTGGCGGAGAAACTTGGAATCGAAAATTTTGGAACTGTCATCATTACACCCAACATCAACGAGCGAAAACATGTCGAAAAGATTGAAAAAAGATTTTTCTATGTTCTGAAAGGCTCTACCGATGTGATCTTGTGGTCAGGTAGGGAAATAAAAATCGAAGACGAAGGATGTCCAAAGAGAATAGGAGGACAGGGAGACATCCTAGCAGGCACTATAGCATCACTTGTTTCAAAGTGTAAGGCACCTGCTATGGAGATAGATGTACTTGGATCTATATTACTTGGATGTATGATGGTTAGAAAAGCAGGAAGACTTGCATATCAAAAGTACAAGAGAGGTTTAATAACCAGAGATATACTGGAAGAGCTCAAAACCATCTTTAAAATTGAGTTTGAGTAATTATCTATGGGCCTTTCTTCAAACGAAGGGCTTCTCCCTTAGTAAGCTATTTGTTGTTCGAATAATAGTACTAGATTAGATATTATATGATCAAAATATATTACAATTATAAGGTATGAAAATATTTTAGATCTAAATTTTTCCATATAGCGATTTCAAAATAGATTATTTTCTAAGTGCAATAAATTGAAAATATCATGGCCACAAGTTATACAGGGATGATATATTGAACAGAATTGTCCTTAATTTCCAGGGTATAATAGTCATCTTATTTATTCTGGTCATTAATATAGTATTACTTTTAAATATATCAACAGTGTTTGACATATATTGAAAAGGTGCATTAATTCAACATAAAACGTTAAAAGAGGATTCAAACAACTTAAAAATGAAAGGAAGATACAAGTTGAGCAAAAAGTCAAGATTATCGAGGGCTCAAAGAGATTTTCTTAATGCTTACTTCGAAATGAATCCAAATCCAAATGCTCAGGAGAGGGAATCCATTGCATCCCAATCGCTGATATCCAAAGAAAAGGTTAGAAACTGGTTTCAAAACAGAAGATCCAAAGAAAGAGGAGACGATAAGGTATCTTCTTGTCTGAGCATTTCCGATGCAAATTTTACCGAAACCGGAGTTCATCCGATGTCAAATGACCTTTATATTCGGAGGTAGCTTGATAGATCATGTCTGTATGAGGTTGTGTTTCAATAAATATTGGTTTATTTGTTTTCTGGAGAAGGCTTTCGTCTTAAATACCGGTGAGAAATTTCGCAAGCAGCCAAGTAAGTAATAGTGGGCTGTTCTTATTTGGGCTTTCCGGCGGGAGTAAGCGAAACATGTGTCCGAGAGTCTATTCTTTTTATCAAGGATTCGGCCAGGTCTCCGATCCTAACGTTTCTCATAAGTGCAGACTTCACTTCGTTTTCACACAGAATTTTGTTCTCAACAAGATACATTACTCCATCCTCCAATCCTTCAAAAGAATCCACTCTTTCCAAGGAATACTTTATCTCCTTAGGAATGTTGTATTTGATCGACATCAGGAAATATGCCTCCATCACATTTTGATCATACATAGATGCCTTCTTGAGGCTAATAAGACCGTTCTTGATGTCCTGGAGCTGGATTCTGCACATGGCTAGGTTCCTCAGAAATACTGCATTTCTTTGATCATCGGCCACCAGTCTTTCATATACTACTTCTGCTTCCGAAAACCTTTTGGCAGATGTAAGAGCAGATGCATATAAAAACTGTATTTCAGTATTCCATGGGACTATTTCAAGCGCCTTTTTAAAAGAAATTATTGCTTTTTCGGTGTCTCCGGCTTTAAGAAAGTAAACTCCTTTTGCTCTTAATGGTTCGTACGAGTGGTATATGCTGAGAGCCCTATCAAAATAATTCTCCTCTCCGGTTATGATCCCAAGAATTATGTTCATATTGCACAGTCTCACCTTTGACTCGTGGCTTGTGGGATCACCGATACTTCTTACTTCCTCGAGAGCCCTTTCTACAGCCTCATCATTTCTATTAAGTTTTACTAGACAATTGATGATCTTTGTATTACACCTATATTTCTGAAAGTATACAAGAGCTTTTGAATATGCAGAGCAGTTGTAATAGGCATCACCTAGAAGCTTTTCCCACTCACTATGAAACACAAATGGGATTTCAAATATTGAGTCTGTTATTCTTTCATGGGTAAACTCCAAGTCGTATGGTTCTAGATTGAGCATCATGAGGTAATAGTGTGCTGTCATCTTCACTACTTCGCTTTTTTCATTCCATGGAAACAGCACTCTGTCTATGTACGCTTGGACTTTCAACCTTCTGAGATCCGGGCAAATTTCCGTATTAAAGACCCTTATCATTTCCACCAAAAGTATAGACTGTTCTCCCACGCTTAGGCTCGGAACAATTTCGTTTTCAAACTTGTATTTTTCGGTGCTATAGACATGTTTCTTTTCGTTGCTTGTGCCATTACATCTCACAATCAGTATGGAATTTCCATAAGCCCCTTCATTTGTAGGGACACATCCAACCAGTTCGTACCGGAAACCATACATAGAAAGATCAATTTTCTCGTATTCTTTAAACGACAGCATCATGCATGCTCTTTCCAAACCGCTCAATTCCCTAGGTATACAAAACGGCTGGGGATCCTTGAGACATAAGTTCATCATATAGTTCAAGCGGCTCTTCTCAATTTCATTGGCTGGTTTAGCATTCTGCAGGAGATCTAGAAGTACAATTCCACTCTTGAAAGCTCCGGAATTCTCTAGACTCGGCATTTCCGAACAGTAGGCCGAAAATACATTTGATGCAATAAACGTCCTTAAATCTTCCATTAGATATCGGGGATGAAAAGACGTACAAAATAGACATAAAGAGTCCAAAGCCCATATTTAATTCTAGGTCTTACTGGAAAGAGACGTCGGGCTCGTCAAGGAGAGAGAGAAGTTGTTTGATTGACATGGGCTCTTCGTAACATATGTCGGAGAAGCAAGGATTCTGATTGCATAAGATCTCATAATCGGGAAACCCAATTTTTTCAACTTCATATGAAGACTGGAAACATTCATAGATACCACATTCCTTCATGACCTCAATCGAGCTTGTAGTACCAAACACAAACATCTTCTTTTTGCTCTCTTCCTTGATGAATATCTTCAGTGCTTGCAATACGGCGTTACTAAACCTAGGTCCTATGTTTACAAAGTCAATAAGTCCTTCAATATCGTCCAGGATTACTATGGCCTCTTCAGACTTATATGCATCCATAAACTTCCCTTTTATATAGTTCACCTTCTCGTACTCGCTTAGTCCTATGATGTCTCTTGGCGAAATAATCTTTATAAACGGAAACATCGAAGATCTTGCTGCTTTCACAGCTAGCGTTGTTTTACCTGTTCCTGGAAATCCATGGAACAGCAGAGAAGATGTGGAGTAAAGATTTGTCTTTCTTAGCTTTTGAAGGAGATTCTTGCCATGTTCGATTCCCTGGGTGAATATAGGAGTCTCGTAAAAGGTCTTTTCGAATCTGTAGAAATCCTGCTCGTTTATCCCGAAGGAAGGCTTAACCTCATCGAGTGCTTGAATAAAGTCATTCATATAGACCTTGATATTCTTGTCTCCGACAACACTCATTCTTTCTTTATCGTCCTTCTCTCCATGGACCTTTCTCTCCAAAGCAAAGGAGACAGCACTCTTTACAACTGCTGTTATCTCCGCTCCTGTATAGTTTTTCGAAAGTTTGGCTATTTTGTTTAAGTCAACGCTTTTGTCCAGGTAGTCGTGGCTTTCCATCGTTTTTGTATGTATCCTAAAGATTTCAATTCTGGATTCTTCGTCAGGAAGGGAAATCTCCAGATGAATCTCAAATCTCCCTGGCCTGAGTAGAGCCTCGTCAATCAGGTCCAGCCTATTAGTCATCCCGATAACCAGGATGTTTTCTATCGACTCCACTCCATCCATCTTACTAAGAAGTTGATTGACTACTTGGTCTCCAACTCCTGCTCCACTGCTGTTTCCTCTTCTTCTACAGATCGCGTCAATCTCATCGAATATTATGATATGAAGATTGCTGTCCTCCTTCTTTACTTTCCATTCCTCTTCAGCATCCTTAAACAAGTTCCTAATGTTTTCTTCGCTCTGCCCAACATATTTGTTGAGAATTTCCGGGCCATTTACTATCTTTGGTGGCCTGGCATTGAGAAGAGATCCAAGTTTCCTTGCAATTAATGTCTTTCCTGTCCCTGGAGGCCCGTACAGGATTATTCCCTTTACATGAGGTATTCCAAACTTTTTGATCACATCTGAGTCAAATGCCCTTTGTACAAATGCTCTCCTGAACATCTTTCCAAACTCCTGCTTTAGTCCTCCAATCCCAAGAGATTCAAAGTTGAAGTTTGGATCCAACAGCATGTTTTCTCTAGAGTTGTTTGACAAAACCAGCCTCTCCGAGACAGAGTTGATAAAAACTTCCGTGTTCTTCAGAAGAATTCCATACCTCTTATCCAGAGCAGTGAACATCTCCCGAACAAACACCTTAAATCCTAGGTCTCCAATGTACAAGTAAAACTTTTGATCGATGTTAAATGGAAAGGATACATAAATGTTCTTGAACTTCTCAACAAGCTCTTTTGCATCGAGATCAACCTTTTCCAGATTGATGATCTCTATGTCGAGCTTTAAGAGAGAGATTGGATCGCATTCAACAACATTCAGGTGTTTGACACTTATCTCATCTTTCCCAACACTTTTGTTTAGAAATTCCCTTTGAATCTTGCTCAGCTGGGCATTGCATCCATCGGTAAAGTCAAACTTAAAGGCATACTTACTGTCCACCAATATAAACTCTGAAGGATCTAGCCCAGATGTCCTTGGGATGTATATCTTATTTATTTTTCCCCTTTCCACCTGTTCAATCTTGATGCTCCCTACAACATATTTCATACAATAGGGTCTGCCTCTCTCTGTTTACAAAACAGCTTACAACATTGGCTTATTTCTCGGAAGTTAAAGATACAGAAAAATCAGGAAGGCCGGGCCCCCGATTAGAGTTAATAGAAACAGGATATCCATTCCGTCCTTGCCATCGCATATTCCCTCTAATGCACATACACACCATTTTGGAGGCATCTCAGACCGGTTCTGCGGCCCTGCCTCTGTAATTTCCCGAATAGATTCAACTACGGAGTCCTTGTCAGCACTCAACCAAAACAGAAAGGCTCTTTCGTTAACATAAATATCCACCATGTCTTTTCGCTCCGAAAACTCTAACAGACCTGTAATGTTTTCCAAGAGCCTGCTCATCATCTTTATGTAGCTAAAAAACATACCTTTCTCAACCTTTCTTTTCGTCAAGTGATCGAAGTCGTCATACACAAATAATATCTTGTTAAATAAGTTTGAGAACACAGACATCTTTGCATTAACTCTTGTGTCCATCATGGATTTGACGTACAGCCTTAAAATCTCTGCGATATATTCACTCTCTTTCAAGATAGCCCCTAGCTGGCTTTCAAGACCATTAGCCTTGGATACTACTTCAAGCCTTGTAACTCCTCCAATGTGCGTTGACGTGAAGCTACATCCTTTGATAGACCCTGACTTGCAGCTTCTATCAAGCATTTGTCCATTGAGAAGGAACGGAACACTTGATAGAGTCACTACTATAAGGCCCACAGACACAATAGGCTTTAGAATGGAAGTGATGGCTTCAAGCCTTGCCAGGGCTGCAAGAAATAAAACCAGGCAGAGAACCATCTGGACTCCAAGAAAAAACATTATTTTGTTTTCGTATCGGATTACTGGACGTATGTCTCCGCCACCAGTGTTTTCGCTGTCTTGATAATTCCTTGCTAGCGTCGAAAGGTAGTTTAGAATCTCCTGGCTGGCCCTAGCATTTGGAAGATTAGAAAAATATTTCTTGATTTCCATCCTTAGCTCGTTTAAAGATATATTCAAATACCTTGTAGAAGCATTGAATTCAACCATTTCATCTTCAATTTTCTCTGCTTCCTTCATAAATAACTTAAACACGTTAGTAAACTCCTCTAGGATTCTCTCTACTTGTATTTCAATGTTCCTTAGATTCAAGACATGCCTCTTCAAATTTTCATCATTTTCTGCCTTGAACTGGAAAATTTTCATAAGATTCCCAAGAAAGACTTTTCTCTTTTCGCCATTTCCGGCATTTCTATTAATTGTTGACTGTCCTTGAGCCTTGAACACCATGGAAACCTGGTGGCCTCCCCCGGAAACACCTTCCGAGTAAGTCCTTTCTTTTACCGAAGATTTTTTTTCTACAGGAATGCTAGGACTTTTCCTCTCCAGAGTCGCAAGAGTGGTTTTTTTTCTGATATCTCGTCCCTTAGTGCTAGGATTTTCCTCTTTCTGTCTTTCTTCTTCTGTCCCAAGATTTTTATACAAAGCCAGATGAGATGCTGTAGATTCCTTTTCAGAGTGTCCCGTAAGGCTTATGTGAGAGAGAAGATTAGAAAGATGGCTCCTTTCAAAGGAATCCCTGAACTTAACTCGCCAAGGATTTCCCCATGCACTCCAGAACCATGTACTGGAATTTGAGTTGGGCAGGGATTTACCAAGCATTCTATTAGCCTCTATGACCTTTTGCAGATTGTACGAGCAGAATATAAGGAGAAACCCAATGGTGTATAAAAGAACATTACCTCCATCTCTAGAGCTCCTGAAGAATATCAAAGCAAGGCCAAAGCACGTTATCAACAGTAGGAGAAACAGGTATATATCAAACCTTAAATTTGTTTTTGTCTCTTGAATGAACAACCGGAATGGGGATTGCTGAGGCGGCCTTAGCAAGGGTTCTTTAAGTATAAGAAGCCTTAGCCTAGATGCTAGAAACATTTCTCCCATCAGAACACATAGTTTTATCCTTCTCCTGAAGCACCTGTTTCATGAATCCGGTTGTATCATATCCCATCTAAGTCTTTCCAATTTTTAAGAATAAAAGAAAGGAAAACAAGAGGGGTATGGACTCCGAATGTAAATACCTATTCAAGATAATCTTGATTGGGAATAGTGGAGTTGGAAAAACCTGCCTCATGAAGAGATACACGGACGAGACATATAGCTTTACTCAATCCAGCACAATAGGTGTTGATTTCAAAATAAAGTCTCTTGAGGTTGAGGGGGAGAGAGTGAAGCTTCAGATATGGGATACGGCAGGACAGGAAAGATTCAGAGCAATTATATCCAATTATTATCGAGGAGCACATGGGATTATAATAGTGTTTGATATGGGAAGTAAGGAGTCGTTTAATAATCTCGGAGATTGGCTAAGTGAGGTTAGAAAGAATACAAATGAAAATGTTGAGATAATTATTCTGGGAAATAAGGTCGATGATAAGGAAAAAATTGTGATTACTGAAGAAGAAATAGAAAGGTTTCTGGGGGAAAACAACATTGAAAAGTCGTCGTTTTATATGACAAGTGCAAAGGATAACATTTGTGTCAACGATAGCTTTGAATATCTAACGAGAAAACTTATTGATAAATACAAGAAAATAGGTTTTGGCACTGGAAAGGAGTCTTTCAAGCTTAATGTAGGAGATCCAAAAAAAACTTGTTGCCTGTGATTTAATTGATTAAAGCTCTTTTCAATTCACATTCCTCGAAGTTTTTATTCTTCTTAGATAATTGATGATCTCCTCAGGTTCTGACGTTCTATTAAGGAGTTGATATACAACACTTTCCTCAATGTAGAATCCTGTATCGGACTTTGGGATTCCTAGAGTTTCAGCCAGACACCTTGTATCTATGATAGGCTTGACGAGATAGCACTCTCCAATTTCTTGTTGTATAATGCTGTACACAACTCTTAGTCCATCCTCATACTTTTCATGATTGTCTTCAATGTATTCAATTGCAGAATATATCACTAACGATTCATACCATGTCTCCCCCATAAATCTCACTATCCTAATTAAGTCTTCATCTCCTATCTTCTTCATATCATATCCAGACAGAAAAACAAGACTCTCCTCGATCTTGTTTATCGTTTTGACAAATCTCCTAGAAGATGGAAGTGAAATCTTCATGATATAAGCATTTGAGAACAGCAGACTTTTCCCATTTGGAACAGTCGATCTGCTAAAGAAGCATAACACAGTGTATAGATTTAAAATCTCCCTTCTGTATGTCCTTCCCCACAAATTTGTGATCTTTTCTACAGTCTCGCAAAACATTAGACCTTTTTCGTAAGGTGTCTCCCTTTCCACAGGTGGCTTAAACACAGGACTTACATATCCTCTTCTAACTATCTCCAGGAGCCCGTACTGCCCTCTTGGATAGTGGAGAATTTTAAATATCTCTATGTGAATTCTTTCGTTGGAAACCTTCTTTCCAAGCGCTCTTTTGATTCTCTCGTCCATCAACGCCTCTTCGATCTTCCCGTCGATTTTGAATCCAAGCTTAGAATGAAATCTGAAGATTCTCACAAGCCTTAGAGGGTCATCAAAGAGGGTTGTCCTTGGATCTAGAGGTGTTATTAGAAGCTTGTTCTTTATGTCATCAATACCCCTCCCGGTGTAGTCTTCAACTTCCTTGGTAAACAGATTGTAGAATAGCGAGTTTATGGTTAGGTCTCTACGGAAAGCATCTTCCTGAGGAGTTCCCGGATTCACATTGGGAATCCTCGTTTCAGAATATGTTTCGTTCCTTAGATTTACAAAGTCAACACAGAATCCATTTATCCTTACAACTGCTGTTTCAAGATGCTTGGACTTTTCAGGGTTGTCCTTTATCACATGGACTTCTGTGAGTTTCTGGCCTGTCGAGGATTTCATTAGTCCTGCTGCAAACTTGTATCCGCTAATATTTTCCAACGCTATATCCATGTCGAAGCTGGGATGGCCCATTATCTTATCTCTAACCCATCCTCCTGCAACTCTTGGAGTTACATTTCCAAACTCTTTGGCATGACTTCTTATTAGGTTGAAGATATCCTCCTCGGCTTCTGTGCAATTTATCTGGACGCCCATGAGGGACCAAACAAAACACCTTAAATACAGATCGACCTCGCTTCGAGAGAAACAAAGATCAAAAAGTCATGAGAGCCAACCACTACAATCCAAGCCCCAATCTTCCTTCTTGGGACTCTTCAAACTTAATAAAGAAGAGAATTAGAAAGTAGATACTTAGGTGGAATAGCGTATCTTCGGCCCTCCAAATCCGCTCGAGTCCCGTAAAGCTCCTTAAGATGATAAAATAGATATAGTTTGATATCTTGGTTGTATTATATGCAACTATCCCAAACCTCTGTATATAGTATGCGCTCAAGACCCTGAGTAGAAGAGAGGTGATCAAAAGAAGAATTGATTTGGAGGTGTTTTTTTCTATAAACACATGGATATCATTGTATCTCAATCCAGAGTCGACCAATATAATAAACGAATATATCCAGATGTAAAATGAGCTTGCCAGGAGAAACTTTGGTAGTCCGCTTCGATTTGTCATACAAACCGTCATGAAGTCTGAAGAAACACTAAAGATTACATAAAGTGACAGGTAAATGATTCCAAAGAGAACGTCGAAGAATCCGTCATTGCTATATTGAACAGATTTATACACATTCATTAGAACTACCAGAACAAAACTGAAATTCCTTAAGATATTCTCCTTAGCTGTTCTTGACAGCATGAACATAAGCAGCACAGATAATGGATAGCATAGGCCCCTTGCAGCCATTGCTGTTTTCAAAGACGTCATTCCTGCGCCTCGATACCAAGAAGAATACTCTCCAAATGCAAATAGTCCGAGCGGAAGATATTCTGGTTGTATTTGGACGGCTTCTTTGAAAGTGGTGTTTTTAATTGCAAACGGAACGGACATCATTAAAACAATGAGAGACGACAGAAAATTTTCTATGGTAAGTATCACCATAAAATGGGCCTCCAGATGGTCTGAGGATAAATATAGCTGGAGAGCCCCCAAGAGAGACAGAATCTCTCCGATGTAGAGTTTCTTTTTCATTTGGCAAAGGGGTGAAGTTTGAATTTATGGATGAAGAAAAGGGGTGTTCTCCCGGATAGAGGAAAAACTTGTAGAGAGATAAGATATTGTTCCTAGGCAGAGAAGTGTCTAGGCATCACAATACATAGATGTTAATAACATCCTCGAAAAAAAGATTTTCAGGTGACACCGCGGAATACCTAAAAAGGAGATTTTATTGTGTATACGCCACAATAGAAAATAAATTGGATCAATTCTATATTAATCTGATAAAAAAGGGTATATTTAAAATAAATAGGGTATAAGTTTCATGGATTGTTTTAAGGAAAATCTTTAGAACGGATCTAACTATGTTATTTGTCGACCCAATTTTATCAATCAAATTCGAAACAACAAACCTCCCTTCGATTTGGTTATAAAAGACTCAAAAATTTACCCCAAAATGGCTAGAACAAAACAATCCGCTAGGAAAACAACAGGAGGAAAAGCCCCACGCAAGCAGCTGTCTGCCAAGTCCGCCCGTAAGGCTGTGGCCCCCGCCTCAGGTGGTGGGGCCAAGAAGTCCAGGTACAGACCTGGATCTGTGGCCTTGAAGGAAATCAGGAGATACCAGAAGAGTACAGACTTCTTGATCCGAAGACTTCCTTTCCAGAGGGCTTGCCGTTCTGTGGTTAAGGAGTGTAGTAATACTACAGACATAAGATTCCAGGGCCCGGCTCTTGGCTCAATTCAAGAGGCCTTGGAGGCCTATCTTGTTAGTTTGTTTGAAGATGCTATGCTCTGTGCATGCCATGCAAAGAGAGTCACTGTATTTCCAAAAGACATAAGCCTTGTTCTGAAACTCAGAAGCAGACACGTCAAATCCATCAGTGATTAAAATCTTCACTTTAGTTCTCAGGTTTCTAGAGGATACCTTCTGTCTATACCGAGTTTATTAGAATATCTCATTGTTCCCTACCCTTAGCTCCTGATTTTTTCCATGTACATTAAGGTTAGTGGTATCAACAAGATGATCAATAGATATGACTTGAATAAGGTATTTACATTTACCAGGCCTATATACAAAACAATAGAGCATTCTCCAGATGTTCGGTTCTACTTCTATAGTACTCTGCATGAGATTGCAATGGCAGAGAAACTCAATAAAAGAAGTTTAATTGAGTGCTTGGAGGTGAGCTTTATCAAAAACCCACTAAAGGAGAAGTCCTGTTTATCAATTTCCTCCTCCAGATCTTCCTGTTGCTTATACACTGTATGCGACAGAGATGTTTCTATAGATATGATTGAAAGGCTTTTCGGACTACCTGCCCGATGCTACTTTAGATGGGGAGAGTTCAAGGAGATATACATAATTGAGTTTAAAGAAGCTGTGGAGATAAAGAAGGCAGACTTTACAAAATATGTATTTGCTTTCGAGGACTATATAGACTATGTAATAGAGAACGGCCTTTTCGACCAGGAGTGAGGAAATAGGAATTTCTCAAAAGGGGGAGGAATATCTCCCTGACAAAAGTAAGAATGGAGAACCAATGCCATATCTTTCCTTTTTTTATTCCTGAGGTTTCCAAAGTGAAGGTAGAGTATTTTGACCTGAATGAAGATACAGGTACTATAAGAGGGATTTTTTGTGTTAAGAAAAAGTTAGAAATGGACATTGACGTGTTTATTTGCAACAAAATAGTTACGGATCCTTTCTTTTTTTGGGAACCAGCCTGCTCGGGGTCCGTATTTGAAAAAGGTCTAGAGCTTGTGAGGAGAGGCCTAGGATTTCCCAAAGAGGATAGAAAAGGGCCCACCCTCGAGAAAATGATCACAAAGGTGAAAAAGTAAACACCCAATCCGTAGAGCATTCTTGTTTTTTATCTTCAATTTACAAGAAATATGTTGCAGCAAAATTTTTACCCCATCGAGTAATGCATTTTACATCTGCCATGAAGCGTGTCAGGCTTCCATCGTCTGCCGTTGCCGTCCGGAAGGAACCTAGATCCAAAAACATCTACCTCCGTGCTCTTTCAGACTTCTATACCAAGGTGGCCGATAATACATCTGTCCTGGCAATCAAGAAGATCTCTAAGAGATTGAAGATGTCGAAGTCAGACAGACGGCCGGTCAAAATTTCGAAAATCGTTAGCGAGATAGGAGAATCCAAAGATAAGGTTGCTGTCATTGTTGCAAAAGTCCTTGATGATGATAGGATTATGGAGATTCCTCCCCTTAAGATTATTGCTCTCCAATGGTCAAAAGGAGTGAAGGAGAAGATTGAAAGATATGGAGGAAGCATAGGAACTCTTGACCAGCTTTTTGAAGTTTGTCCAAACATGGATGATATACATCTTATTTCCTCCTCCAAGTTTGCTAGAAGGTCTGCTAAGTTCTGGGGTCCTGCTCCGGGAGAAAAGGGATCTACTACTTATCCAAGGGCAAACCAGAAGTGCCATAACCGTGAGAAGCGTGTCATGATGAAGGGAAGAAAGGCGCCGCAATCCAAAAGGACAAGTGAAGAATAAAATGGTCTAAGTTTTACTAATATATCTCTGTTGGGAAGATCTATTTGTCTGGAGCTGGCAATCTCAAAAAATCTTCTATCTCTATAAAGCATGAACAAAATTCGCATTCCACCCTGGAATTCTCTTCATTGAGTACTTTGTATTTTCCTCCACACCTGCACACAATAGACCCGATGTCGTCTCTGTTACAAACAAAATAAGGAACCTCCTCATATTCTTCTCCTCTTTCATATTTCTCGTAAGATTCTCTTAACTTTATATACTCGTTTATATCTCCCTTGCTTCTGTCTGGATGTATCAGGAGTAATCTCTTCAAATACTTCATTCGGACTTCTTCTTTTGAAGCTCCTTTCTTAACACCCAGCAAACTGAAAATAGACATTAAGGGATACAGAGTTTGTTAAATAACGTAAAGACCCGGGGGTTGGTAAATTCAAGAGACACAGCAAAGACCTAGGAAATTCTAAAACGGCTACACCAGTGTTTTATAGATGGCCAATGGTCGAAGCCGAAAATGAAACATTGTTTTAGAAACTTCTTAAAAACAGATGGTAAGGTTACATCATGCTTATTCTCTCACTGTTAATGAGCGTTGGTGCATACTATCTACCGCCTACAAGGCATGCATTCATAATCTCTGCTAGAACACTGCCACCATATCGCCTAGATTCATTCCCATTTACACAGGTGGGGCCCTACAAGACATCTGGAGATCCCATCATATTTGCAAGACCATCTAGAGTTGATAAAGAGACATCTACGGAAGGGAACGAGAAAAGTGTGTCTGGAGAGAAGAAGGAAGAGTCTAAGAAAGGCCTTTCTAATATTATATTTGGAAGCACTGTGTGCAGATTCTTCTTCTACACGGCGATGGCAGTTATAATATTCTTCATAGGGTATCAAACGAGAAAAAGCCACGAGGGAGGGTCCTACGTAAGACTTCCTACAACATCAAATAACTAATAAAAAGCCTAAGAAATCGTTTTTGTATTGTGTAAATACGATGTGGGATTTAGTAGAAGAAACAAGAGACACTTTTACAAAGCTTAATTTGGTTCCATCCTTTAATGTAAGACTCTACTACATCCTTTTAGTTGATGTTGTTTTTTCTGTTCAACTCTTCTGTCTCTTCCTTTGTCAAGAACCTACCTGAGGGAGCTCTCAGCCTTTTCATAGCATGTTTATGTCTACTTTCATGCAAATAGTTTCTCTTGTTTGTTATCATAAGTGTATCTAGGATGTCTCTTCTTGACTTTCTTTTCTTAATCCAGTTGAGCTGCTTGGCATTGACATAAAGAGGCTGAAAAGGTTGATCGCTGAACGGAAAAGAATAGTCATAAGCACCGTAGTTGCTTTTATCTGGATATCCTACATCTCTTAGTTGCTCGTCTTCAAAGCTGATGTCACCGTATCGGGTGTTTGGGCCCTGGTCCATAATGTCTCTGTGCTGCATACAACATCTATTCCGTCAAAACTTTTGTAAATCTTCCTCCTGACTTGTTTCAGGATGTTTGTTTCTTCCACCAATTGCATGGTGAGTTGGGATCGTTCGAGATGGCATCTCTACTCATCAACAATATATGCAAAGCTCAAAATAACTTTGGGATTTCTAGTCCAGTAAGGTTTGTAATAAGGTTCGTCTTATCTAATCTTTATTTCATCATCCCTCTCCCCATCCAACTCCCAAAAGTTTATGTTAGAATCAGAAGATCCAGATACAAAGTACTTTTCATCGTCGGAACAGGAAAAGTGGATCACTCTGTTCTTATGCCCCAAGAAGTATCTTTCTACCTTGAAAGAGGACATCTGTGACAGTCTGATGTCATCTTTTGAGTATCCGTGTGTACTCAGGATCTTGTTGGACTTCAACCATCTTAGATTACAAATTTGAGAGCCATAGTCTACAGATCTTATCAAACACGAGCTTGATCTACTCGAGTTTACGAGATTCATGTCCCATAGCTTGATTGTTTTGTCTGCAGTTCCTCCACCAGACACCAACAGGTTTGGGGAAAGAGGGGACCAACTTATGGCCTTCACTGCGGCCTTGTGGCTGGAACATTGTTTAAGAGGATGGGATAAGTTCCTGTAATCATAAATATAAAGTCTATTGTCGTTCCCGCCGGATGCAAGAAACCTAAGGTCCTTGCTTATGCTTAATCCACAGACCTCCTGACGATGGTGTAGAATGGTTGCCACAGCCTTCTCCGAGCGAAGATCTGTTATCTTTATTTTTCTATCTCTGCTTCCAGTTATAATGTTTGCATTTTCCGACTCGATTACACCTATTCTTGATCTGTGGAATGAATACCTGGTTATCTTTAGAGAGGCTATATCAACATTCAACATGACACCGATAGAAGTCCCAAGGGCAACAGTGCTAGTGGTTGGGTTATATTTCACAGATGTTATTCCAAGACTGCTAAGATTACAAATCTGCAATGTCTTCGAGGAAAAGAAGTTGTGAACAAACAAACAGTTGTCTGCAGTGAAAAATACATTTTCTCCTGACCAGTCAATTAGACTGCTATAGAAGTCGTCGGGAAGGGATTTAACCTTCAATTGTCTATATGGCTGAATGATTATTCTTGGCCCAAGGTTTTGGCTTCCAACAGTACTTAAATACGGAATTTCGCCCATGGAACAGGCAAACCTTGCCTCATACATTTCCTCTTTAGTTCCAAGATCATAGAAGTTTCTTTGTGCATATCTGGAAGTAGTTTCCTTTTTGTTTATTAGGAATCTGTCCATCTATGTTTGTTTATGAAGACTTCCTCTCTCAGATAATTTTTGGTGTGTTATTTGATCAAATAGAAATCAAGATGCTTTAGCATAATGAAAGAGATAATTTATCAAGTCCAGTAGTTTCAAACACAGAATCTAATAGAAGCTCCAGACTATCCTAGAACTTGGAATCTTTCCAGCAGATCCTTAGTATCCATCGTTTCTATATCCGCGTTTTGCTGGGAGACTAGGCTGTTTGCAACAAACATTTTAAACGACTGGAGGTTCATAACCTTTTCCTCTAAGGTGTTTTTAGCTATGAGTCTAAAAACATTCACAGTTCTTTTCTGACCTATTCTGTGAGCTCTATCCATGGCTTGGAGATCATTAAAGGGGTTCCAATCGTGCTCATACATCACAACAGTATCTGCTCCAGTAAGGTTAAGACCTAACCCTCCGACTTGCGTGGTGAGAAACAATATCTGGGTTGTACCCGTGTTGAACTCCTCAGCAATCTTAGCTCTAGTCGAGCTAGGTACGGATCCGTCTAGTCTTGAGTACTTGAATTTATACTTCTCCATGATGTCCTTTATAACAAAATCTATGCTGGATTTGAACTGAAAAAAAATAAGTATTTTGCTTCTTAAATCTTCTCCTCCGCAAAGGGAAATTATATCTTCAAGTGCTTTGACCTTACAAGACACTTCACTAGAATCCTTGAAGTGGCTCATATGGGAAACCGCAAGCAAAAGATCTCTTGTCCTTTTGAACCCGACGTTCTTCTGGTCTATCTTTCCATACTCCAGGTCTACATCTTCAAGTTTCTCCTTGCCCCCTCTTTCATTAATCTCACGATATAGCTTTTCCTGGGCAGGCCCAAGGTCAACAATTATGTCACGAATTATCTTTGGAGGAAGGTCTTTCAGTACATCGATCTTCAATCTGCGGAGAATAAATGGAAGAACTTTTTTGTGAAGAAGGTTAAGTTTTTCCTGAGTTTTTTCTATTTCAGTATCAGACATCTTTACATTCAACGACCCATACTCTTTTTCGGAACCAATGTAATTGGGCATTAGGAAGTTGAAAAGGGATACCAGATCCTCTACACTGTTATGCACTGGAGTTCCTGTCAGAACTATCTTTCGAGAGCACTTTATCATATTCATTCTTGAGTATAGAATTGTGTGTTTGTTCCTAAGAACATGCCCTTCATCAACTACAACGTAAAACCAATCCTTCTCAATAAAGCTTAAATAGTCATTCCTAAATGTTTCATAGGAAGATATCAAGATTCCATATTCTCCTCGGTTTTCTCTCCTGTAAATCTCTGCAGTTACGAAGGGGAAAAACTTCTTAACTTCGGCTTTCCAATGCCCAGTAAGGCTTGAAGGACAGATTACTAAGATCTTCTTCTTTGTCTTATAAATCTCGGAGCAAAGGAAAGTCAACACCTGCAAGGTCTTTCCCAGACCCATGTCATCCGCAAGAATTCCGTTGAGACTGAATGAATGGAGAAAATTCAACCATCTTACCCCCTCTATCTGGTAGTCTCTAAGTTTGACTAGTATTGGGCATTTTATATGATACTCTGGGATCTTCCTTACATCAAGTAGCGAGTCAAGGGATTTTTTCTCATTTTCAATCACCTCAAGTAGATCCTTAGATATCTTCTCGTTTGTTCTAAACCCAAGAGTTGGAATAATCTTTGAAAATAGTCTTGAGGATGTCTTCCGATTTACATCACTTGAGATGTTTTTAAGAAGTGGCCTGACAAACAAAGGATTGAAAGAATGATCCCCGTTCATCAAGACAGCATCAAGAAGCTCAACATCTAGATTTTCAAGTGCCTTCCTCACAAACTTCTCATTGAACTCCAGAGATTTCATAAATCCATTGATTACTGTGATATTTCTCTCCTGAAGTGCATCATCAAATATAAACGCTATCTTTTGAATCTGCGAGGCTTTTGTGTATATATGAACAGTTTTTGAGAAGAAGTCCAGTCTGTTTTCCAGGCTTCCAACCTGCAAAAAGAAGGGATGATCAAGAAATCTACCATCAAACCCCTCAAAGAACCGAAGAAACCCGTTCCTTCCTGAAGACAATCTTTCATATGCAACCTGGAGAAAATTGTCGACAGAAATCTTCTTTGCATCATAGTACTCCACTATCATTTTAGAGAACAGATCCAGGAACTGGATGCAGGTCTCAACTTCAAATAGGGCTGGTGCATTGCAAAGACTAGGAAATTCAATAGATGCTATCATCCTAACATAGTCTATATATAAAGGATCCACCATTGGATGGATTGAATGGATCTCGGGGTTACTAAGTTTTTTCTTAAACTCTTTCTGAGGTGCCATTCTGAGATCCTTGCATTTGCCAAAGTAATCTCCTAACTCTTCTATACTTCCAGACATCGGAGTCCCACCTTTATGAAGTTCCTGGGCAGACCTATATAATGCAAGAAAAGTTCTGTCTATCATAGTCTCATTGCCAGTCTGCAAATCTGGAAATTCATTCTTCATAATGCATTCAAATAGAAGACATCTGTTCTTTAGTATCTCATCCTTTCCTATTACATTTATCCCACTCTTTGTGAAATAGAGGTCTTCGTAGGAAACAAAATCGTCTTCTCTGTAAGGCTCATACAGACTTCCCCCAATGACGTTCATGAAATGAATAATCAAGTTTCTTGGAAGGTCCTTGCGTTTCTTGAGAATCTTAATTGCTAACTTTCTTATCTCTTCCTTTTCCTCTATTAGAACCACTTCTGCCACAAGGAAGTCGATCGACTCTTCAGAGAGATTTTCTACCATATTCAAAATACTGGTCCTGACCTCAGGAACCGGAGAAGTAAAACACGGGAATATATCTTTCAGCCTTTCTGGAGGAATGGAGAACTCTGGATTTTCCCGATATATCTTGGTCAGGAGAGAAAGATTGGATGTTTTTGAGACCGAAATAACCTCTTCCGATTCAATGTTTTGCCAGCACTTGTCAAGGACTGTATCAATTCCGTCTATTATTGAGAAGTGGCAGAGAAGCTCTGCACTGAGCAGCTTTATGTCTTCGTCCGGGCTACTTAGAAGGGATACAAGCTTCTTGCAAAGCCCATTCTTGTCTTCAACAAACTCCTTCAAATATCCAAGTGCTATAAGTCCCGAAAACTGGACTTGCCAGTCTTCATTGTCCAAAAATCTAAGCAGTTGCTCTATTATGTCATTTGGCCCTATTAAAGGATATATATATGACAGAAGATATGCAGCTGCATCTCTTACCGGTGCTACAGTTCTATCTTCCACAAAGTCATTGAATTTATCTGTGACAAGAATTTCATATATCTTTGAAAAGAGCTTAGAGTCAATTCTTATTTGAATTTCTCCTTCTCTTTTGTCTATTTCCGAAAACATTGCTGCAAATGCAAGAAATGCTCCATGTCTCTTATACCACTCATAACTCAGTAGATTATCACTTATTTGTTCAAAAAAGTCAAACACATTTTCAATCGGTTTCTCTTCCACCTTCTGTCTTTTGATGGTTTCCCCGCTTCCTGCCTTGAAGTCGATGTCGCTCAGGAAGTTTGTCTCCACATGCTCCAGCTTTGCTATCTTCTTAATCATTCTCTTCTGCTCCTGGACAGATGGTGCTTGTACATTGAATTGCTCTCCTGTCGATCCCAAATATATGCTAGTGCCTTTCTTGTACTCAATCTTGAAATTAGTCACAAGCTTAAACTGGAACATCAGAGACTTGAGAATCCGGGCCCCATTTTTTCTATCCTCACTCCCCTGCCCACACAAGAGCCTGTATGTTTGCTTAAGAATATAAGGAGTGAAATCAACATACTCTTTTATTTGAGAAACCAGCTCATCCGTAGTATATTCCTTCAGAACTTTTGACTGGGCTGTGTTCAGTGTTGTGAAGAACTTTTCCAACCTATTCATACTTCCTGGGGTTAATGAAATGCTTTGTATTTATATTTTCACGCTACAGCATAAACTAGATAGTCTGCATTCTTCAATGGTCATGAAATCCATTTATTCCTTTGCTTAAGACAATAATCGTCCTTGTGACTTATTAGGTAGATTCCTTTTCACCTTGGGAAACCACACCAAGATCAATGTACAATATCCTGCCAAATACCTTTAGAATCTTAGCCCGAAGCAATTGGAGCATTTTCATCCGATTCAAAAAATAACTGGTAATTTCAAAACATAAAATAAAGTAATTTCTTTTGTTGAAAATGGCAAAGAAAGAGGTTGTTAAACACGATTTTGATATTGAATATCCATTTTGGGATGACATAGACAAAGATAAAATTCAATTCAAAAAGTTGGAGAATGGATACTCAATAAGCTATGGCGATGAGAAAGAACATGAGAATGAAAATAGAAGAGAGTATAGGTCACGGTCTATATCCTTCTCGCAAACTTATGGAGGAAGAAAGGTGAAGGATGCAAACATGGAGATTGAGGGAGGAAAAATAAAAGTAAAGGGAAGGTTTTGTGACGAAAAATAAAAGCATTTACTGGTATTTTATCTTATATAGAATGATTGCTGTTAGAACCAGAGTAAGTACAATAAAACTTCTCAGAGTATTAATTAATGGATAGAACCATACTTCTGCCTTATGCCACAGCTCAGGGGGCAAGGAGGAACTTTCGACCTTCTTTTTACAATATGGGCAGAAGGGTTTTTTTCCAAGGAGGCACCATCCCTTAATGCAGTCTTCATGGAAAGAATGGGTGCATACTAATGTATGTATCTTTTCACTGCCATTAAATGATTTTGTGCAAATCATGCAGAGAGAGTTATTATTTCCTTTTCCAGGTACCCCTTCTTTGCTATAAAACCCTGTGGAAATGGCCACAGTCTCGCTTAAAAAGAAAATAACCTCTCTGCTTAGAAGCCCGAAATACAGGAAGAACAGCAAAATGGAAAGAGAATATCCAAGGTTCTTCGGGTTCAGATAGAAAAATATGAAGGTAAGGGATTGCCCCAGAAGGATTCCTAAATTTGAAATGATGAACAACGTTTTAAACACGCCGTAAATGTCCCTCATCACATCTTTTCCAAGAGATCCCTTCAATACTCTAACCGTGTTGAAAAGTATAAAGCCGGAGAATCCTAGCCAGCAGAGGGGAAGAAAGTAGGACTGAATGTAAAGAAAAAAACCAGGGGGAAACAACAGAAGGATGAAAAAAACACAGAAATCATGGCTCTTCTTGTTGATCCCCTTCCAGACAGCAAAGAATGTTTGGATGACAAGTGCATACACGGCTATTACTGCCATTTTCTGTAAAACATCTCCAAGAGTGGGCTGTCTTTCTATTATTATCACCTGCCTTACAGGCCTGTACTCCCCAGCAATTCTATATTGGCTTGAATAGGCCACATTTTCAGAGTCATCAAAAAAAGACTCACTTTCGTACTTGGGGACTCTATTATTCTTGGAGTCTTTACTTTCTTTTTTCTCGGCTGCATGGCTTAACTTCTCGTTATTTTCTTCTTGGCTCATTTAGGGCACCAACAAATTGGTTTACATATCATAGAATTTAATCGACCCGAAACAACAAAAATCAAAGTAGGTATGCGCTTATATGTCTTTAATTACTAGAATTTATGGGGAGGCTTTCTTTAATCTTTTCCGAGAAGCTTGCTGAGAGAACAGCGTATTGCTTCTGTTACCTTGTCTATCCTCTCGTTTGTTACGCTTAGATTCTTTGGAAATAAATGGCTAATATCACGAAGATAGACCGGTTTTGGGGTGCTGAACTTTTTGAGGTTGCAAAGACGATTCAGCAAAAAGACGAGATTCTCATGTCTTTCCTCCATGTTCAGGCATTCTTGAATGTACTGGAGAATGTTCTCCAGGATATTGTCATAATCGTATATAGCCTCCTTCAGCTCAGATATCTCACATATCATTATACCTTCCTTTCTTTCAAGTTCCCTTAGATGAGCTATTCTCTTGTCCCTCCATCTTTTGGCTGCAATCCGATTTCTTTCTTTTTTCCATATGCTTTTTATCCTTTCCTGATCAGACTGCCTTATAGAAGACTCAAAGATGTCCATTGGATGGCAGAATTGGTTTTCCTGCTCGGCGATATACCTATATTTTTCCTGATGAATTGGAATCCTATTCTCCAAAAAACTTGGCCCAAAGAAGTAGTACGGATGTATGTAAGGCTGATTTCCATCAATAATGGGCTTGGAATCGTATATCCCATGTGTACTTTTTGGATACTCGTTTTCATAATTGATATTCTTTTCTCTGCTTTCCATGAAATGGTCAATCTCTCTCATCTATTCCATATAAGCGGGTGATGGACTGAAATGCTTTAATTTTAATTACTTCAGCCAATTAATTGCTTAATTTGTCTTTTGCCATAAGGTTCAGGTTGAAAGCAAAAGGATCTCTTCCTTTCTGTGATGGAAAAGAACCTGAATTCTGGAATTTCAAAGACTTGCCTATTCTGGGACCAAAATAATCAATCCCCCTATTCATGATAAATTAGTATTTCCCACCCCTAGGGAGATGTCTGAAAGTATGACATGGAAGGAGTTTGTGGAAAATAGGAGAGTTCAAGCCTCCAATCTGCTTCTCACCCACGGTTTTATGATTGAGTCGTGTCAAAATCATCCATTTAAAACAAAAATTATAATCTTAAACAAACAACATAATGGAAACGATCAAATGTGTTCTTGTGGGAGATCCATCGGTGGGGAAAAGCTGGTTAATAAGCACATTTATAACAGGTAGGAATCCAGAAGGTTATATCCCGACTCTTTTCAACAACTACAGCAAGGTTGTTAGTACTGGAGATAAAAAGTACAACATGACGCTGTGGGATACAGCTGGAAGCGAAGAATACAACAAACTGAGGAGCTTGTCTTTTCAGGAAACAGATGTTTTTCTGGTATGTTACGCTGTTAATAACATCCTCTCGTTTCACAATACCAGGAGATGGATAGAAGAGCTTGCTGAGTACGATGTCCCGATGATCTTGTGTGGTACCAAGTGTGATATAATCGACGGGAACATTGTAGACCGAAACCTTCCGATAAAGTTAAGCAAGGAGTACAAACTATATGGATTCATGGAATGCTCTTCCATAGAGCTAATAAATGTAAAAAGGGTCTTTGATGTAGCTCTAGAGGCAGCATTGAAGCCTCGTAAAAGCAAGTTTCGATCGATCTGGTTCTGCTGTAAGTGTGGATAGATGTGGTAAGTGTCCAAATAAATATTTTTATAGTACTCTAGAAAACACAACATATGCTTTCCGATGTGCTGAAATATCCCTGGAATTAGCCCTTTCAGGGATGAGAAGAAGACAAAGAAGACAAAGCTCAAATATATTCCACATGCTCACAAAGAACCAGATAGTTGAACTTAGAGAGGCTTTTAACTTCATGGATGTTAACAGTGACACATTTGTTGATAGAGCGGATCTAGAGAGCTTTCTGGAGTCAATAGGAGCACCTTTTTCAAGCGAGGAAATTGATGAGATGATGGCCGAGGGAGGAGACAGCATGACATATATGTTATTTCTGACAATGATAGGAGAAAGGCTTAGCTGCACTGATACAGAAAAGAACATCTTTAATGCTTTAAAGGAGTTTGATGACAATGGGGATGGGACAATCGATGAAAAGCTGCTAAGGACATGGCTTACAGAAAAGGGAGACCAAATGGCAAGGGAAGATGTTGACTTGCTCCTAAGGGGTTGTGCAGAAAACGGAAGGGTGGATTGCAGAAGCCTGGCAACAAAAATAAAGTACGGAGAAATCATCACTGAATAAACATTTTTCTCTTGTAATTTCCGTCCATAAAGAAAGAGATTGAAAATAAATCAATTTACTTTATCACCAAGGATTTCGAGGGAAGGTCTCCTGAACCTTGTCTAGCTCATTCAGTATGACCGTCTGCTTCTGTCGTTCCTGTAGTGCGTTGTCCACGTCTCTTAGGATCTTCTCCCCCATTCCCCTTAAATCCTCCAAAAAATCAATCACCTCTCCTTTGTTCTGTATGACAGCAAGCTTTTCTTTTTTCTCCAAAGGTAGATACGTCCTATATATGCGGTCTAAGAGAGTACACTTTCCCTCTTCTTTTTTGAGGCGGTTATAAACTCCACCAAAGATCTTTCTGTATATTTGCAGGCATCCATCTATTTTTGACTTAAGCTTCTCTGACCTCATTCTTAGTCCACCTATTTTTTTCCGCAGGAAGTCATACGAGTCATTAATTCTTCTACATGCATCCATCTGGAGAGACTTCCTATGCTCGATTTCATCTCCTTTCAATAGTACAGGCATCATAGTTGGATCACTTGTCAGGGAAATGTTCCATAGAGTCTCTGGAAAGTCCAAAGGACGTGCGAACGGCCCATCAACCTTGTTGTAGAACACATATTTGAACTTATAGTTTTGGGATGATGGATCATAGCTCTTTTCGATGTTATCTATTAAGGTTAAGAGCTCCTGGTCTTTCTGCATCTTATATTCCATGGGCTCTTCTGGCCGGAAGGGTTTAATAAAGAAACTTGTACAATAAATTTTAGTTTGTTTTTTTAACAGTGAAGATGAAGTTAGAAAAGTCTGCAATCATGAGAAAAAAAAGACAAGGATACAGTGAATTCATCGTTGATGACACAAATTGGAATGGCCAAAGAACAATGCTGATAAAGTTGCATTCCATATATCAGATGTATCGGAGTGCGGGAGTGATTGGTGATGTACCGCCAGACATGCCTTCCAAATCATTGTTAAAAGCATCAAGAGGAACCATTGCAGCTGGGTACAAGCTCCACCTCGTTAAGATGGCTCTTATTGATGAACGTCCATTCAAGTTCAACTTCGAATCTAGACGGTACTATTTCAAGAATGTAAATATCGTATTTCTTCTCGGAATGATCAAAAATAAGCCCGAGCTTGTTTACTCAATGCTTAGCAATGGTTTCCCTAACAACATCAACTCCTCGATTTTTGGAAGCCCGATGTTTCCAACCTACTTCCACCTCGCCTGTGCAATGCATCATAACATATTGTCTGTTTTCCTAAAGTTCTCTCCAAGCTACTCTCTATGCTGGAATGGTCTTACTCCACAAATGATTGCATCGTTTAGTGGAAAATCTTTGGAATCTAAACAACCTTTTAATTTTGTCTCAATGAAGCAGTATTTACTGTTGAATTCATTTAGAGGATTCAAGATTACCGAGACAGATGAAAAACCTATCTTCCTAATAGATTTTCTGTGCATGGAAAACGACATGGAGGAAGCCAGAAGAGTACTCAACAGAAATCCAGAGCTGTCTAGAGTCAGTAAGATATGCTATCTAGCTCAAGATAACATAGAATGGATTATGTTCTTAAGCAGGTACCAAACATCGGTGCATCAGGAGTTCAATGGAATCTCTCCCCTTCATATAAGCTCGATAAATGGAAATTTCGAGGGGCTCGTTGCACTTGTGGCGTTAGGAAGCTACATAAACTCTAGGGATCGTCAGGGAAATACACCAATGCATTACTGCGCAATGATGCAGCACTTCCGATGTCTGGAGTTGCTCATCAGGCTCGGGGGAAATATGAACATGGTAAACAGGGAAGGAATCAGCACAGAGGATATTTTAATTAGCCAAGGAAAAGTCTTTGATATTAAAGAGGTAGATCTAGAACTCCCAGAGGCCTTGTTCCAAACTCTGGGAGATTCAGTCGAATTCAGACATCATCTATCAATAATTGATAGGATCAAGTATAATTGTAACCACACCATCGTCAAAAAAAATAGATTCACAATAACATCATTGTTGAACTTGCCGCATAAGATTGATTACACAGAAGATTTGATTCAAAAGGTTCAAGGTGTTAAGGACACAAGGAGAGATAGCTATTCGCCTCGCCAGTCATTACAAATATTCTTGAAGAACATTCAATAAGACAATGTATTCGAAACCCTGAATGGAGGGATATGGGAGCTGCAGAGTTGTTATTGGAAACGAAGCAAGAATGATTCCAGAGGAGGAAAGAGTAATCCCAGAACTCACCCACGAATGGAAGGCCTATGTTAAGGCATCCCCAGAAATAGTAAAAAGGGTTGAATTCAAATTGCATGACTCATTTAGCAATAGGTTGGTGAATGCAGAATATCCATTCGAAGTTGTAGAAAGAGGATGGGGAGAGTTTAGCATTCAAATTAAGATTTTTTTGTTTAACGGAGAAAAAATAATGACTAGCCATTTTCTACAACTCCATGGAGACTCCGATGTGGTAATAAGCGAAAGAGTCGATGAGATTGTATTCAAAGGCGAAAGTAGCCCGGATACTCCCTTGGATGAGGAAGAGGAAGAATATGAGAGGATAGAAACAAGTATTTTGGGAATGCTTGAAAAGTTTAAAGAAATTAATGAATGAAGAAATCGCCAGAACAGACAAATGGCTTAGGATGCAGAAATATATTTGGCAAGAGTTGTATTTGCAATACTAATAAATGAGAGATTTTGTAGGAAATTTGTATTATTAAACTACTTGAAAGTTAATCCCAGATCTCAGATACCTAGCTAAAATTCCCCAAATAACACGGTTCTAGAAAGCATCCAAATGTCAACAATATTTTTCTAATACTTGCCGCTCAGTATAGAAAATTCAATTCCAGAATGGCACTGAACTCGTATTGAATCATTTAACTTCATAAGGAATTAGAGTTCTCAGTGTAGTCCTATAGAAATCAACAGTTACTTTCCAAAAAAAAGGATCACAAAGGAATTAGGCTTCCTGTCATTTTTCCATCAATGCTTAGATTACGATGGTAAATCAGATTCTCTTTAAGACATCATATGAGAAGTTACTTCAGCCAATCAGAAAGTTTTCTAAAAGTATAAAAGTAAAGCGGCTTGAGTCTTCAATGGGTGAAACTTCAAAGAAAGACTGCAACCACTCCACAAACTCCCAGTGCGAGGCTTGTTGCGAGAAAAATAAAGCCTGCGAGGCCAAGGATAAAACAAAAGGTAGCGTTAATGAGGCTAAAGATAAAACAAAAGAAACTGTTCAGGAGACTAAAGACAAGACAAGGAATGCAGCAGAAAACGTCAAGGATAAGGTAGACAATAAGGACAAGAACGAGGTATACGATAATATTAAGGAAAAGGGAAGCGAAGCATGGGATAAAACAAAAGAAGTCGCAAAGAATATGAAGGAGGGATTTAAAGATCTTGCCAACAACGATAAGCAGAAGAAATGAATTAAACATCTTAGCTTATTTTTATTCTTAAACACTATTATCCTTTCTTTATCTTTCCGGAAAAAGCTTCGGCCTGCTTACTCTTAACTTTCTAAGACTTGGAAGAGAAGAGACTGGAATAAAAATGCATCAGCATACTACATTTCAGACTTCCCGAAGCGACCCAAGGTTGCGACTGCTTGAATGGAAGTTTATATTAAGATAGGGGCCTCTTTATGGCCAATTTCATTATATAAAATACAACTGATTTTTGGCTTAAAACAACAATGACATAGGCAAGGGCTTTCATAGAGTATGAGAAAAGAAGCAGAGAAAGACCAAAATGGAGTGAATGGTCCTGAGTCCTCGAAACTCAACGAAAAGCTGATGTCGGGGGGACGTCTTTTCCGTGTGTGCCTGACTGGAGGCCCATGCGGGGGAAAAACGACACTCCAGATCTCGGTAGCAGACATGTTTGAAAACATGGGATGGCATGTGTTTCGATCTCCAGAAGCAGCCACTATTCTCCTAGGAGGAGGAATTAACCTGATAAAGAGAACTCCTCTCCAACAGAAGATATTCCAAACAGGTGTTCTAAAGGTAACACTTCAAATCGAAGACGCTTACAATAACTTGGCTAGAGACATTGCAGAAAATGGAGGAGATGCAGTTGTGATTTATGATAGAGGAACAATGGATGGATCTGCATATGTAACTAAAAATGATTGGGAAGAAATCTGCCAAGAAGTAGGAATGTCGGAAGTTGGACTCCGGGATGCACGGTATGACTGTGTGATTCATCTTGTGAGTGCAGCAGACGGAGCTGAAAAGCACTACGGGAATG